TAACTGTAAGGCTACTTTAACTCTTTTCAATAAAAAACAAAATGTTTAAGGCCTATTTATGCATAATTTTTTTATCAACACTTGAATGTAGCTAAGTTTCATTAAAAAAGCAACATTTTAAACAAAAAGCTGATAAAATCATATATTTTTGTTAAAGGCGATGATAGAGAAGATCGAGTCCATCAACACCCCTTAAGCCTCAGCCGTTTCCTCTTCATGGGTTCGACATTTCATTCTGTAACGTTAGACATTTTTGAACATGAATATGCTGTTTAATGTTTGATGATTGCGTTATTTACATTTGCGTAAGCAATCCTCTATCACTTGTTTCTGCTTCTTCTTCACCTGTGTTAAAACCTGTTAACTGTCACCCCCCTTTTTTTGAATTGACATGAAAATGCACATTTCGAACATAAATGGTTGTAATTCAAGAATGCTTTGGAATATAGACGTAAGATTGGTCTTGTTTTAAAGAAGACATTTGGCAGATTTATGTAGAAGTGAAATAAATTAAGAAAGTGAAACAGAAAAAAAGTTATAGAAGTTTGAGTTTATGGAAATGTACAATGTAAAAAAAAAAATTATTCATATTTTATATAAAATATATATTTTCAAAACCTGGGCTACTCTAAAACTGCAGAAAAATCAAAGCCAAAAATCTGAACAAGTTGTGTTTCAAATTTTAGGTTGATATCTCAAAAAATGAGCTTTCAGTAAGATTTTGTTTGGGTGCAGTACCAAACTTTTTCACTAGATGACAACCAGACTCCATTAAGTCAAGTCAAGTCACATTTATTTATATAGCGCTTTTCACAATACAGATTGCATCAAAGCAGCTTCACAGTGATAACATGAAAGTAGTACAACACAGTTCAATAATATTGTTACTGCCATTACTGCCCATATAAGGGCGCCTCCATTTCCAAATGTGTTTTGAGTGATATGAACCATTATTTCCACAATTTTCATACAATTTATGAAGTATAGATCCTATTCAGAAGTAGTATGGGAAAGTTTGGCAGATTTTGATATGAATTCAACCTCTAATAAACACATACAAAGAACACGCATGTGCGTCATAGCTCGCTGCCACATCACAAATGGTGAATTTATTATTTTTTTCTTTATATTTAAAACATTTTCAGACCTTTTTTTCTAAAATAATTGAATGGATGCTATCTTTTGAACTCTTGGCATGAAAACAAACTAGGTTTCTACAATTTTTTTCATGATTTTTCATGTTCATTGCTATTTCAAAATAAAGGTCTGAACACGCCTTAGGAGTATGAAAATATTATTGTTGCAAATTGATAAATTACGGCTCCTCTGTAATTTATTTTGAAAATCAATCACCAAATATGGAAACTAGAGATTGTAAGCTTTCAAATGATATATAGTTTGTCAATATTACTTAAGGTTTTAACTAAGATATTATTGTTTTAAAAATATAATGGCAAACGTCCCACCTGTGGGACGGTGACAGTTAAGGGTAAATACTTATACTTTTTGTATACATTATACTTTTAAGTATATCTCGATCAAAAGTTCTTTTTTATTTTCTTACCTAGCAACTACAAAAAAATGAAGATTCTCAGAAATGTTGATATTATTTGATCTCCAACAGGGATCAATTATTACAGTCCTAAATGTCTAAGATATACAACGGGTTAAACTGAAATTCTAAAGAAGAAAATACTGTAAACTGAAATGGTAATTTATCCACAAAGATCTTGGTTTTGAGTTGATTCCTTTAGGAATGGCAAAAAAATACATTAGCATTCCTTAAGGTTTTTTTTTATTTATTTTTTTATTATGCAATGCCATGTCACTTGTCATGACCTGTCTGTCACAGGTATAACAGCTACAGATACAGCTACTGTATACTATTAGCTGAACACGGGGCAATTTTGTGACTAAAATATTATTTAGGCCTAATATTTGACTGAACTTGAAACTCTAAAATTGAAGGCTATTTATGAATAAACTACATAGACAAATCTGGATGAAATGGGCTTTTTTTACCACAAGATGGTGCACTTCCATTACAAAAGATATTAAAAACTGCACAGAAGGGCCTACTCTCTTTACCACTCAATAATCAGTCTGTTGTCTGTTATTATAGGTTAACCAGCTGACCTATTGACCTATTTTTGGTAATAGCCTACACATTTAGTCTAAAACTGATGGTTAATGTTTTAATATATAGGCCAATCGTGCAGGCTATAAGATAATTAGGCCTATAAAAACATTTTGTGTTCCCGTCTGCTATTTTTACAGTAGACTTCTGCTACAACTGTCCACCGACTATAATACTATAATACTATAATACTTCTCCTTTGCCTCCTCTTCCTTGTGCCGTTTCTGTTGCTGAATCCCACATGCCTGTTCAGCATGACACAGCACATTCACACACTCCTCGATAGGGATGCTGGTCACTCTTCGAGCACAACGTGTACTTAAGCAAGAGGATACTTTTAATATTTCTCTATTTTATGTATTTTTAATGCCTATGTTCATTGTATAAGGTTTGCGGTAACACTTTAGAATACTGTTCCTTCATTAATGAATAACGACACATGAACAAATGAGTAACACACTATTAACGAACTATTAAGTAACTCTGATTAATAAATTAGTAAGTAATAGCGCTCAGTTGAATGTGGTAGTTCACTATTAGCTAATCAGTAACTGCTATTTTTCATACCTATACCAGAGTACTACTAATATACAGGTTCATAATTAATGCATCATTTATAATAAAAGGTAACGGTATCCACAAGTAATGACTCAAGTGTTACTAAAGGAACTAATTATTTGGATCAGTATAAAGTGAAAATGTGATGATAACTACCTAATATTGACTGAAGTCATTGTAAGCTTTTGAGATTTTTGTAAGGTTTTGAATAGCAATTCCTTCCGATGGATGTAGTAATACTTGAGTCATTACTAATGGGTTGCAGTTACCTTATATTATACATTATGCAGTATATTATTAATTATGAATCTGTATATAGCAGTTCTTAGTCTTCAGTGAAAAATAGTAGTTAGCTAATAGTGAACTACATTCAACTGAGTGCTATTACTTACTAATTTGTTAATCAGAGTTACTTGTTAGTTAATAGTAGTTACTAGAACGTCAATAGTGTGTTACTCATTCGTTCCAGTGTAGTTATTCATAAATGAAGGAACAGTATTATAAAGTGTTACCAGGTTTGCTTTGTGTGTGTGTATATCTTGCCATTTCTGATTTATAATGCAGTGAATCGTTGGTCAGAGTTTGGGTTCACTGTCGCCTCTGCTTATGGGGACACTTAATATTCAACAATATTATTGACTGCACTGACACTATTGGAGGAGAACTGAACATTTTCTGCAGAACTGCTTTATAGAAGAAATAAACTAATTTAATAATTGATGATCTTTACAGAGTTATTGAACCGAACAGAATCGACGCTGAACTGATTTCAAATGAATAATGAGTGTTTACTGTTTTCCCTTATAGAGCTGCTTTACAGCAGAATTGAATTCTGTTTACATTATTTTCCTTGAATCACTGTAAAGCTGCTTTGAAACTATCTGTATTGTAATAAAGGTGACTTAATTATCCGATAGCACTGAACGCAATAAAGAGTAAACGTCAATTTAAAAAATACAATTACTTTATTTAATTTACTTAGTACATTTTTATTTATTTAGCATTCATTAACGTTAGATATATTAATCTATTTTATTTTATAAGATGTATTAGCTATATGTATTCAAGTGTAATTTTATTTACACCAAGAAAGGAGATTTAGGGCTTTAGTAGCCTCCAATATAAAGTATAATACAATGTGGGGGAAAAACTTGAAGCTATAAACTACAATCAAAAACATATTAAAGGGATAGTTCGGCCAAAAATGATATTTAAACCATGCATTACTCACCCTCAAGCCGTTCGAGATGCATATGTCAATCTTGTTTCAGACGAACACATTTTCAGTTATTTTAGAAAATGTCTTAGACCCTTCAGTGGATATAATGTGAAGCAATGGGGTCCACCTCCTTCAAGTCCCAAAATGTGCATATATCCTTCACAGAAGTAATCCATCCGGCTCCAGGGGGATAAACGAAGGCCTTATGAGGGTAATCCGTGCGGTTTTGTCGTAAAAATATACATATTTAAAACTTTATAAATGAAAATATCTGACTTCCGGCAACGATCGACGCACGTTCACGGGTTATGTTTTGCTCTGCTCTCTGGCTGCGCGGGCGCGTTCGTTCTACGTCACGACGCTACGTCCTACCTCGTACGCCGACTTCCATCACCCGTGGACGCGCATCGATCGTTGCCGGAAGTCAGATATTTTTATTTACAAAGTTTTAAATATCTATATTTTTACGACAAAACCGCACGGATTACCCTCATAAGGCCTTCGTTTATCCCCCCGGAGCCGGATGGATTACTTCTGTGAAGGATATATGCACATTTTGGGACTTGAAGGAGGTGGACCCCATTGCTTCACATTATATCCACTGAAGGGTCTAAGACATTTTCTAAAATAACTGAAAATGTGTTCGTCTGAAACAAGATTGACATATGCATCTCGAACGGCTTGAGGGTGAGTAATGCATGGTTTAAATATCATTTTTGGCCGAACTATCCCTTTAAGGTAAACTAGACAAGTAATTTCTAATCTGCTATTCATGTTTAATTAAATATTTGTATTAGGCTATCATGTTTACAAAGCAAAAAAAAAATGTAACAAGTGCACTTGTGGTTATTTTATTTTCCATTCTTCAATATGTTTAGTAGATTAAGCAACGCGCACTAGAGTAATGAAACCGCTAAGCCACATCCTCTTCATGACGTTTCCTCAGATGGACGTGACTTCAGCCACGGGACGCAAAGCCACGCCCATCTCATTCATATGCAAATGAGGCCGCTGTAGGAGGGCGTTCCGCGCTTTATAAGCTGCGCGCGCAGCCTCTTCCTCTCACAGCAGCACCAGTGCGGAGTTACTGCCCAGTCTACACTGCATTTCACTGTCAAATAACAGCATCTACAGGTAAGACACACACGAACAATAGTTACTAATATAAAGCACATTAAATAAAAGAAAGTTATAGTCTTAAAAGCACATATTTTTTTTCTACAATGTATAGTTAAAATTCTCTTGAATCTATGTTTGGCATTCTTCTTCTATCATTAGGATGTAAAATGAGTCACATCTGTTCCACGCTTATATATGATTGAACTCTGCTGATCGCGCATGTCCTGATGAAAGCACCGTTTGCCCTTGCTGTCTGTGATGATGTTACATAATCGTCGTTGCACAATGATTCAATGATCATGAATACAACAGTTTACCAATAAACCTGCATTTTTCACTTATTGGGAACTCAAATACGACTTGTTGCTGCTTGTTTCAAAATGATAAGCTTATGATCAGTTATTGATGTTTAATCAAATTCTCTTTCATGCAGTGATAATTTACGAGCATTTTAATGTATACTGGAGGAAATGCCTGAGTTTTGTTCATGTTTGGTCTGTTATTGTGCTCGCTGCGTCACTGGCGTCGACGCGCTTCCTGACAGATCATCATCAGATGCACGCATAGGGATGCACGTTATGTTCATAATGTTCATGCACTTTTTGCTTCCTTATATGCAAAGGATTCTGGTACTTGTGTTTTTTAGGGTACATTTAGTCCGGATGCTTTACATAAAAGTCCCGATTCGCACAATTTGTGCACGAGATGAGTCAGTATTTCATTCAGCTCGTGTAGAATTGCCATATTTATGTCATCGATATGATTCGCCCTTGTTGCGTCATCTTTACACCGGCCTCTAACGGGGAAATTAATTTTAATTATTGTATTAAAGTAATGAGACTACTGAAAATCGTCATTGGGAATAATGAGAAGTAAAACATCCGGACACATTACGGTAATGAAATTAATCAAATAATATCTTAATTGTTCGAAAATAGGCTCTATTTTCGTTTAAGAAGAAAAAAAGTGTGTGTGTGTGTATATATATAAACCCGGACGATAATACCAACTGTATTTATTATTATAAATAAATATATGCTAATTTACTCCATTCATCAGTGCATGTTCGACAAGACCTCTGTGACAGGCATAAATCATTCAGATGTTTCTGTTTTATAGTGATGGTTAGTGACGATCTGAGGATAAATGACTATAACCGACATTAGAAATCATATTTGAAGTGCGTGTACTTGGACTGCATATGTTGAATGACCGGTTTAAATCATGAGAAAGGGGCTCTTCAGGTGATTTGTTCCTCCTCTTCATTAATTCCTCTACGTGCCTCTGTGCACACAACACTGCAGCGGGAGGGGGAGGGGGGTGCACTTGTCAAGAAGATAAAATGGCCACTCCAACCTGTCCTGGAGATCCCCGGCACATTTTGAATGTGTCAATGAGGGAGACCCCAGGACAGGTTTGGGAAGCACTGCCTTGGACTACTCTGACTGATCATTTACATGATGACACAATGTCGTTGTTTTAAAATGGCTTCTTATTCGAAGCAATTCAGATTCACATTATCTATAGTTTCTCAAAGAGCTTTGACTCTAAAAGCATATGAATGATGCATTTAAAAGCCGGCGTGACCGATGAGACTCTGTCCCCTGTAGCTGAAGATGGCCTCCACAAAGGAGAAACTCATTGCTCATGTGAGTAAGGAACAGCCCGCAGGGCCCACGAACAAGGTGACGGTGGTCGGAGTGGGAATGGTGGGAATGGCCGCCGCCATCAGCATCCTCCTCAAGGTCAGTGAGGTCACGCACTGGATACACACTCATCACTAGAGTATTAGATCACTGACAACACTCATGCTTTGCCATTTAGAAAGTTTAAAATAAAATTGCAAATAATTTATTTTGAAATAGAAATAAATTATTTCGAAGTTATTTTTAAAATAAACTAAGTAAAGACCTTTTTAAATGACAAATGTATTTTAAAATAAAGGAAGAAATTATTAAATTGGACCTTTTTTTAAATGATCTCTAAATGACACATTTATTTTTAAATAAATGAAGAAATTATTAATTTATTTAAAAATAAATGAGATAAAATTGGACCTTTTTACATTATCTAAATGACACATTTATTTTAAAATCTAGTGAAATTGGAAAAAAAAATATTTAAATGATACATTTATTTTTAAATAAATGAAGAAATTATTTTTTAAATGAATGTAGTTAAATTTGACCTTTTTAAATAGTTTATTTGAAAATAAATGTGTCATTTAGATGGAGTAAAATTGGGCTTTTTAAAAGAACAACTTTTATTATTGTAATGAAAAAGGACAGAAATGTGCCTTGTGTTATGCACACTCTCGATGAACTATTCCTCTATTGTGAGCAGCCCTCACAACATTTCACAATATGGCTCCCTCATCATTTCCTGTCATGTCTTGTCACGTGGTGAGAGTGGAAAAAGACTTTTTCACTGATATGACTACTGTATATTAAACTCATATCATTTGTATTGAAATCTTGAATAAAAGTTTGTTTTATGAGGTAAACAATAATTATGTGCAAATAATTAAGAAGTTTGGACAGTTTGTGCAGGTCCAATATAAACCAAATGCTACAGTATGTTGTGTCCACTTTTTCTACCTCCTATGTGAACAACAACAAAAAACTCCCATATCTTCCTTGAACCATCAGGAATGTGCTCATGTTTTTCTCTCCTGAATCCTCAATGGGGGGTAAAGCTGCTGCGGCTCAAGTAAATAACGCTGGCTTTAAAGCTTTCCTGACCTTTGAACGTAGAGCGATTTCTGAATGAGAAGGAGGGCCTTGAACCTCTGCCAAGAATGAACATGATCCTCATATCTGGAAACTTTAAGAGTCTGCACTCTTCAGCTCTCTTCATTTTTCCATCGGTGTAAAATGCAGTTGCTGAATCTACAGGTGCAACAATCTTTAAATATTAGAAAATATAGAGGAACATAAATCAAACAGGTTCAGACTAATGACCTTAAGTAATAAAATGAATCCCTAACTCAACCTTTATCAGTCTAAGCAGCCATGTAAGGTGTGTAGGAGCGTGTTACATCGTGTGTGTGTGTGTGTGTGTGTAGGATCTGACTGATGAACTCGCCCTGGTGGACGTGATGGAAGATAAGCTGAAAGGAGAGGTTATGGACCTGCAGCATGGAAGCCTCTTTCTCAAGACACACAAGATCGTGGCGGATAAAGGTCAGATTTCATAATCTTCTATAATATTTTACTTCTATTTTTAAATAAATAGTATAATAAATCTTTTAATGAGGGGGAAGAGTAACATGATTGATGATAAGGAGCAGACGGCTCGATTGGTGCCGATTTGGTGATAACGTACCAATGTGGTGACCTTTTTTTAAATAAATAGTATAATAATTTTGAATCTAGAAGTAAAATATTAAAATTAAAAGCATCATTCAGGGGCTGCATCTTAATCAAAAAGGAAAGATAATTTTTTTTATCAGTTAACAACTTCTCAGACTGCTTTAACATGAAAGAAAGCGTTGTCCGTGTAAATGCCCAGACACCGCAAACAATTCGCAGCGCTGGAAGTGAACTGGTGTCGCCTCGCCTGCGTCTGGGCCAAACGGTTGTGTTTGAACACGCCACATATTGTATGGAGGCTTGTTTCCACCACTGAATAGAAAATAAAAAAGGTAATTGTGACTTTTTATCTCACAATTCTGACTTTTCTTTTTTTCCGCAATTGCCAGTTTACATCTCGCAATTCTCCGAAAATAAAGAATCGAGTGACTGCAGGCAAATGTGGCCCTAATCTCACATGTGACTCAGATCAGTTATTTTCATGACGGTGTGAACAGAATCTGATCTTTTCAATTGTGATGTGTGCCACTTCACATTTGTGGTCCTGAATTCAATACAGGTCAGATGTTTTGCAATGCGATCTCAGTCTGAACAATCACATCGGAATTCATGCGACTTTTTCGTCACACTAGATCAACATTCATCACAATTCTGCGCTCATGGGAGTCACCTCAAAGATTTTACATTCCCGAAGTTATCAAGACATTGGCTAAAGGTAGTCAGTGAAGGACAGACACAGTTCATGTGTCAGAACGCACAAGTATTACAGTTACGCTCTATTGGTGTGTTCACGTGCTATGTGCACGTGCTATTGTAAATACCAAAAGCACATGAAAATACACATGAACACCCCCTCATGTGGTATTTTCCACTGGGCAGCTCGTAGAATATTTTGATGCACGAGTTGCCGAGATGAGATAACCTTTGACCTTTTCAAAATAGCGGAGAGCAACGTGAGAGTCGTGAATGGTAAAAATATGTACTATTCATGATCTAGAAAATTTGATAAATCATTTTCTTGCTGTAGCAGATGACTTAAAGCTGCAGTCCGTAGCTTTTTCCCTTTTTGTCGCCATCTCTGTTCGAAATCTGTAACTGCAGTGATTCGCGGAATTATCATCTTTACGTGGGTTGTAAGTCGGCATGAAACAGCGCGGATGAACACAGTGCTTTGAGGCGAGTGCTGCTGTCAATCACCGCGCTGTGTGGATACTGTCATACAGAATCGCAGATTCACTTTTTGAAAGCTTTGAAAGCTTGACCAACATAAGAATTTTCACCGGAAAATGTCTTCTGAACAAGTAACATCCATTTTTGTTCTGATCAACTAAGGGGACATGACAAGCGATCGTTAGATTTAATCAGCGCGATTTACAGCAACCGTGCAAATTATAGCCTACTTTGTTCTCAAATTGTTCATGTTAACATCAGCATTGCGTTACTAACGTTATTTAATGTGTTTTATGGTTACCTGTGTAGTTCAGAATTCATATTCTCCATAATAGCTAAACGAGAAAGGCACAACAAAGGAAACTCCATAACTGTGTGAATTAAGAAAACGTACTGTTACACGATTGAACTATTGAAATGTCTTACTTGTTCAGCAGAAAAAGCCGTCTCTTCTTCCGTTTTGAACCCCTTCGGGAGTTCACGCACCTTTCAAAAGCCCCACCGATGTGTATCCTTGAGTTCGCATGAGACGGTTTCTTTCTCTTTTCACCTTAAATCCGAAGTACGAAGTCTTTTGGGTTTTATAACTGGTTAATCTCCAGTTGACACTGATGATTGTTGTCTGGATCTTTCTGGATCCCCCATAAGTTTAATCATGTAAAGTGCTGCGAGAAAAGCCCATCTCTACATCTCGTCACGCGCAGTATAGACGGCTAGCCGAAACTCCTTCTTTATGTGTACGGGTGTGACGTAATGACGCAAAGACATGCTCGAATTTCCCGCGAAAACCCACCAGTACCACTGGAATTAAAATCATTATTACAAGCTAACCGTTTTGAATCTAGCTATGGCAAGCAGATAGTTTTGAACACTGGCTGAAGATGTTTTTTTTTTAATAATTAATTTGAATTATTTTTAACTTAAAGTTACGGACAGCAGCTTTAAGCAATCTAAAATAGTTTTAGCTAAATAACAGGTCTGGATCTCCATCTTTTTACCACATTACGACAACAAAAGCACTTGAACGCAACACACTGGTAAATACCAGTTCACAAGTGGAAAATATCATATTTTCCATAGCACGTGAACGCAAACAAACTAGAATCATTAAAGCTCTTTTTCGCATCCTCGTCTTTGTTTTTTTATATTGCCTGCGTTTAATTCGCTGGATTCCACGGGAGATCACACTATAAATAAACTTGTAATCGCTTACTTTAATGTACTCAGTGTTTACTTCTGTATGACAGCGTGCTGTATGACGTCTTTTTATCGTTCTTTTGCGCATGCGGGTCAGTTCAGGACATGATTTGTTCACACTAGAATCTGATATTGGCCACATTTAAAACAACAATGTAAAGAGGTATATAACAAAAATCGAGTCTGAGCAATAAATCAGAATTGAGCACTAAGGCTCGCTGTGTAACTTTTCCATAAACTCGCAATTGCGAAAAATAAAGTCAGAATTGTGATAAACTCGCCTTTTGTTTTAACGCAATTCTGACTTTTTTCTCGCAATTGACAGTTTATATCTTACAATTGTGAGAGAAAAAAAGTCAGAATTGCAAGATTTGTAATACCATATCCAATGGTCAAATAACTCATACAGTCTGTGGCTGTCAGAGAAAGATAACTCTCCATACCAGCAGGTGGCAGTAGTCTGTATTTGTCATTCAACAAGGGAAATTAACTGAAGATGAAAAATAAGAGTCTTCTTTGTGTGCCCTCTTCACTTTGTAGTTCGCTTGCTTTTGTCACTTACATTTTTCTTTTCATACAATAGTTCGCTAAGCTAAATTGTCAATCGTGGGTGTGTTTCCCAAAAGTATAGTTGGCTAACTATGCTCAGTTGAGCTGTTAGTAATGATGGATCTTGCGACCATAGTTGCTCTTGGGGAACGCACCCCCGGAGTGATCCCTCTCACCGACAGACTCCTCCGCGGGTCAACACGCTCACTCATCCGAAAAGCCTCCACCGGCGGTCCTGCTAGTGCCAACAATGTGAAACACACTGCTAAATCAAGACTTGCAGATTCTCAACAACTTTTGCTCACTTTGCATTGGCCGATTGTCGGCTTAGTGTGTCACAGCCTTGACAGAAAGAAGTCGATGAGAAATCGATTTTGAAGCCAATCTACTATGAATGCCTATTCGCACCAAGAACATAATGAACAAGTAAAAAAATGCAGACGAAAGGTCAAGAACAAAAGCACTCTGGATTAATCTGGAAAAGAAGAGCAAGCAAAAAACACTCCTGTCCTGGCATGCAATGCTGCTTAACTCTGATTGTTCAGTGATTTCCCAAAAAAGTGTTAACTTTCATTTACGGATGGACAAAGTTAAATTTTTCGTCTGCATTTCCCAAAAGCATCGTAAGCGTAATAGAGGGTTTGCATTGGCGTCACTTTCCCGCGGGAACACGCCCCCTCAGCCGGACTGAGTGGCAGAAGAGCTGCTGGGTTACTGGAGTTAATAGAGGAAACTGCGAAAACACGAGGAAAACAATCGATTATCAGTGTAAACTAAAGGTTGGACTCGATATAGTGTCCCTTACAGCTTCCCAAAGATCCAGTGATTCATGGAAAACACCTAAATTCAGCATATTGACAAAAATGATAACTGCAAATCCACCTTTCGCTGCCTGGATTCCAGTCGTTTCTTTGAATCGCAGCGATTCATTTGCTTCTCTGTTCTGTAGCTTTCGGCCGTCTGTAAAAATATACCTCAGATTTCTTGTCAAATCTAGTTGTTTTAGATGTTTTGTGTGTTTTCGCGGCATTCACACTGAAAACCAATGCTGCCGCTCAGTCTTTCTGCCACTCAGTCACTCCGGCCGACGGTGACGTCATACGCATAACCTCTTTTGATAGGACCATTGGTGCCAGTTCTTTCTACCATCTACTCCAGCTTGGTCTGACTCTGAACAGCCCGTTTCTCTCAGAGCGGCAGATCCTTCCAAAATGTATCATTTCATGTCATTTCCAGACTACAGTGTGACGGCAAACTCCAAACTGGTGGTTGTGACTGCTGGAGCCCGTCAGCAGGAGGGCGAGAGCCGCCTCAACCTCGTCCAGAGGAACGTCAACATCTTCAAGTTCATCATCCCCAACATCATGAAGTACAGCCCCAACTGCATCCTCCTGGTGGTCTCAAACCCAGGTATGACACAACGGCTGTCCACTGAGACCGGCGCCGGCATTGAATGTCCTTTTGCAATGAATGGTTTTAGTTGACGGCGTGTAGCTTCAGAAGCGTAAACAAATGTTCTCTTGTCTTCAGTTGACATCTTGACTTACGTGGCCTGGAAGTTGAGCGGTTTGCCCAGGAACCGTGTGATCGGCAGCGGCACAAACCTGGACTCTGCTCGTTTCCGTTACCTGATGGGAGAGAAGTTGGGCATCCACCCATCCAGCTGCCACGGTTGGGTCGTCGGAGAACATGGAGACTCCAGCGGTGAGGACAGCAGAGATGATTAGGAGCACAGATGTGTTTCAAGAGCGCAGTGAATACATGTAAACATCCCTCTTCTCTTTCAGTTCCCGTGTGGAGCGGCGTCAACGTGGCTGGTGTGTCCCTTCAGAGTCTGAACCCTGACATTGGTACCGATAAAGACAAGGAGGACTGGAAGAGCGTCCACAAGATGGTGGTTGACAGGTAATTTGCAACCAATTAAACATCCATACAGTGGTTTGGTACTTGACACTTATATTCGTCTCAGAACGACATAGAGAAAGGTTTTAGGGAGAGAGGCCAAGTGTTAAGAGTCGTCTCTATTCGTTTGTATATGATCTGTAATAAATGTATACTATGTGTCGCCATTAGAAAGCCTATAAATCAAGTCCTTGCGTAAATGTGTTTAGTCTGGACTCGTGGTTGTTTATCTGTGTTTAACACATAAATCTGGTTTGCTTTGGCAGTGCATATGAGGTTATTAAACTGAAGGGTTACACCTCCTGGGCGATTGGTATGTCTGTAGCTGACCTGTGTGAAAGCATCTTGAAGAACTTGCACAAGTGTCATCCAGTTTCTACTTTGGTCAAGGTGAGATTCTCATGTTTAGTTCTGGTTGACCTGCTGTCTTCATTAACCAAATATTGTGAACCATATTTTTTTGTAGTAGAGACAGAACATAAGTTCGTACATGTATAATAATAAACTCTGTCCCAAAACCGCCGTCTTATGACAAAATAGGCAGCTACCTTCTTAGGCAGCATCAAGTGAGTGATTATGGACAGCAATTGGACCTATTTGATGCAAACTTGAAGCACACAGAAGAACTAACATTTACAGTTGGTTCCAGTAGATCTTATGTTAGCATGTTGCTAAGCTAACAATCTTATGTACTGATCTGAACAACTCTTCATGGACACATGAAAGCTTGTTTCCCCAATGGAATAAAAGAATTTAAAAGATAATTGTGACTTTATCTTACGATTTTGACTTCCGAATTGTGAAATATAAACTTGCAATTCTTACTTTTTTTTTCTTGGAATTGCGACTTTATAACTCGCAATACTGAGTTTTTTTTCTCATAAATCTGACTTGCAATTGTGTGTTATAAAGTCAGAATTGTGAGATAAAAAGTCGCAATTACCTTTTTTTTATCCTGTGATAAACAACAAAATACACGCGTGTCACAAATAGTGCTCATCGCTCAAAGCGCATTCGATTTAACGCTCGCAGCTGGTTCGTTATGTTAGCGTTTTACTAAGCTAACAAAGTGCAAACGCATAAAAAAAAATGGGTGCAGTGTTAATTGGTCTGATCTATTTAATGTACCAAGTGATCTGAACAACACTTCATGCACAGCAACTCCTACAAATGCCACAAATAGGTGTGATGTGCACAAAAGTCTTTACTAACGTTCACAGTTGGATCCAATAGATCTTTAGTTAACATGTTGCTAAACTAACAAACTATAAATGCACAACTTGGATTTGCAACCTTTTGGTGGATTTGTAAGTACATAGAACTGTTTCATCTTCCCATGCTTTATTACTGAATATAGGCCTACTCAAAATGTATTGTTCCTACGTCATTATCTTAGCAACATGCTAACGGCAAACTCTGTTGGAAGGCATTGCAGAGTTTTCAAACCACTTGAGTTTCCTTGCTGAAAAGTTCTATTGCACTTTCTGGGCCCTATCATACACACCGCGCAATGCAGCGTCAGGCGCGACGCAAGTGTGTTTTGCTAGTTTCAGCCCGACGCAGTTATCATTTTCATGTCCTGCGCCACGTTGTTTAAATAGCAAATGCATTTGCGCCCAACTGTGCGCCCATGGGTTGCTGGTCTGAAAACGAGGTGTGTTCGGGCGCATTGTTGGCCCGTTGCTATTTTGAGGGAACTGAAATAGACTGAGACATTGACCAACAAAAACCTGGTCTAAAGTCAATGGCGCAATATATTTTTGTTGTTATTTAAAGGGGAACTTGGCAACTCTAGCCATTTCTTCACTGATTTTCGCTTTTGTTGTCGCATGTTTTCTCATCGAGCTCCCCCTACAGCTGTGGGGCGTATATTTCACAACACTGTCGTAAAAAAATTCACTTCCTCCCCCTTTTGATAACTAATGATCGTTGCTACGGAAGAGAGTCAATCAAAACTAACTTTAACTGGAAAATAACTTTATTCTAGAGCTGCCATAAAGCCAAAACAATCTGTTACTTTAATTTATTATTTACCTATTATCACTGTTAAGCCGCTTTAGAACAATCTACATTTTTTAAAAGCGCTATATAAATGAAAATGACTTTTTCTTTCTACCGCTGCTCATGTGCATTTGTTATTATCGGAGCCGGCCAACTTTATCGTTGGAGCTATGTCTACCGAGGTGGGTAATTCTAACCGGTATTGAAGGGGGCGTGTGTGTTTGTCGAATTGCCGTAAAGCAGTTCGTGTTTCTCGCTCGTTCTCGCTTCTCACGAGACTTCCTATTTCCAACTTACCGGGACGTTAGTCCCCATGTTGCAAGGTTGATTTTCCACCTGGGAACGCTGGGGGGAGCGGGGAAAGTCACCCATTTTCACCAGAACAGGTTATTTAACCATCCAAATGATTTCCAAACGGTTTTATTAAGTTGAAATAGTTGCCAAGTTCCCCTTTAAAGGGCGCATTAGTGCACTTGCGCCGTGCGCTTTAGACCATTAGCTTAGATCCTTAAAACAGCGTTCATATTTATCATAATACCGGTAGACATTTCCCTCGACTGTCCATCATTTTGGTCTAAATGCTTCTCAGAGTTTGTCACAGTGCATTGTGTGATTTTAATTATCCTTGAAGGGTACACTACATGCCATGCCGCTTTATATTAGGCCATAAAGAGGCAGAATAGTTATCTTTGAAACGGCCAGTTTAAAAATGTTGGCTAGATGCTAAGCTTACTGAGATTTGGAACAAAGCTATAAAATGCCTACCGGGAACCATTGTTTGACATTTGTTGTGTATTTACAGGGAATGCATGGTGTGAATGACGAGGTCTTCCTCAGCATACCTTGCATCCTGGGTAACAGTGGCCTGACAGATGTTGTCCACATGACCCTCAAACCAGACGAGGAGAAGCAGCTGGTGAAGAGCGCCGAGACCCTGTGGGGCGTTCAGAAGGAGCTGACCCTGTGAACCGCCGCCTTGTCCAAAATGTAGCCAGTGTCACAAAGTACAAACCTCAATGAGTCCTGCCTATCAATCTCCTGGCTTCATAAACCTTACTGCCTTTAACCATTAGAAATCTACACGCCAGTCTCAGACCTTTAGACTGTAACACTCCTTATTTTAGAGGTTTTAGCTCTGCAGAGGCGAAATCGTTTATTCCTGTTGTCTTTACAGAGATCATCACCCTTTGTAAACGTTCGTGTCTATGTTCACACTATTGTTATTCGAGTAAGAAGCACTTGCGAGCAGGATGATGTGCAATTTGAGTATTTTATTCTGATCTGAGGTCAGCTAGCATTCCGTACTTGCATCACGCTAATGATAATTTCACCAAGACGTAAAATCAAAGCTGTTTTAGTTTTACAAAATATCATTGTGTGTTTACATGTACTATAAAACGATAACGTGCAAAAATCAGCTCAATATACAAACCTGTCAACGCCAAGTTTTACGTTTTTAGGCAGGCTTGACATCAAATTGTAAAAAGACATGCGCACAATAGTCCTCATTTATGAAACTAGCAGAACGAAAATCAATCTGTGTAAATCGTTTGTAAAACCATTCTTGCGCAACTTTTTGCATTGCTTTAACAACAAACCATTTTAAATTTCTGAATTCGAATTGTTACAGTACATTAAATGTGACTGCTAATGTCAGACTGGTTTTGAATTGTCACGTTGCTAGTTTACTTAGAATGATTTTACGATCAGAATTTCTACATTAAATGAGACGATTAACCGAAGAATGGTTTAAAGAATGACTTTGAATTGTCGAGTGGAATGTGACAGTTGACAATTATTTAACAAATTATTTAGAAATTGGTGGTTGAACTGAATGTAATTGTTCAATTTGTATTAAAATTGCTTTAATTTCTTTTCATTTAATGAATTAAAGTAATTTGTGCTGTGCATGTTTCATGATTGAGGTCTATTGACTAACAGGACAGATTGTGAATAAACAGTGTTTACATGTTAAAGACAAATTGGCTTTACGGGCTTAACACGTCGTTAACATAGTTAATGTACACGTTGCAAGACTGCATATAAACACTCAATGTGACTTTGAACTGAAAATATATATATATATATATATATGGAAATAAAACCTTTTACAATGGCTACATTTGTTGTCTGTTGTCTAAGCAGAATTCATTGTAAATTATGCTATAACAAAACTATATCGAGGTGTTAAAAAACTACTTGTAATTGGTGCAAGTAAGTATGTATGCATCAGCTGGAAACAAAATGCTGTTGTCAATGTATTTTTATTTCTGTTAGTGTTGGTCCATGAGAACGCCGCACTCCAGCCGAGTGGTAAATGCACAGCGATGGTTATAGCTGTTACTTGAAGCGTGTGACTGTACAATTGAGACGCAGCCCGTAACCGAATAAACAATGTGACTAACTACAAAAGCTGTTTTTCTGTGTTTGTTCTCTAGACATAATAATTGTACTGAAACAAACTGGGTTTGTGTGAACCATGTTGTTTAAATAATCTGTCAAAAGTGTATTAAAGCATTTCCAAAGGTGCATTAAATGGCATCAATATAAGGCTGGTCTTGAGTTTAATACCTCAAGGTCAAAATACAAGTTAGCACAGTGGGACCTGCCAACCATTTATTACACACACTGATATGAAAACATGAGGCAATTGCTTCACAAATCTATCAAGATGTTCTTTTATTTGATCTGCTTGACAATCTATAGCCTGGAACAAATAAGAACAAATATTAGGGGGGAAAGTCTCTACGAAACAGCAACGCAAGTCTTAAAAATGTAATTCACATCCCAAAAGTGCATTAAAACAATTGCAACTGAAATCCAACAGGTAAGAAAAAAAAACATCTAAAGAATTGTTAATATTTTAAACCCATTTAGAAGAATAAACAGTCAGAAAATTGAAAGTACAGTACAACAGTTTATAGCTTTTCAGTTTTCAAAACAAACATTATTAGTAACAACCCATACTTGGTATACAACTAAATGATTTACAGTTATTACATCATAACGATAAATCTGGAACACCAAATAGTTCCCAATTGTGACGATAAATAATAAATTCAGCAAAATAATTGAAATATAAGTCATCACTGTTCAAGGTGAATCTCAAGAAATGTCATATTTTACCCCAAAATAAAAAAGGAACAATAAATTATATTTTGCATAAAGTAAATGAAGTCGATTTTTAGACAGTTACTTTTTTTTGCATTGTGATATTAAAGACATTTTACAAAAATTCTCGTAGTCAAGAGAAAAGAAATTATAAAATACGAATTAAATGTAATGTTGATTTTAATTCTTTTTTAAAGTAATCCAAAATGCTTGGATAAATTTTATAAATGTATTACAGTAATAACAATAAGACTTTATTTTTCTCATGTACTTAACTGTCATGATAATGCCACAATGTAAAAAATCTTAATAGTCCTAAAAATAGGTTTCATCTTTTTATGCAAAATGTACATTTTTCTTTTCATTTTTGGGGTGAATTTCCCTGTGATTCACGTAGGTATGGAGTATGACAATATTTTGTAACAGTGCCTGAATGAAAATAGGAGTAGCTATCCACATTTCTCACATATTACCTGTGGATGTCTCATTTTAAATGCATCACTCTGTATGGTTAATAAAAGTATCTAAAGCCAAAGGCGCAAACACCTGCCAGTTTAACATGAGAAGCTCAAATGAAAGTAGGAACATAATGTCTATGACGTATCATTTACTTCTAATTCTCAGGGCTAGTTTTGACCTTTTAGTGTTCAAATATCCAAATCAAGGAGGTACAGTAGCTAAAATTCTCACAGAAGTAAAATATCATAAACGGGTGAGCTCCCACTGACCCAGATCAGAGTCTGGGTCATATGATCAGCGCTGGAGTGTCAGGAGGAGAATGCATTGGTGACGGCAGGGTCAGTAAAGGTCACTCAGTCCAGCGGTCTTCCTTGCTTTCTGCATGAGCGCCCGCAGCTGGAACTGTTTTCGGGACAGCAGACGCACATGCTGAGGACAAAAACAGGACGATGTCAAACATAACATTACCAAGAAAATCAAATACAGGAGAATAAATGGCAAGTCTGTGGCAAAACCATTGTTCTCTGAAAAAAAGAAAGAAATAGACCTTGAGGAAGACCTCCAGGTCGATGACTCCTCTCCGCAGGGCTTCTCCCAGGTAAAAGATGGTGTCCTCTATAGCGTTCTCCTCTGCATACAGGTTCAGGATCTGCTTATAGAGCGGGGCTGTTGGTATGATCACGTCATCAATGTCATTGTTTTCTGATTGGTTCTCCATCTTCTCCAGAGCTTCACTCAGTTCCTCGTCCTTCTTCTTGAGGAGCTCAATGTTTCGGTCCACCTCAGCCTGAAGGTGCACAAACACACATCTAACGTCATGCTTCTACAAAAACTGTGGGATCTCAGTGCAGAATTTGGGAAGAACAACCTTCCCTATGGAATAACGTTCTTACCACTTCCTGGTCCAGGCGGGACACCATGTCTTCCAGCTTCTGGTGTCCTTTCTTCAGGTCTTCCTCTGTCCTCTTCAGGGCGTCCAGCTCGGCTTGCGCTCTGTCCATCTCCTCCTTCATTCTCCAGCGCAGTTTATCGCTCACAGCTGAGATTAGCGACGCTCGGATGGTGTCCTCACCGATGGTACCATCACGACTTGGACCTGGAGCGAGAAGACAGAGACACAAATTTAGTCCCACAGTTTTTTAGAGATAGCCAAGGTTATGAGTTTGATTCCTAAGAAATGCATGAACTAATAAAATTAATACACTGAATGCAATGTGAGGTCAGGCACTGATGTTGGACGAGAAGGCCTGGCTCGCAGTCACTGCTGTAATTCTTCCCAAAGGCGCTCTATCGGGTCGAGGTCAGGACTCTGTGCAGGACAGTCAAGTTCCTCCACACCAAACTCGCTCATCCATGTCTTTATGGACCTTGCTTTGTGCACTGGTGCGCAGTCGTGTTGGAACAGGAACATCCCCAAAACTGTTCCCACAAAGTTGGGAGCATGAAATTGTCCAAAATGTCTTGGTATGCTGAAGCATTAAGAGTTCCTTTCACTGGAACTAAGTGGCCAAGCCCAACCCCTGAAAAACAACCCCACACCATAATCCCCCCTCCACCAAACTTTACACTCGGCACAATGCCTTCAGGCAAGTCCTGTTCTCCTGGGAACCGTCAAACCCAGACTCGTCCATCGGATTGCCAGACAGAGAAGCGTGATTCGTCACTCCAGAGAACACGTCTCCACTGCTCTAGAGTCCAGTGGCGGTGGCTTTACACCACAGCATCCGACGCACTTGTTGATGTAAGGCTTGGATGCAACTGCTCGGCCATGGAAACCCATTCCATGAAGCTCTGTACACACTGTTCATGAGCTAATCTGAAGGCCACATGAAGTTTGGAGGTCTATAGCTATTGACTCTGCAGAGTTGGCGACTTCTGCGCACTGTGACCCTCAGCATGCGCTGACCCCGCTCTGTGAACGTGCCCTACCACTTCGTGGCTGAGTTGCTGTTGTTCCCAATTGCTTCCACTTTGTTATAATACCACTGACAGTTGACCGTGGAATATTTAGTAGTGAGGAAATTTCACGAATGGACTTATTGCACAGATGGCAACCTATCACGGTACCATGCTTGAATTCACTGAGAGCAACCCATTCTTTCACAATTGTTAGGCACGTTAGTAGATTCACCCCAAAAATGGTTTTAAGCGAGTTATTTATATATTTTGCTGTAGTGTGTCAGTAGAAAATATCAGTTTGCATTTCCAAACATTCTTTTTGCCATTAATTGTATTAAGTTAGATATAGTCTAGTTAGATATTTTTCTGCACAGGGAGTCTGACAACAGCCAGTATGATCCACACAGAGATTAATTCCACTGTGAAAACAACCCTTTTCTCCATTATTACATAAGTCGTGCCTCTAAGAATGCCTGCTGTCAGTGAGCAGCTCAGCTGAAACGTGTCCATACTATCTCAGCCATACAGAGACCCTCAGTGTGATTACAGACTCACACATTCTGCATAGCACTGTAGTTAATGTCATGGTTCAGACCTAATGATGAAAGTTCCCTGGGGTCTGATATCCTCTTCCCACTCCTGCCACTCTAAATATACCCACTAGCCTCTCTGTCAAACTGGGGGAACCAAGTCCTTTGACCTTTACCAGCTCAGAATCTAGTTACAGGCCCAACCTTTCAGAGCGCTCCAACGCGGTCACTGTAAACCAGTCACGGAGCCGGGCAGAAGACCAGAGGTCAGGGTCAAGACGAGGCAGAGATAGACGAGTAGAGCGAATATAAAGGGTGAAGTGTGTTGTACTTTTATGAAACTGACATTAACACGTTGTCTCATATAATTCAGCAAATAGTCTAGTTAAAGAATGATGTATATAGTACAGGCATTCTGTTGCCAATTCAGATTAACTCAGATGCAGATTAAATAAAGACAATTCAGACTGAATGTTGTCAATTCTCACATTCAAATTGAATATTGCTAATCCAGATTAACTCTTATTCATTCTTTAAAAAAAAAAAATACAATACACATTAACTCGCATTATTGAATGCTACTAATCCAAATTCTGAGTAAATGCTACCAATTCAAATGAATTCAGATTCAAACTGAATACCAATTCAGTTTAGCTCTGATTCAGATTCAGGGTTGCCAATTTAGATTAACTAAATTAACATATGTTCAGTGATTTAGATAAACTCATATTCATATTGAATGTAACCACTTTAGATTAACTAATTTAGATCCGGATTGAATGCTGCTCATTTAAATGCAGAGTAAAGGCTATCAATTCACATTAACACGGATTCAAATTTAATGTGGACAATTCAAATGAATTCAGATTCAAAGTGAATGCTACCACTTCAGTTTAGCTCAGATTCAGTGTTGTTAATTCAGATGATCTCAGATTCAGATCAAATGTTGCTCATTCAGATGAACTCAGTCAAACTGAACAGCAAATTTAGATTAACTCATATTCAATGTTGCAAATGATGTACCGGTACTGTTAATTCAGATCTACACTTTTTTTTATACTTAAATACTTCATACCGAGGCTGTGGATTACAAGTAATAATGTTGAAAATAATGTTCAGTTTCTTGCACAAACCGATCGTTTCACTTCATAAGACCTCAATGTATCGTCAATTTTGTTTAGCCTGTAATGGTTTTTTCGACTCTCAAAGTGACGGCAGCCATTGACTTGCATTATGTGAATCCCTAAGGACCACGGTTTCAGCTAAAAATCTTTAGATTTCTACTGAAGAAATAAAGACACATACATCTTGGATGGCCTGAGGATGAGTAACAGCAAATTTTCATTTTTGGGTGAACTAACCCTTTAACGTTGCCACTTCAAATGAACTCAGACTGAAATTGAACGTTGCCAGTGAAGATGAACTCAGATGCAAATTCACATAAATCCAGTAAATGGATAGTTGGCAATAAATTTGGCAATTCAGATTGAAAGGATCAGGAACAAGTCTAAAATCCATTTGCTTATTCCGAGGATATTGTGATTTGTGGGTTAAAATGATATATGAAGTAGTTTATCTCCAGAAATGAGCCAGAGGCGAACATGAGAACTCACCCACAGTGGTGGCAGGAGTCTGGGAAGGGTAATGTGCAGGACCACCTGTGGCAGGGTAAGCATTGCCTCCTGGGTAAGGGTAACCTGGGTAACCACTGAAGAAGACATACACCATTACATAACCAATTAATCACACTCTTTAATTACAACACTGCCTTTTAAACCATGTGTTTTTATAACATGAGGGTTGGAAAAAGTATGAATGACCTTAACAGGTTAATTTAATATTGTTCAGGCTGTTGCATGTGATCTTTGGTCAGACTGAATCAGATTGAATCATTACCATGGGTTTGGGTTGGGCCCGTACGGAGACACTGCTGGCATTCCTGGCATATAGGACTCTGGGAGGAGGAGGAGGAAGAGGAGGAGGACACAAAACAAACACTTCAGTATGGAGCAGGGAGACATCTGCTGTTTAAAACAGGCATTACTTTGAAAATGGGAATGGTTAAGAGATCATGTGAAGCTTATTTCATATTTTCAATCTGAGCTGAAAAAATAAGTCACATAAAAGTCTAAATTTTCAGTGCCCAAAATATATGATATTACAAACATAAAAAAAAAAAAACATTTTCCTTATTACAGATTAAAGTATCTATGTTTTACCACCACGCATCCTATAAGGATATATCTCTAGGTCAAGAAATGTCTGTATCCTATTGCCAAAATCTACAAAAATTAGAAATTATATTTTGCACACAAATTTTTTTTTTTTTTTGAAACATTAGGATTTTGCACTTTGACATTATTTTTATGCCATTACTTGTTTTTATAAATATATTCAGTACAACAAATACTTTAGTCTTTTAAACTACCATGTATACTAGTTATTGTTATTAATAAAACAACTAATAAACATTTTAAGTAATTGAAATAAAGCTGAAATAAAATAAAATATAAATATTAGCTGAAAAACATTTTAACTTACTGCCTTGGCATAAGTTGGCAACAAACTGAAATAAATTCATTTAAGTTTAAGTACAAAAATTACTAAAACTAAAATCAAAATAATAACACTGATGTATACTTACATTTGTATAGTACAAATGTACTTAATTTATCATTACATTAATGAGAAAATCTGCAAAACAATCTTGACCTTCATTTTTGTAACATAAATAATATAAATTCTCTTTTTATATATTTAAAACTGTACATATCACTTGGAAAATGTTTTGTTTTCTGTAGGGATGCTCCTATCAGGATTTTTGCAAACGATACCGATTACCGATTTATTTTGTCATCCGATTCATTCAAGCTTTATATAAGTAATAATTAAGCTCTCGGTTGAATATTTTTTTCCAGATAAGTAATAAGTAAGACATTATTTATAGTAATGCTATAGATTGTTGTTTTAATTGAGAATCAAAAAAATAAGCACAACAAATATTAATTTTACAATAAACATTTTAATAAGCCGTTTAAAAAGGGCTTATCCATATTAGGATACTCTGGCTTACAAGGCTTTATGTCAAACTGGGTATAATTACAACCAATAAGGTATAATTAAACATTGTGTGGCGGTGCGGAAAAAAAGTCCAATATGTGACTGAGGACCAAAAAAATAATAATAGAAAAACTGCAACTCCTAAATGAACTAAATGAGTCTGATACCAAAATGATCAGGAAGATTATTCAGCAAGTGCAGAGTATTTGTGTCGTTCCTTCCTACGTCCTACACATGTGTAGGCAGAATTATCTTTATAAATTCAAGATTTTCACCTCTTTTCATCCCAAACATATGCGGCTGTACTGAAGTCGCTCACCATCTACACTTGAGCGCTAGAAGCGCTAGAAATAGAAATACAACATCAATGTAGTTCAAATGTATTTTGTACACTCAAATGTACAAAAACAGTGCATAATCTTCACAAAAGTGATTTAGTTGAGAGCAATGAGAGACTGTTTGATTAACATGAATGACAAGGACGACAGCAGCTTTATTAGCAGGCTTTCACTTTAACACCGAGTGCACTGTTTACGTTCACTTAAAGGAGTAGTTCACTTCAGAAAACATTGCAGGATTTTTCTCCATATAGTGGACTTCAACTGTTTAAAGGTCCAAATTGCAGTTTCAGTGCAGCTTCAACGGCTCTACACGATCCCAGCCGAGGAATAAGGGTCTTATCTAGCCAAACCATCGGCCATTTTCTAAAAAATCGAAACATTTATATACTTTTTAACCACAAATGCTCGTCTTGCACTAGCTCTGCGATACGCCACACATTACGTAATCACGTTGAAAGATCGGTACTTCCACCTACGTCACGCTTGACCTTTCAACGTGATTACATAATGTGTGGCGCATCGCATCTAGTGCAAGACGAGCATTTGTGGTTAAAAAGTATATAAATGTTTGTTTGTTTTTTGATTGATGGTTTGCTAGATAAGACCCTTATTCCTCGGCTGGGATCGAGAGCCGTTGAAGCTGCACTGAAACTGCAATTTGGACCTTCAACCCTTTGGACCCCACTGAAGTCCACTATATGGAGAAAAATCCTGGAATGTTTTCCTCAAAATCCTTCATTTCTATTCGACTGAAGAAAGAAAGACATGAACATCTTGGATGACACGGAGGTGAGTAAATTATCAGGAAATTTTAATTCTGAAGTGAACTAATCCTTTAAGACATAAACGACCGTGTTTACGACACATAAGTGTGTGTATCGGCCTATTTTAGATACTCCCAATCGAGTCACAGAATGCGATTATCGGCCGATGCCGATCGACTGGAGCATCCCTAGTTTTCTGAGATTCGCGGATGAACACACGATATGAAGAGATGCTTACGGTTGGGGGGTCCGGCAGCTTGGAAGGCCTGGTAAGGAGGCTGTGTCGTGGGTCTGGAGAAAACAGGCGGCTCCTCGCCAAACACCACGATCATGACCTGGATGAGCCCGTATAGATCTGACTGAGGCTAAAGGGCCAGGAGATAATAATGTAAAAGTTGAGTGGGAGATTTGACATAGTCCAGCAGGTTGTTAATTTCCATGTCATTTTTATTTCTTAGACATTGGAGGAAAACATTGCTATTAGAATGCAATAGTTTTGTGAGATGATGGAGTCGTACATGCTTCCACTCGTGCAGGTAGGGAAGGTAGATCTTGCCGTTGGCATCAATGTGTTTGCCGGTCTTGATCATCATCGCACTGGTGGGCTTCACAAAACATATAGGAGGATTGTAGGGATACGTATCCAACAGCCACAAGCACACGGGAATATTGTACACATTTCCTGTGACGGGAAAACCAGTTTAGTTATAAGTGTTGTAATGTTGTCTTCATCTTTACACTATAAACAATTCTCTAACCCACCTCTATAACTAACTGGTACAGTTCCTGTGAGGCTCATCAAGTCTCTGGATGATCCGTCATTAAACACTGTGAGAGAAACATCAGTTACTCGTGAAAAACTCAAAGAAGTCCATTAACATTTCCAGAGATCTACAAAGTGCAGGATGAGAGACTCTTACCGTACGCATCCATAACGGGTTTGAGGTCTTTGTACTGAGAGATGACGTTTGTTATCTCTCGGACAGTGAGATCTCTGTACTTGTATTGCTGAATATAGAAAAACAATACACTAATATAAACAACCCAATAATCTTATTAACAAATTATTGTCTCTATTTTAAAGCCTTATCAAAATTAATTGCATGAAAGTACATTGAATCAATAATACATTTCAAACTATTTAAATGTGTATTTAATCATATGTTAAGAATTATATAGCCTGTGTAATAATGTTTGCTAATTAAATCAATTTTTTATAAAATATGAATATAACTATTTTGACTTAAAAAAGGTAAAACTACTTATGAAACCACCCAAATCCAATACATACCGATCCAATAACCTGCCTAATACAGTAGATACACTGAACATAAACAAATGTTTAAAATGGTCTTGGCATCTAAATAAAATAAAAAAGTAATTACTCAAACTAAAACTGAAATAAAAATAAAGCTAAACCAATGACAAAAGCCATATACAAAATTCAAAATCACATAAAATAACTATTACTAAAATTTTAAATTAAAACTGAAAATATAAAATTAAAAGCTAATGCAAAATATAACTAAACATTACAATAGTACATTATTAATACTAACATAATACTGATGTATACTTAAATTGTATGGTACACATGTACATTAACGAGAATGAGAAAATATGCTAAGATGCTAAGTTTCATTTTCTTTATCTTTTCTTATTTTAAAACTGTAACGTTATCCATTGTAAAGTCTTATCACAATTAATTGTATGAAACTAATTTAATCAAGATATACCATGATTCAACAATGAACTGTTAAGTGTAAATATTTTTCTTTACGAATGTTATTACTGAAAGTTATAATAAAATATAACAAAACTAGGCTATGCTGACTTTTAAAAAACACTCAGATGCAGTATTACAACGATTTCAGTACATCTAATATAAATATAGACAAAAAGCCTGCCTGCTACAGTCGATATGACATTATTTCACATTTTAACACAATAAATATCAAATGCCCTTCATACTCTTCCCTATTAAATTTAAGTAACGTTAACTATTCAAAATGATAGATTACAGACATAAGGCGCCATACAAACCTTCAGCATCTTTTTAAGAGCTCCCTCGTTGACAACAGCCATGATTTACTATACAAATATAAAAAACACTAAAGTCCTGAGCAAAAAAATAATAATAAATGTGTGAAATATATGAATGTGTCTCAGCTCAGGCCAAAACACACAACAACCCCTAAACACTCGTATTAACGCCTGCTGTGTGACACAACCACACTCTAAATGTCTTAAAAACTCATTAATATAGTCTGAATTATGGCTATTTAAAGAGACTTCAATAAATATAAGTAAAGTCGACTAGCGTTCATCTCGAGAAAGATAAACAATACGAACGATGCGAACGTCAATACAGTAAGAGAGTTTCACTTCCGGTGACAGTGTGTTGGATTTTTCAAAATAAAAGTCGGACGAGTAGTTTCTGTTTATGATACATGACAATCATATATAATTCGTTAGTCATAATTCATCATTTATTTTATGCATTAAACATAATATAATGCGTATGCTCTATTTAATAGACTTTAACCGTTGTGCCTCCTTATGGACATTTTTGTCCTTTTCAGTTTTGTTCTTTGATCACTTTGCCTGTGTTAATGCTAACTGCATACAATTTGGCACAGGTGTGTATTTTTGGGGGGAATTTTACTATTTCACCTCCATTTTCTTTAAAAAAAATTAATTGTGCTATAGGTACAGATTAAAATACTCTCACTCAGTGCCTTTTGGACAAAAACGTTCCCATTGAAACCCATTAAAACTGCACTTTTTAATCCCAGGGCCATTTAACTATAAAATGATGCAATCTTTGTTAAGAGCCTTTCATTGTGTTGGCAAGGCTTCAAAATTTTAATTTTGACTATTTTTTTTACCAGATGGTGCCATTTTTCCAGGTTTTGCCTATAAAAGCAAATACTCGCTTTATTCCTGTTTTCTGCTTCGGCATATTATAGAGCCAATTGGATAAATTATGCAACGATATTTGTGTGGGTGTGTTGGTATGGATGTCAGAGTGTGGTTAGCATGTGTGTTATAAAAAAATATGTGTGTGTGTGTGTGTGTGTGTGTGTGTGTGTGTGTGTGTGTGTGTGTGTGTGTGTGTGTGTGTGTGTGTGTGTGTGTGTGTGTGTGTGTGTGTGTGTGTGTGTGTGTGTGTGTGTGTGCATGTGTGTGTTTGTAATATTGAGAGAGAAATACTCAACTGCAAATAACAAATCCAATCACTGTGTGACCAGTGGAGTTTTGCTGGGCTGGCACAATGGGGAAAATCTGTTACTGCGCCCAAACAAAATCTTACCGAAAGCTCATTTTTTGAGATATCATCCTCAAATTTGGAACACAACATCTTTAGATTTATGGCTTTGATTTTCGAGCTGTTTTAGAGTTCAACTTGTTTCATAAAATATATATTTTATATAAATTAATGTTCATAAATAATTTTCATAAACTTAAACCTGTATAACTTTTTTTTGGATTTTCTTATTCATTTTTTTGTTCATAATCTGCCAAGGGTCTTCTTTAAAACGATATCAAACATAAGTCTGTGCTCCCAAGCTTCACATTTTTATGACAGTTTTTTGACACGGACATTTTTGTCCTTTATGTACCTATGTGTAACATTTTTTAATTGAGGCACAAGGGTTAATTTTTCATTTTCTAGTTTAGGTTGGTTCATTTTTTTAAAAATGTACATTCCACTGTCGTATGTTAAACATCCACAGACAAAACCAACACTTGACAACAGTTGATTCATTTAAACTACTTTTAAATTAATGCAATGAATCTAACTTTTTAAACTTCATGTTTATTTTAATGTGAGTGTATATGTAGTGATGTCTAATTATGATATACAATAAGTGTATTAAATGCACATTTACATAGGCTATCTGAGTAGGTGTTTTGGTATAATACAGGTCAAAATAAGGATCAATGAAAAACATTTGAAAGAGCATGAATCACTAGGAAAACATTGCATCATACACATGTGACTTGTGTATTTACATACAATTTACAAGACATTTATGCTCAAATTTAACATTCACTATTATTATTTTTATACAAAAGTTTTATATACAAATCATATTTCAAAGATATTCAGCAAGCTAACAGATGGTTTCATTATGTTCGGAGAAAGGAAGATCACCCTCACTATCCAGCGTCACATGTGAGAAGTCCTCAAATGACTGTACTTTGTGAGCAGATCTTGCTGTAAATAAACAAGAATAGTCATTTTACCTAAATATCCACACCAATACGCAAATGTATTCGTCTATAAGAGTGCAAAATAATAAAGTATATATCACTTTGTCATCAAAATACCACGTTTTTCTGTTGTAAGTACCATTGCTCAGTGATAACTTCAGTTTAATAAAGCATAAAATCACATCAATCATTGAACACTTTATCATATTTCAGATAACATAAACTAGGTCTAAACTGCCTGCTTATCTGTTTCCCAAAAGCAATTAGAAGAGATTCAGGAGTTAAACTGCTCTATTCACATGTGAAAAGTGAATGGCGTGAAGGGAATAAACAGGGAAACTCACAATCTTCTGGGTCGAGACACATCCGCAGAGGAGGGATCTCGCTAAACACGGTCATCATGACCTGAATCAAGCCGAGCAAGTCACACTGCGGCTGTAAATACACCCACAAACAAACAGAAAATTGTAAATCATTTGTGTAGTGGCAGGCGAAAACCATTGCAGCATCTTCAAGCTGTAGTCTTACATGTCTCCACTCGTCCAGGTAAGGCATCAGGATCTCCCCATTGCTGTTGACGTGTCTGCTGGGCACAACCGCCATCTCACGGGTGGGTTTCAGGTAGCAGATGGGGGCAGTGCGTGGATAGCTTTCCTTTAGCCACAAACTCACTGGAATATTGTACAGTTTCCCTAAAGCACAAAGTGTAGAAGTGTTTTGCTTACTGCATAACATGTTTCTTGAGTGTAAAACAACAGGGAAGGAAGTCTACTTATCTTTATGGTCTAACTTACCATTAAAAAACACCTTTATAGTTCCAGTCAAACTGATCAAGGTCTTTGCTGTGCCATCATTAAAGACTGTGAGGAAATTACAGGAAAATGAAAAGCTGAAAAAAGTTCATGTAGTTGGAAACATAAACATACAATCTTAAGTTCACTCTTAGGTTCACACTGTAAACTTTTCTTGTTTTATATGGCAAATAACTGTAAAATAACTGTCCATTAAAATGATTGTAATATAACCAAACAGTACTAAACTGTGATATGGACGCAATATGTCTCATATGATTTTTTTGTGATGTCCATTATTAATTACAGTAAATTCAAGTTGAGTCAAACTCTTTCTGTCTTTGTAAAAGTACACATTTTTATATTAATTTTAAATCCTTTTTTAAAATAATAATTATTGTTATCATTGCTTTTATTCTGTAAAGCACCAGAACATTGTTATTTGTGGATAAATCACTAATGTGAGTGAATATTAAATTGTAATATCCCTGTGTGGGTATCTGCATATTTACATATTTAAGTAAGTCCTTTGTTATGATAAAGTCTGAATATAAATAAAGATTTCAAACTAAACTGAGCATGAATTACTAGGAATGCACTGAATCATAAACATGTGGCTAGTAAAACAAATATTTGTATTTACATAAAATATAGTAGTCTATATAGGTGATATTCATGCAATATTTCTCAGGGGTTTTTGTGATACCATTTATTAATTAGTGAGTTCAATTAAAAAAAATTGTTGTCACTGTAAAAGTACACAAAAAGATTTATTTAGCATTTTTGTTATCTTTGTATAACTTACAATTGTTTCAATTATTATACATTATTTTGAAATAAATCAAATTATTATTATATTATTCATAGTATTATTATTTTTAAAGCAACAAGAACATTAAGAATAAAATTTATTTGTAGATATTTTAGAGCCTTTTATAACATCAGCCTGTAAAAACATTTTGCTTCAAAAAAGTAGTACTTTTGCATATTGTGTAATGTATAGTGAAGTTAAACACAATGTGTAAACTTGTAAAGTTTAAAGTCTACAGAACAATACAGTTTCCAAATGCTCACAGATATTTTGTGAAAATGCTATACAAATAAACTGAATCATATTGCTCACCAAATCTCTCCAGAACTGGCTCAAGATACGGATGCTGAGACACAACCGTAGAGATCTCTGACAGCACCTTTCTCCTGTGATCATATGTCTGAAAACACGGCCACATACATGGCTTTATTATACGTATGCACTTACCTGCTACATACACCTAAAATATTTCATAATGCCATGTCGTATTTGTAAGTAACACTTAAAGGCATAGAGTAATTCACCCAAAAATGACAATCCTGTCATCATTTACTCACTCTCAAGAAGAAAGCTTCATACCGGTTTAGAACAACTTGACGGTGAGAAAATTATGACATGATTTTTATTTTTGGGTGAACTATCCCTTTAAGAAAGCCGAATTGTGAAACATTTACATACAAATAATTCTTAAAGTTTTACCTTAGGTAATCTCCGCTTTAGATCACGAACAACTGTCATGATTTCAAATTAAACACAAACTGAGACAAGTGCTGTTTAGCTCCTGAAGGTCTTACGGTGTTTTTCCACAACAGTAGGCTATACGTTTATGAAGCTCATATGAGTGCTCACCTTCAGCTCAATAAAACAAGTTATTGCCATAAACAGCCAATAGCAGAGCAGTTTTATGGAGATTTATGCAAACTGGGATGAACTGTAATCTACCAACTAAAGGTCATTCAGAACAAATAAACCGCACATACATTCATATGCGTGTGACAACCAAAGCTGGTGCTTCTTCAAAAGACATCACAAGGAAGGAAACATTCATTCATGTCAATGATTGATGTACAGCCACACTAACACACACTGATAAACAAGCATGTTGTCTTGAAAATGTTGTATGTATTATATAGTTCTATGTACAATTATTAATAGTCATGTGTTAAACCAACACAATCTCACAGTAATTCATAAGTATTTTATGAGGTGGATAATTCATACGACCTCACGTACGTTTTCTTACGATTTGTTTAGACCAGGTAAGATTAGCGGTGGTCCTTCCAGGTGACCTGGTAAACATTTTACGAATTCATGATTCACTCAAATCAAATACGAATTAGTACTGTGAGATCGGGTTGGTTAAACCAAGCATTTTTCTGACCCAATAATATGGAAACATTTGATGATGCAACATATTATATTATACATTGATATGTTATGATATGTATGTTACATTTTATGTTATATGTTATACGTATGCTATGCTATGTTATGTTATGACTAACTTTTATATTTTGCCATTTTTGGTTATTGTTACATGAGTGTTACAATTAAGGTGTTTAAACACACACACACATATATATATATACATACACAGACACACACACACTACAAGTTAAAGTTTTATATTAATTAATGTTTTAATTGAATAAAGTCTCTTATGTGTACTAAGGCTGCATTTATTTAATCAAAAATACAGTAAAACAGTAACATTGGGAAATATTACTACAAATTAAAATGAAAAGTATTCTCTCTTTTAAATTAATTCTTAAAACAGAAATTAATACCTGTATTAGGCAAGGGTGCATTAAATTGGTCTAAACAAGTAACAGTAAAGACATTTATAATGTTACAAAATATATATTTTAAAATAATAAATGCTGTTCTTTTGAACTTTCTATTGTATATTTCTATTAAGTATATAATATTCAATATATAATAATAGTAATATTCAGCTGTCATAAATGTCACAGGAATAAATAACAACTTAAAATATATAGCCTACTGTATAAAACTTTTAAATGGCTATAAATAGTAATAATATTTCATAATATTACAGTTATGAAAACAAACATTATGATAACCTTCCTAATATGCTGTTAGTCCTCTGAGTGCTGCCAAAACAGCGCCGACCCGCCGATGCATGGACTCTACAAGACTCCTGACGGTGTCCTGTGGTTTCTGGCACCAAGACTTTAGCAGCAGATCCTTCAAGTCCTGTAGGTTGCAAGGTTTAGCCTCCGTGGATTGAACTTGTTGGTCCAGCACATCTCACAGATGCTCAATATGATTGAGATCTGGGGAATTTGGAGGTCAGGGCAACACCTTGATCTCTTCATGTGTGCAGTGTGTCAGGCTGCTTTATCCTGCTGAAAGAGACACTTCCACCAGGGAACACTGTTGTGATGAAGGGGTGGACCTGGTCTCAACAATGTTTAGGAAGGTGGAACGTGTCAGATTGTCGTCCACATGAACGATCAGACTCAGGGATTCCCAGCAGAAGATTGTCCAGAGCCTCACAGTCCCTCCACCGGCTTGACGTTTTCCCACAGTGTATCCTGGTGCATCACTTCCCCAGGTAAACGGCACACATGTACACATCTGCCCATGTGACGTAAAAGAAAACGGGACTCATTAGACCAGATGACCTTCTTCCACTGCTCCAAGGTCCAGTTCTGACGCTTGCATGTCCGCTGTAGACGCTTTCGACAGTGGACAGGGGTCACAGGCACTCTGATCGCTCTGTGGCCACACAAGCCTCGCCGTTTCAGAGATACTCTAAACCAGTTGCCTTGCCATAATTTGGCCCTAGTAAAGTCACTCAGATCTTTATTCCTGCCCATTTCTCCTGCATCCAACATGAAATGATTGTTTGCTTACCATCTAATCTTCCCAAAGACCTTAATATGTGCCTCGTTAGGGGATGATCAACGATATTCACTTAACCTGTGACAGGTCATAATGCTTTGGCTCACCAGTGTGGCAACCACGAGTTCTGTGGGAGAAAATGCCTTGTTTAAGCCAGAGGTCAGAGAATGGTCAGACTGGTTCAGCTGATAGAAAGACAACAGTAACTCAAACAATCAGTTGTTACAACCGAGGTCTGCAGAAGAGCATCTCTGAACAAGTCGAGCCTTGAAGCAGAAGACACACCGGTGACACTCCTGTCAGCAAACTGCAGAAAACTGAGGCTACAATTCATACGGGCTCACCAAAATTGGACAATGGAAGATTGGAAAAACGTTGCCTGTTCTGACGAGTCTGGATTTCTGCTGCAACGTTCAGGTGGTCGGGTCAAAATTTTGCGTAAACAACGTGAAAGCATGGATCCATCCTGCCTTGTCACGGCGGTTCAGGCTACTGGTGGTGTAATGGTGTCGGGGATATTTTCTTGGCACACTTTGCGCCCCTTAGTACCATTTAAACCTCATTGAAACGCCACAGCATATCTGAGTATTGCTGCTGTGCAGGTCCATCCCTTTATGATCTTCTGATGGCTGCTTCCAGCAGGATAACACGCCAAATGTCACAAAGCTCAAATCATGGTTTCTTGAACATGACAATGAGTTCACTAAACTCAAACGGCCTCCACAGTCACCAGATCTCAATAGAGCACAGTTGGGATGTGGAGGAACGGGAGATTCACAGCTGACAAATCTGCAGCAACTGCATGATGCTCTCATGTCAAACTCTCTGAGGAGTGTTTCCAGCAGCTTGTTGAATCTGTGCCATGAAGAATAAAAGCAGTTCTAAAGGCAAAAGGGGGTCCAACCTGGTAGCAAGGTTTACCAAATAAAGTGGCCAGTGAGTGTTTACACACACACACACACACACACAGAAAAAAAAAAACATTTTAAAAGATAATTGCGGCATTTTATCTCACAATTGCGATATAAAGTCACACAATTCTGACTTTATATATCCCAAATATGACTTTCTTTAATTTCCCAACTGCATGTTATAAAGTCAGAATTGCACACAAAAATTTAAACACAATTTCGACTTTATATCACGCAATTCTGACTTAACACACAATTCTGACTTTATAACACGCAATTCTCTTTATAACACAATTCTGACTTTATAACACGCAATTCTGACTTAATAACACACAATTTCGGCTTTAGATCACGCAATTCTGACTTAATAACACAATTTCGGCTTTAGATCACGCAATTCTGACTTAACACACAATTTCAGCTTTAGATCACGCAATTCTGACTTTATATCTCACAAATCTGACTTTCTTTAATCTCCCAACTGCATGTTATAAAGACAGAATTTACTTCCCTCAATTGCGAGTTTATATCACGCAATTCTGACTTTATATCGCGCAATTCTGACTTTATATCGCGCAATTCTGACTTTATAACACACAATTTCAGCTTTATATCACTCAATTCTGAGAAAAAAGTCAGAATTGTGTTATAAAGAGAATTGCGTGTTATAAAGTCAGAATTGTGCGTTAAAAAGTCAGAATTGCAGAATTTTTTTTTATCTCACAATTGCGATATAATGTCACGCAATTCTGACTTTATATCTCACAAATATGACTTTCTTTAATCTCCCAACTGCATGTTATAAAGTCAGAATTGCACACAAAAATTTAAAACACAATTTTGACTTTATTTCACGCAATTCTGACCTTTTAACACACAATTCTGACTTAATAACACACAATTTCGGCTTTAGATCACGCAATTCTGACTTTATATCTCGCAAATCTGACTTTCTTTAATCTCCCAACTGCATGTTATAAAGCCAGAATTGATTTCCCTCAATTGCGAGTTTATCTCACGCAATTCTGACTTTATAACACAATTCCGACTTTAACACAATTCTGACTTTATAACACACAATTTCAGTTTTATATCACTCAATTCTGAGAAAAAAGTCAGAATTGTGAGATAAAAAGTCGCAATCACCTTTTTTATTTTTTTATTCTGTGGCGGAAACACGCTTCCATAGTTATCTTCTTCTTTTTTTACCAGTACATTGATTAGAAATCTAATGACATTTAAAACATTTTGCAACAATAACCTCACAGACAGAATTGCAAAACAAACAAAACCTTCTTCAAACTCAACAGTTTTTATTTTTGAAAATTCAGTCAGCCTTTTTAATGTTCTAATGGTAACGTTCGTTCGTAACATACACATATACCAGCACACATAACTAATGCTTCCGTTTCGATTTCCACAAAGCCCTATTCACAACGTTATGTTAAAACAACCCGCACGTTAAGCAAAAACGACTCCATCCAGATTATTTTGTACATAGTTTCCGACATCCATTCTCTCGAACCGATATATGCTTTCTGTGAGGTGCAACTGAGGGGGGGCGGGGGTCACGGGATGAGGTCACTAGTGTCCAGTCTTTTCCATCGGCGCTGAGGAAGGTTTTGTGTAACGTTGAGGTCATGAGATGTGCCAAGTCCTTTTAAGACCAGTGTTGAGACTTCAAGAACAATAATTTAGCAGAAATCCACAGAGTCGCCCAGCACGAGTACACTGGGGTTACAAATAAAGAACATAAACGAGTAAGTCATTAGTGGTGTTTATCAGGCAGACGTGGACAGCCAGAGAGGTCACCCGGGTGGTCAACGCAAGACTCCTTCCGGTTTCAAATGTTCGTTACGCAGGAGGCCTTGCTCGCTTTTCCTTAACAGTCGGGTTCAGATGAGACGGCACGTCTTTCCTCTCGGGTCCAGTCTGCCGCACGGGACCATGGGTAAACTTCTCCCAACACACGCCAGTCAGCTGGGGACCAGAAAACAGGAAGTGTAGATATGGGTGAATCAAATGAAAAACATTTCTTTGTCATATTTCACCCCAAAATTAAAAGAAAAATTGTGTTTTTGGTTACACTTAATTTTAAGGTGTCATTGTTACTGTGTAATTATATATTTAAGTACTGAGTAATATTAACTAACTACATTTACTTACTATAGGGTTAGGGTAGATTAGGTTGAGGTTTGGTTGCATGTAATTATGCATAATTTACTGTTATTACTATGATAAGTATATGTTACATATGTAACAAGGAGAGTGTAAAATAAAATGTTTTATACTAGGAAACTGAAGCATTAAAATTTTGTATGACATTTGGTTCTCATGAAATTTCACTGCCAATTAAAATAAAAAATTAAAATGCCAAAAATAACATAATGTGCCTTGACTGTTTTCCTTTTTAGTTTTTTTCTAGCACTGAAATACATTTGTACTAAATTGTTTATTATTATTTTTTAAAATCCATAATTAGGGCTGGGCAATGATTAATTGCGATTAACATAATGTGTGTTTGCATAATATATGTGTGTGTAACGTGTATAATTATTTTGTATATGCATATACTAAAGAAAAATGTATTAATAATATATTAAATATTAATATATAATATACATTATATAAATATATATACAGTATATACATCAAAATATTTCCTAAATATATGTATGCATATGCGTGTATTTATATATACAAAATAATTGTACACAGTACACACACAAATATTATGTAAACACAAACTTTTATTTTGGATGTGATTAATCGCGATTAACCGTTGCTCAGCCCTATATTTTGGTAAAATGTTTTTCTTTTCTTTTTTAATTAATAAATTAAAAGGCAGACAACAAACACTATCATGATAGAAAAAGACTATATATATATATATATATATATATATATATATATATATATATATATCTGTATATATGTGTATATATAATATATATATATATATATATATATATATATATAAGAACTGGGTTTTTGTTGGTTACTGTCATGGAAATCCCATCACAAATAAAAAATAAAAAATATAATTAATATATTAAAAACAATTTATAAATAAATACATTTTTCAACTTTGATATTAACAGTAAATGTTTCTTGAGCAGCAAGTCAGTGATGTTGTCATGTGACACTGAAGACTGGAGTCATGATGCTGAAAATTTGCGTTGATCACAGGTAAAAATGAGAAAATTCCGTTGTTTTAACTTAGCATAAAACTATAAAACATAAAAAAATATTACTTTGGAACGGAGGGGAAAATCCCATAATGTGCCTAACAGATATTTATAAAACTTTATTGATTTTTTTTTCTTTTTTTCTTCATACAAAACAGTGAGCATGAATGAGATATATAGTGATAGTGATGCTTACCTAAGCAAACACGACTAATAAATATGTAAATATAATATTTCCCTCTCTCGCTAGTGCTGGCATGCATGTCTAAGGTTGCCAAACCTTGATCTATGAACTTTCTCAGCAATTCTGTGATTGTCAGGGAAGATTTGCAGCTTATTTTGCGTGATCAGAGAGTAGTGAGTAATTTGAAGACCGAAACCAATGTGTTATGCAGTTGCTTCACTATCTTTTACATGGTCTGTTCACTGTGTCTTAACATTAGGCATGTCATTATGTGTGTTTAAGCACCTTAATCACGACACGACGCAGCGGCAGCTCATGCAGTCCTGTCCACTCTCATCCGGGGGGTTCAGCTTCCTCATTTTGTGTTGACGGATCTCTCGTACGAGCGTGTAAAACGCGTCCTCCACACCCTGCAGAGATGTACACTTACGATGAGAAAAGACAGCCCTCAATGCTGATGCTATCAAGAGATTTCAAGAGCAGTGATTGCTCAGAAACTTACACACATCTCAAAAATGAGTAACAAATGTGACAACCAAAATAATCTCTAGATCTAAATAACTACATGGAAACCCACAACTAGTAATGAAACCGTGACACCCTAGAGTAAAAGATGATATAAGTGTGTTCTTTGTGTTACGCCGATCTGATGAGAACTACGAGGTAAAGACCAAGCAGCTGTGAGTCATTCCCTGCAGTGTTATACAACACATCCTGTGTGTGTGTGTGTGTGTGTGTGTAGGTGGCCATGAGGAGAATTACAGCATTAAATACTGCAAATCCAAAGAATCTCCTAGAACCGTAAAACCCTTGAGACTAATTCTAGACACAGAAACCAAAATATAGATCCATCGAAAATTCTGTCCTATTTTAAAGCTATAAATGGGAAAAACTTCCAAAAGATACAATCAGCAGTGGGATGTTTTCTATTTTGAGGCAGGGTTTATATATTTAACTAAAACTAAAATTATATAATATTATTTGAAATAAAATAAACGTTAACTGAAATAAAGTAAAATACATCAAAAACCATAAACTTGTTTTATTTCAGTTAGTTGCCAAAGCAAAATTTCTCATTTTCATTTAGTTTAATTTGATGTACTAAAATACCAAAAAAAGAATACAGATTTATATAAACTCTATATGAAAACACTCTAAAATTACTAAAATTGTAATTACTATCTTTTTATTCTTATTTAAAAATATTTATTCATTTTATTCTACAGACATGTGATCATCTAAGGACCAAAAAGGAAGGTGTGTGTGTGTAAAATCACATCCCTGATTTTAGTGAATTACCCAATACAGTGTTGGGTAAGTTACTCTAAAAAAGTAATTGATTACTAGCTACTAATTACATCTTCAACAGTGTAATTACATTACTGTACTATTTACTCTCTCTAAAAAGTATCAGATTACTTGTTACTAATTACGTTCTAAATCCCATATCAACCTTGATCAGATGAACAATACAAGGACAGACACGAAACTGACCTTTTGATTCTTTCACATAAACAATATACAATTGCATACATTATTCTCGAACTGAAACTGTAAATGGAGAATGTTATATTAAAAACAAATTTGATGTTAAATCCACTATTGTATTTAATGCAATTACCGTACATCAGACGTAACTGTAATTAAATTACAGAAAAATAAAAATTCCCTTACTTTACTTTTTAAGGGAAAATTAATGAAATTACAAAGTAATTAATTACACCTATCACTGATTATATAATATAGTAATTACTATTACATGATATTATTATTGAATATAATACTTTTATTGATTAATTATTCAATAATTATACCTTAATTAAACAGGCCAACTTTTATTTTAAACAAATGTTAAAACTTTGTCTCAGGCCTCGCTGCAGTTCATTTTGATGTGAATGGGCCTTTAAAACCAACATTCACACAAATGAAAATCCCCCCTCCGCAGTAGCTCTCAAATCTCAATCTCACTTCTGCATAATCACAATCAAACATAATCTGTGTGTGCACCACATCTGCATATGACATTTGTTGGAGGTGAAGATTTTCACTGAATAAGAACTTCAGTTTCGGTGTCTTCATTACACAACGCTGTGGCATAACTTCAGAAGACTTGGAATAAACTAAAAAATGATAGAAATTTGAAATTGGACACAGTCTGACTAGTTTTCGCTGCAAAAAACAATGAATATGATTTTCTTTCAATCCTTTAGAAATGACTGAGAAAATCCTTTCATCCCTCCACCCGACTCACCTGTCTGGTTTTGGCCGAGGTCTCGATGAAAGGGATCCCGTAGCTGCGGGCGAGCTCCTGCGCTTGCCGCGTGTCCACTGTCCGAGTCGGGAGGTCGCATTTGTTCCCCACCAGCACCATGGGCACGTCATCGGAGTCCTTCACCCGTTTGATTTGTTCCCTGTGCACGAAGACAAAATATCACAGTCAAATACAACCTGCAGACTGTGGGCGGACATTTGATCGTGAACAAGATGTGGAGGAACTCGACTTAATTTCAACAATTAGCTAAGACACCAAGTGCCTTCCCAAGATGGCTGACGACTAAATTTACTTACCTTTAACCCTTTAACTTGTCACCCCCCTTTTTGGGCATAAACTTGAAAATGCACCATCCAAATTTAAATGGATGCAATTCATGAATGCTTTGGAATACACTTTGCAAATTTTTGCTGAAGTGAAAAGCACTTTTAAAAAAAAACTACGCGTAAAATCTTATTTTACACTTATCATCCGATAGTGGCTGTATCTCTCTATTAGTGTTACTCGATCTTAGTGCTGCATCTGATACCATCGACCACAGTAAACAGTATCAGTTTGTAGCAGTTAATGAAGAGATGTCTTATCGATCACAAGTTCAGTATGGAGTACCACAAGGCTCAGTACTAAGACCGTTGCTGTTCACTCTGTACATGCTACCATTAGGAGATATCATTAGGAAGCATGGCATTAGTTTTCACTGTTATGCCGATGATACTCAGCTCTATATTTCTTCACGCCCTGACGAAACTTACCAATTCACAAAATTAACGGAATGCATAGCTGATATAAAACCTGGATGACTAGTAATTTCCTACTGCTTAATTCTGAAAAACCCCAGAGATTGAAGAATGTCTTGGAGAGAGAAGGTGGACTTTTATTTCCCTGCATGTCTGGAGGGAAACCAGCTCGAATTCGCGCCACGGTACCCAAGAAAAAATAGGATCAGGTGCCTGCTGTCTCAAGTTGAAAGCTTGAGCTCGAGTGATATTAATTTTGTCAGCGAAAAAATGATGGAGGTTTTCACATTCAGAGTGAGAAATCATAGATTGTGTTTTAACAGAGAACAGAGTCAATGGTTGAAAAGAGAGTTCTGGAGCAATGTGAATTCCTCTTAATGATGTCAGACAGGAATTTGTTATTTGCTGCCATTACTGCCTTTTGAAAATTATTTAATGAGGCAGTCAGAATCTCGAAAGATATTTGGAGCATGTCTTTCTTCCATTTTCGTTCGAGCCGTCTGCACTGTTGGCGTAATAGTCGAATGTCGCTGTTTATCCATGGCTGAGACTGGATGAGCTTGCAAGGTGCAATGGAGTCAAGAATGTTGGAGCATTTATCATTAAAGTCTTGTATAAGTTCATGGACATCTAAATATGAAGGGAGACAGATATTAGAGAATTATCAGCCTCTAGCTACCGGTCAGAAAAAATGTCCTGGGAATGTGAGGTTAAGGGTCGAGACCAACGCACATGAGATGGTGCTGTATTGGGTGGAGTGGGAAGAAGTGTAGAAAAGAATACTGGTCTGTAGTCTGGGAGTGTCACTGATTTCAATGTCAGCCACCGATAGACCATATGACAGTATTAAATCTAGTGTTTCTAGCATTTTGAAATTTACGCGAAATGATAAAAATTTTCACAAAAATGTGACCCTTGCACCTTGGAACCGATGTCAAGGTCTGCGTTCTCGAGCCGCCAGACACTGTTGTTGTGTGAATATGCGGCCGGAGCGCGTTAAGGGTTTTCTGTTAAAACGGTGTCGTGTTAGCGGTCCCTAAGTTAATAACTAATGATCTTTGCAACGGAAGCGAATCAATCAAAAACTAACATTAGCTGGACAATAACTTTATTCTAGAGCTGCTGTAAAGCCAAAACAATCTCTGTTACTTTAATTTCCTATTATCACTGTAAAGCTGCTTTGAAACAATCTATATTGTTAAAAGCGCTAAATAAATGAAGGTGACTTGACCCGGCCAATTTCCCATCGTTAAACTAGCAAAAGTGGATTCGGACACGCCCTAAGTGCACTTGCACCGTGCGGTTTAGACCATGCGCTTAGATGGTTAAATAAGGCCCGATATGTGTTTTGTCTAAATTAGAAACATTTTGATTATAAAATAAATGATGTAATATGACACTGCCAGCTAGGGGGAGGAGCTCGCTAAAAGGTTTTAAAGTATCGTTTCCATGGTAACGCAATGTCCGATTTCAAAACGTTTTTTTAAGCTTTCGACGCTGACAGTTAAGGGCCTTTGGTATTGTGTTGTTAGCATAGCAACATCAAACTCGATTCAAATCAACTCTGAGTCGAGTTTTCCATGCATTATGTAGTTTCATGATGGTTGGTTTGCTGTCTTTCTGTAGAGTTTGGCGAACAAAGTCGCCAAAGTCATAGGTTTGATTGCCAAGAAATTAAACACTTTTAAGTCACAAATTGTCTGATAACTGCATTAATGTAATGTGAAATGTAAATCTAGGCAACAGACAGCAATATAATATACCATACAGATATATTAAGACTAACCTGCATAAAATAACCTACAAGTTTTCAAGCCAAATGTGAATAAAGTTTAATGCAAATTGAATATTGTATGTACATCTGAGGCTGATATTAAACAGTGCATTACTATTACCCATGTTGTACTGTACTTCTTACATTAAAAACCCATTATCTAGACCCCATTATCCACAAACAACAATCTGATTGATATAATCTAGTTATCCTCCTTTTCCCTTCTCCTTTCATGCCCTTGAAAGCTCTCTCTCTCTCGTTTAGTCTAATTGAGTTGGGATCGATTTCACTGGCACTGCACTATAATACTCCATCTCACTTTCTGCTGTCCTTTCAAGCACAACTACTGAATATTTCGCAACGAATCCTCAGTCAAAGATCCAATTTGAGGATCCGACTGTGTAATCCATGTTGCATTTCTATTGTGACGTCAAACAAGCTGATAAATAACAATAAGAGGTGATACTAGTGTGAATCAGAAGCAATGCCAACGTGATTACGGAGGTCACAGGGTTGATGGTCTCACATAAGGGAGCAATATGCTACTTTGTGCTATTGTAGTTTAATATTAATTATAATTTAAATTATAGACATATATAAAAGTAACAGATAAATTATAGAATTACATAAATTAAATATGTGTTAAATATAATAACATTTTGAACACCCGTATACGTAGAGAATATATACATCAATAATTAATCAAACTTACAGATTGTAAATTTGAGGAGCAAGTTGGTCCAAATAAATACTGTCCCATCTTTAATGGATAAGCATTTTGTAAATCCCATTTAGACCTCACAGAGTTTTGAAAAGCAATTGTCGAAAGGTTTACTGGTGTTGTATCACTGTGGTAATTTTAACCACTTGCTGCATTTCCAATAAAGATTTGCCCAAAACTTTTGCGATATTTTCTAAATGTCGATAAAAAACTATTCCGAAATGACGACGTTTCCATTAACTGATTTTATGTGACTGAAATGTCATTTTTTCCTCTCGCATTAAATCCTTCCGAAATGGATGTTGGTAGGTTTATGTGTATCGCAGCCATTATTAGTAACCGAAGGAGACGTAGGCGTGTTATCCAAACATTAATGGCAAGGAAAGCCCCTTTTACTTGGCAGTGGCACATATGAGGTGTTTCTGGGTGTTTCTCCCTCATTTCTGCTTCGAGGTCTTGATTGTGCTATTTCTTAGTGGTTTAGAATCCAGCATTCCCGTGAATCTTTTGTCTTTTACGAGTTTAATAAAGAACTCTGTCTCATCTTCTGTCCAAACACACCTCGCCCTCTATACGTCAGGTGACCTGTAAATGTGCAAAAACTGTTTCCATTGAAGTTTTGCCAAATATTCCTTTTTTGAACTGCCTGAAAAACCACCTCATGCGAGCGTAAACACTTTTTGCGATATATGGGAGTTTTCGCGAAATTGACGTTTTTCTATTGGGCGTATTTTTTATTCGCAATTTCAATTTGCGCAATTTGAAGGGTAATGGAAACGCGGCAACTGACTCTTCCCATCATCATCCTCTGGAAGTGTTTACAAAGAGAATTTGCTTTTGCAGAGCAGAAAACAGTGTCTTCTTGACATGGACACAACACAAACCAGCTACAGCGTTTAAGGGCGGGTCAAAGTAGATGTTGTCCGTGTGCAGCCAATGAAGATCATAGCACGGGCATTATGCAAATTTATTACAGCATTACGTATGCAGGTCACGGAAGTGAGACTGGTATTCCTGACGGTTATCTTTTGGGAGACAATAACGTTATTTTATCGCGTACTTTCGACAACTTTGCAGACTGTTTACATTCACAGACAGCTATATATAGACAGACAGTCATATAATGGATAATGTGAGTCAAATAAATAAACATAATTATTTGAATGTACAATGTAGAAAAACAAACTATTTGTTTAGGTGCAGTCACATTTACTATTGTTCAGAGAATTTGTGTGGACGAAATACAGTCATTTCAATAGGAAGAATAATAAGATACACAATATATATAAAGGCTTATGTTTTATGTATTTGAGTAGAAAACTGTCTAAGTCCAGCATTTGCCGTCGAGTCATAGCCAATCCTGTCTTAACCTGTTAAGCTTCAAGCCCATTTTTGAAAAATCCCCAGATATGGCATTCCCAAACTGAAACAGATACAGTTCATGAACCCTTTGTACTAAAAGCACAAGTAAGATCTCATTTGAAAGCTGACACCTGGAAGTTTATTGTAAATGTAGAATTAATTATTGTCATAATGAAAAAAAATAGTTATAAATAGCTTCAAAGTTTTGTAAAGTTATTATACATTTATTTTTATGAAACATCTTCATGAAAATAAAATTGAAGTTGGCATTGTAGCAATCTAGAAATGCACTGCAGCTAAAGCCACATGTCTAACCATGTTATATTTAAAATCTGAAGATGATAAGTCTAAAACTCTGTAATTAGTTCAATGTTTTTCAAGATCATGTCATATGACTTTATTTTGATTAGACTGGTGTTTATTGTCATCTTATAAGCATCTATTCAGTCTATTGCCTCTTTTGTTTTGTGATGCAAAAACGAGTCCCATTCAGTCTCAGGCTCCCCTGCACATATTCACACCTCTCCAGCCTGTTTATTGCTCTAAATATGCTTTTCTTTTGTCTGCATTATAATCACTAACGACTAGCAATTCACACTGTTTCAATCCCTCATTTATTTTATAAAAGTTCTCTGTATCAAACTGTATCAAATGCCCTTTTTGAAAAACGAAACATTTCAGTAAGCATTCTTATTTAGAAAAAAAATCATAAAAATTACATCGAAGTTAGGTAGCAGGTGCTCAGTACTAGCTAGCATGTTAGCTTAGCACACCATCAATACACGACAATTTATGAGAATAAAACTATGTTTGTGCTCCAACTTACTTTATAGCGCAAGTCGAGTGTTTTAAATAACTTTCTGTAATCTGATTTGGCTTCAGATAAAAAAATCAGATAGAAAATATATTATTTTATTGTATTCTGCACAATTTGAAAGTCTATCTCGATTAGCATTACATTATACATATAATCTATTATTATGAAAATACCTGACATGACTCGAAGAACACAGGTAAATCAAATATCATTGCAATCATGTTTATTGTCTTCAAAACATCTTTATCTGCACTTTACAGCGATCTCGGATAGCTTTGTTTATGTGTCAGGACTTCCTGAATGTCACATGATTATGGCTCTTCTTCATGTGATCCATATATGGACTTTACTGTGCAAACAGCGCCACAGACTGTTAGTATGAATGGATAACAGTACATCAGAGTATACAGCGCTCAAAATGATTACATCGACGCATTTGGGTATAAATTCAATAAATATTATTCCTGTCTATAGAAGTCTGATGTAAACCTATGAGAATCTATCAATATTTCTCCAAATCTGCACATGTTTGAGCTAAAAGCCCTGAGGGACGTTGTTTTGTGAATCGCTGTCATGACGATCGCACGGGAGTTTTTTTCTGAATGAGAGCAGCTGACGCTCATAATTCATATTAAAGGTAACGACTCATTTTTTTATTTCATAACTCCTGACACAAATTAAGACATAACTGTCACTATAAGTTTCACAGAATACAATAGTGGTCAAATACTGAAACTTGAGTCTTATATCGTTTTAATGATGTATAGTTTGTCAAGTTAATCACATTAAATATGATAGTAACTTTGAACTATTTTAAAAAAAAAACGCTCCAGAGCGCCCACGCACTGGTGACGGTTAACAGGTTTAAATAGCCGGTGCATATAAAGGTTATAAACCCCGCCCTCTCCAGTAATCAAATGGGACGTGAGCCAAACTAAAAAATACGATTACACTTCAAATAATTTTTTTCTGAAGATGGTTTCTGTCATTTTAGGTAGGTCTTATCATGCAGACATATGTTCAAGTGTTAGTTTTTCCAATGAGTTTGGTTTTAGTTAGTTATTTCATGATATGAAACGGAGTGTAGCCTCCTGATTGACAGCTGTGCTTGCGAATGGGTCCGCGGGAGCGGGACCTTGATAAATATAGCAACAGTAAACCTTATAACCTATGAACTTATAAACTTTAAAAGTCATTCACTGGTCAAAAACTTGCAACTCAATTTGAGCTTGCTTTTGTTCAAATGTTAATAATATAATGACACATGCGAGTGCCATATATAAAGCCACAATATCAACACAGTGATTAATTATAAAAAAATGCAGTTTTTTCCCCCCTGAAAAGTAGCACTTTTGGACATACAAGGTTCCCACCTGACAGCACCGATACAGAAGTCTTAAAGGTGATGCACCACAGCCTAATCCAATTTCATCATAGTTTTCACCCAAAATTTATTTTTATATTTTGTTTTTGCTTCAAAAAATAAAATTTAAGAAATATGATTTTGAGGGCATATTCCCAAGAGTACAAAACTGAAGATCAAACTGTCCAAACAAACAAACACACACACACACCTGTATTGATGAATGTCCTCAAAGGACTTGGTGTTATTGATGGCAAAGACACAAAGGAATCCCTCTCCTGTCCTCATGTACTGGTCCCTCATGGCGCTGTACTCCTCCTGACCTGCAGTGTCCAAGATGTCCAGAAGACACGTTTCCCCGTCAATCACCACCTGCTTCCTGTAGGAGTCCTACACAGAGACGCCCAGACACATCAACACCCAACTCACGCCTGCTTTCATCAATAAGACAGATAACATCGAGTTTTTTCCTACTCAAGAGCCAATAAGATTTTGTTATTTTACAGCCATGAACTTGATTTGAGGTCTTTAAAGTACTTTTCTAAAAATTTGCCCAATAAAGAACTTTGGGACAAAACTATAAGAATTGAAACACCAAACGGACTGTAGAGATGTGTCCAGTCAGACACATAAGCTTGCGTCTCTGTGCTCATGTGTGTTAGCAATTTCAGCCATAAAAAGGACATTGTTTGTCCAGAGATGGGTGTGGCGGGAAAACAGAACAGAGAGAGAGAGAAAGAGGGACATGTAGAAGCACGTACAGACACACACACATCCCTCACGCTGGAAGCAGACGCAGGCCGAGGGGAAACTCCTGGGGTTTATTTGACTCTGAGTGTGCAGAGGAAAAGAGAGAGGGAGCGAATGGAAGGGCCAGATTGTAGTGGTCGCTCAACGCTGATGCGATATCCAGCCAACAGACGGACAGTATAATAAAACATAACGTACAGTACAAGAGATTTATTTGTTATTGTTAACTGAAAGTATTAAAAATAATTTTGGGCATTTGAAATAAACCTAAATTAAATAAATATGTAAATATTAGATAAACAAAAAGTAGAATGTTGCCTTAGCAATTAACAGAAATACATTTATTTAGCATGTTATATGTTTGGCATCAGTTCTTCTAACCCTAACTGATGGAGTGTGTAGCTTTTCATTTCTTAAACAACCATGTATGAAAACACATCATGGGCATATTCCAGGATGGTCCAAGAATGGTTGGGAGGAGCATGAAGAATCATTTTCACACATGAATTGGCTCCTCTGAGTCCAGACCAGTCTTTGGGATGAGCCATCTCCGGGCCACTTTTAAATACTTACAAATGTTGGTCAAGCCAAACAAATGTTGATTCAGGTTTTATTACAGACAGGTTTTTTTGTTTGTTTGGTAATACAACTGGTAATTCACGGATGTTTGCAGTTTTGCATGGGCAATATTTCGCTTGTTTTAACAACTAACTTTCACCTTAACATTACATCATACAGTGATGTGAAATGCACAGGCAAATGATTATGTATGCAATTTCCCACGAAACCCAGACTGACCGCTCTAAAAATATAAATCATTACGTTTTTTCAAAGTGTATCTGAGTAAAGTAAAGACATGGGGCCCTATTTTAAGGATCTAAGCACATGGTCTAAAGCACACGGTGCAAGTGCACTTAGGGCGTGTCCGAATCCACTTTTGCTAGTTTAACGACAGGAAAAATGGTCAGCGCTCCCGGCGCATGGTCTAAAGGGGTTGTCCCTTTTCTCTTAATGAGTAATAATGGGTGTGTTTTGGGTGTAACGTGCAATAAACCAATCAGAGTCTCATCTCCCATTCCCTTTAAAAGCCAGTTCCGCTCGCGCCATGGCGGATTCGCCATTTACATGGCAGAATTTGCAAACAGAAAAACTGGATGTTTTTTTGGAAGATGGATTCTTTTTGCACTCTCTCATTAATAAAAAAGTTAAATAGTGTAGCATTAATGAATTAACTGAATTATCTTAACAGCTTTAGCTGACGAGGTTAAAACAATTAGATATATAATTGATAATGTACTAATATGAGTCACAACTACCTGACGATTTTAGATTATGTGTATCAGCATCCTTAGCATATATATTATTTATATAGATGATACTGTATATCACTAGCTGAGATCACTGAATGTGCGCACACACACACACACACACACACACACACACACACACAAACACGTTACCTCTATAGTAGGGTCGTATTCATCCACAAAGTGGTTCTGGATGAGTTGGATGGTGAGAGCGCTCTTGCCCACGCCTCCAGCACCCACCACCACCAGTTTATATTCAGTCATTCCTTCACGCCTCTTCAACCTCTCACCACACCTGAGGAAAAACCAGCAAAACGATCAATACAAACAAACCTCCCACTGCTACCATGTTCAGTGATGTTTCAAATCTTACATAGACACAACAAAGATCCTGGCCTTAAGGTATGGTTAGTATAGGATTCAGGGATGCAATATTATGGATGCTACCGATATACAACCTGATTTCTGACGCAGCCCCAGTCATAATGACGCCGTGTTCATTCATTGCCCGGAGGAGAACAGCCCTCAGTCAGCTGAACAATGACACTATTTTCTTTTCAGAGCTGCTTTAGTTGAAATGAACTTTGTTTGCATCATTGAATCATTTTACTGTTATCACTGTAAAGCTGCTTTGAAACAATCTGTATTGTATAAAGTGCAATATAAATAAATGTGACTTGGCTTCACTAAATATTTGTTGGCGAAGCAGTGCTTTTTTAAAATTAGCATAAAAGAAGTCCAAAGTCTTATTGTCCGACTTCCAAATCGCTGACTATTTAAGATAGCAAATTATTACTTTAGCTATTCATCTATGTAAAGGCCCAGGTACACCAAACCGACATCAAAAAACTTGTGGCGGTGAAAGCCGAATGTGCTGTTGCCTCATGTTACTACCTGAGTCTGGGCCAAAAAGTTGCACTTGAACACACCACACCAACTAGCATGTGCGCTCTACACCTGCTTGAGAGGAAGTAAATCTCCTTTCCAGCAGGTGAAAGTAGTCTACACGAGTCATTTAAAAAAGGAAAACCGGAAGAGCTTGCAGATATACAAACCGTAAAAAAGCAGCATTTCATCATTCACTTGGTTTCATTCACTTTAATTTTTTATCTAGGTTCTATAAGCTGAACAGCCAATCTGGGGTGCGTTTTCCAAAAGCATCGTTAGCCAACTATGGAAGCAAGTTCTGTTGTTACCAGTGCCAGTCCTCCCTACAGTATATGCAAAGTACGCAAGTTGCATAGGGCCCCCAAACCACCAGGGGGTCCCCTTGCTCTCAAAGATGATATAATGACTAGGGATGCAATAGTTTCGGTTTTAATTTTGTCTTCCAATGATTATTGTGGCAAGCAGGACAGGGCGGTGGAGTGAGTGATAATGAGCGTCACCTGCGTGTCACACCATCCTTGTATCTCTCATGGAGAAGATAGAGTGGCGACAGTGAAGGAGGAGAGAGGACCAGGCCTGGACATTTATGTTATGTTTTGTTTATGTGTGTGGCAGTCGTCTGTGAGGGGCTGTCTTTTACTTTCATTTTGTGTTTGTTTATTTTATTGGATTAAGCGTTCGCCGGTTCCCGCCTCCTTCTACCTGGAATAACAAACTCGTCGTTACAATTATGAAAACACGATGCCGCATTTTGTTCCTTTCCTTTAAAGCGGTGCACTGTCGTCCTTCCTACAGTACGTAACATCCAAATCAGTCAAGTGTAACATGATCATGTAACATGATTAATATACAGTCTTCCTTTATTGAGCTGTGAAAGAGATGCTGTCCCCCGACGGCTTTCTGTGCACGCAATCCGAGATGGAGCGAAACACAGACAACAGGCTACTTTGTGCTTCGGGTATGCGCTTAAATGGACACAAAAATATACAAAACACACAAAAATATGTCTCAAACGTAGTCGGCTGTTTCTTAAGTGAACATAAACAGTTGGGAAAGTATCCGTGTTAGTATGTCCATTAGTCATATTTTTTAAACTCCATTGTTGATTCGAATAGTAAACAACTCTTACTGCACGCGCCGCAGCAGAGTTTTAAAAATGGTGGTTGAAATAAAATGCTGCGTGGAGTCAACCAATCAAAATGCTGCGTAGAGCCAATCAGCATGTTCAGCGACAAGTCCCACCCCCGAAAGCTCCTGAACTGTGAAATAGTCCTACCTCGCGAGCAGGGACTTTCTGAGGGGGAAATTTTGACCTGGAACATTAAGACCCTGGTTCCTGCGGTCGAAACCATAGATCGAAACACACCGAGTATCAGCCCAAAGTCCCTAGTTCCTGGTGAAAGTTCCTTCGGTGGAAACACGGCTTTAGTGAGTTTGATTCATACATTGATAATTCGTGTTGTTAATTATATGATGCATGATGCTGATTATTTAGGGACAAGAAAATTGATTATTTGTCAAATTCGAATGACGTTTTAGTCATTTTGAACAGTATGAGTGTGTAAATTCATTGATTGATCGATTGTTAATCTGGTTAATGATTTAATGCACTGAGCACTGCTGTAGTTTATATCACAACACTCTCCAACAGCAGAATGCTAATTCCTAGTCAAATTAGAATGATATCTTAGTTTTTTATATCATTTGTGATTGCATTTTCTTAAGATATGGCCAGATATGCAGTCGACCAATGACATTAGAGCAACAGCACTGGGAACGGCCACAAGCGTCTTCACAGTACAGAGACTAGCGGCACCGCGGTGTGAATGGGGTTTAATACAACGAGTCACCAACGCCGTCTCTGATGCGTGCTGTTCAGAATGTGTAACTCCTGTTGTGGATGTGCTCTTCCTGGAACAACATGGCAACTAAACCCAATGAATTCACAAAGTTTTATTACAATATTGTTCTCTTTATAATGTTTTGTAATATGACAGTCCCAATCATAGTTATTATTAGTCGTGCTCGTGCATTGCTATTTGAGCAGCATGCGCTGAAGATGATCACCAGCTCTTTATCCCACGTTAATTATTAACCAAATGCATCCTGAGATAAATCATATATATATAACCCTACACAAAAAACACAATATTAACTGACATTTGCACAAAACAAACTGCTGCAAATGCACACAAACTTATAGTCATGAAGGTGTAACTCTAGCCTTTAAACATAAAATGAGCCCAAACATAACTCTGGCGTGCTCGTTTAATTTCTCCTCATGTCTGCTTTACGTGTTTCTCGGCTTAACAGCACCCATGAGCTTGCTTAGTTTTATCGATTAAATTATTATCGAAAATGAATCGATCGTCGATTAATCATTAGCATCCCACATTTATATAGTATTATGTGAGAGAGAACCCACAATGAATCAAATAAACTCTCTCATCGACGGTCTCCGCCACAGATTCAACATTTTCAATCGGCCACCGAAAAAAAGCCACAGAAAATACTGCAAAAACTAGGCCGACAGACCCTCAACGGCAGCCTGTCAGTGGCCAACTGTGGGCTTGGTGTATCACGGCCATTAAGATTGCGGTAATCCAAGACCAAGAGAATAATATGGAATAATCTCCCATCTTCCACTGTTTAGCATTCAGTGAACAAACTCTTATAGAGATGCAAAGGAGATAAACTATGAAATATGAAAAGCATTCTGGCACTTGAAACAAGACCCGAGCTTGCAGCACACCCAGCTTTTATCTGATAACTGATCATTTTGTGGGTTTCATTTCAAGTTTCAACATGGTCTAAAACAACATTTATAACTCTGAATGGGATCCAGCTACCGTCCATCGCTCACCCTCATTGGTTATTCTGTCATAGGTTGGTTGGTTGGTTGCGCTGGTTTTGGGTGGTTGATGTTGTTTTCCTGACTGTGAGGTCATATGGTTTCATTCCCATTGGATTACTCTATATATCTTCTTTTGTGTTCCACAGAAGAAAGAAAGTCATACAGGTTTGAAATTACACACGGGTGAGTAAATCATGACAGAATTTTTATTTTGGGGAGAACTATATTTACATGCATACATATTATACTGACAATGTGGCAATGTTTCATAACACCATATAGCCTACACATAAACACCTTCAACAATGTTCTTGTAACAGCTATGTTCTGTTACTTTCATTTTCATGGACTTTTAGTTTATTCATTAGTTCCTGTTTTCCTTTGTTTGGTTTTCCCGCCTCTTTTTAGCTGCTATGGAGATTCATTTATCATATCAGGTGTTTGTTATTAATTTCCTTTGTATAAAGTTGCTGTAGTTTAGTTCTCTCGGTCGGTTTTGATCCGCTCTGCTCCGCACCAAATTAGCGAGTTAAAAGTGAGGTATTACAAATGTTGTCACATATCGATTAACTGGTGGGAAAATTTCCTTACAGTCACATCCCTAGTTACTACATGTACTTACTATCGTAATAATAGTAAATTATGCATAATAACAAGTAACTAACCCTAAACCAAACCCTTACCCTAACCCTAACTCTATACTAAGTACAAGTAGCTAATTCAAATTTGAGTAAGTACAATGTAACTATGTCACCTTAAAATAAAGTGTAAATGCCGGTTAGGCGAACATGTGAAGGGTTGTTTCGCCTTCCCACAAATTTATTTCGAAAGTTTACTTTTTCATTAAAGGCACAATATGGATTTTTTCTGCTTTAAAAATAGCAAAAATAACTGTATCTATGTTCAATATTTCTATGAGATATGTACTTATATTATCCCGACAGTTTTCACCAACTTTCAAATCCAGAGAAATGTATAGTTTAATTCGAAGACACCTCTATTTTCTCTAACTTGCTGCGGAACCCGGCGAAACCGCCAAACACAAAGGGGAACACCGGACTACCGCCAATAAAAGAAAAGAAAACGACGAAGAAAAAAAGTAGTAGCTAGTATCATTTTGCAACTGCACCAAACTTGAGGGGGGTTTGGCTGCACGCGCAAGATCTCTCGCTCGCTTACCTCTCTGACATCGTGCACGGTTAGGAGCTCAACATCTGTCTCGCATGCACGCTCGCTCTAGATTACAGGATATTTTAACTAATTTGCGGTAAAACTAATCGATCACGAGTGGCTCAAAAGGTAGATCTATAGATAAACTCATCTTTCTGGCTTTGACCGACCGGGTTGACACTTCAGCGTGAGAAATCAGGGGTGTGAGAGCGTGAGAATTGGCTCAATTGCGTGAGTCTCGCGCTGAATGTGTGAGAGTTGGCAGCCCTGTAAGTTATGAACCACGATTACGCTTTGCCTGCACGTTCTGCTGCTGGAGCCAGCTCAAAGCGACGTTAGGGTGACCAACAGTCCTGACATGTCCTGTTTTCACGTTCTGTCCTGGCCGTCCTGGCTGTTTTAATAAAGTGATGAAAATGTCCTGGTTTTCAAAAAAACTGCTGGCCGAGTGTCCTGGTTTTTGGTAATCAAAATATGGTCACCCTAGCAAACGTACGGGTGAAAAATATGACCCGAGAAGGGTTTGGGACAGGAGAAGAAGCATGACACGGGTAAACTGTAGGGTTGCATTTAAAAAATGTAGAGAGCTTCGTGCCAAGCTAAATATAGGCCACAGAGAGATGCCGATCTCGCTTGCATTCTAATAAACAGGTAAGCACCCATTCAGCTAACTATATCTATCCGTATATTTTGTGAAATGATGTCATGTGTAAAACGCAGACGGGCTAGCTCTCATGTAGCTATAATGTAAATTCATATTTGTTCTATATATAGCCGGAGAAAGTAGCTTCATATGCAGTTCACTAACGTTATCTTGTTCGATATCATAGTATAGACGTAATTATATTTAATATTGATTTAATAGGGGTCTGATAATTCATATATCTCTCTGTTCGAAAAGACGTGATTATCAAAATACATAGTTAGAATGAGTGAGGAATGTGGGGAATGACAGATCGCGCGTGTTCCAATGAACATCGTATCGCTGGTTCGCACGCGCACTCCCTCTCCCTCAGAGGGCTGGTTGTCATTGACAGCGATAACAACTCCCGTGAGCCCACGCTCTTTCCCGACGTCATCAAAGTACGTCTTTTGTTATTATTTAGATCAAGTGCCCCCTGGTGGCCAAAAATTACATAGTGTACGTTTAACCCCAATAGTCTGAAACAACATGTGTGCTTCATTAAGTTTATATAAGCTGGCATGATGTCAAAATCAGGGAAGAATGTTAAAAAGAGCACCGAAGGTGAAGCCTCAGCCGTATGTAACAACACCTGCGTTGCTAGCATCGCTAGCTTACTGGAAGACCATAGAGCTAGCATCTCCGCCGATTTCAAAACCACTTTTGCGGCTTTAGAGGCGAAATTGGACTGTACACAGGCTGTGGTGACGGAGCACGGTCAACGGATTGACTCTTTGGAGTCCGGAGCTGAACTGCAGGACCAAAGAATTCATGCTCTGGAGGACAGGTGTGTGGCATTAGCTGAGAGTAACGCTAGACTAATGGCGAAGACATCGGATCTCGAAAGCCGCAGCCGCAGAAACAACATCAGAATAATCGGGCTCCCTGAATCTATCGAAGGTCCGCGGCCTACAACCTTTTTTGCAGAACTCCTTGTCGAATTGCTCGGCCAACAGACCATTTCATCACCGCCTGAACTGGACCGACCGCACCGTGCGCTTACTGCTAAGCCACAACCAGGGTCGCGGCCACGGTCGGTAATTATTCGACTCCATCGGTACCAGATAAAGGAGATGATTGTACGGGAGCCCCGCAAGAGACGAGGTGATCTCCTCGAGGGTCGCCGGTACACATTTATGAAGATTACACATCGGAGGTCCTTGAGCAACGTGCTAAGTACCGTGACGCCATGTCAACGCTATAAAACCGGGGCCTCAGACCATCTCTCCTATTCCCAGTCCGCTTGCAGATTACGTTCCCCAACGGAGCTAAGAAGAGGCTAGCTCCGCCCGAGGAGGCAGCGACTTTTGTGTCTAACTACCAGCAGAGACCAGACACGGAGGCCGATTGAGTTAACGTTAACGGATTCCAGCGGGGCTGGCTGCACTAGCTGTGTTGACTAGGGCTGGGAATCGCTGGGTACTTCACGATACGATACGATATGCGATACATTGTTCACGATACCGATAATATCACGATATGGCGATACTGCGATAATCGACATATTATCAGTAATAACTCACAATATATCATGTTTTAAGAAATACAAATTTTTTTTTTTATTAGGAAAATTAATCTCCATTTATTTTTTGGGATGAAACACAATAACAAAAACAACTTGTGTCTTATCAGTTGCAACAAAACAGTCACAGACACTATTTTAGTGTAACATTGCTGCAATCAGTAGTAATAAAAATGTTTACGCCGGGGTGTGTCGGCTTCGAGCCAGCACCAACCACGGCTTTCTCACAGAGCTCCGGGTGATGCCGCGTGAGGTGTCTGTACATGTGGTCGTGTTTCCCGTTTTGCGGACTTTTGCAAAGCCAGACATCCCAAGTCTCACGGAAGTTCCGGGAGTCTCCCGCATAATGATAGCGTCTCCCTGATGCCCGCAAATTAGTTCAAATCTCCCGGAATCTAGAGCGCGCATGCGAGACAGAACAGCCTACTGCGCGCATAACATACATAGCACGGCAGAGAGGGTGAGAGCGAGAGACTTTGCGTGTGTGCCTCATGAAAGCTTGTCAAATCCAGTCAACTCGGATAATGAATAGAGCGTTTTATAATGGCTTTTAAGATCGATACTTGGCAAGAGCGCATCGAGAATCGATCGCGGGAGTAAATATCGTGATATATCGCCATATCGATATTTTGGCGCACCCCTAGTGTTGACTAGCCTTTTCCTAGGACAGATCTAATGTTGCTCCGCTTTACTGCGGGTTATGGACCCTTAGCCTGGGTTGAACTGAGACAATGTACAGCAGGTGAGCCCCCAGCTAGTTTTTGAGTTAAACGACAGATATTTAGCTGGCTAAAGGTCTATGTGTCACAGTGGATGACCCTATAACTTGGAGGGGTAAACAATGAAGACGTCACATTGGACCAGAGACACAGTAATCTGAGTTTGTAGTGCACTCGGACACTTTATGTTGTTAAGTATGCCTTTTTTTTCTTCTTCTTTTTTTTTAATAGCTGCGAACTAATGTTTACATGCACACCTTTTGTTTCAATCTAACTGAATTCATTCCGATTGGTGAATCTGAATGTAGTGTTTACATGAACGCTAAACAAGTGATCGGTTGATGTGCATTTTAACATTGCTAAGAAAATTCCCGCTCGTCCGTGAGAGATACGAGACCGGTGCGCCTCACAGGTGTCGCTCATCGGTAATCATGCCACCGGCCTCGCACTGTTCTCACGCGGCCCTCACTCGTCCTGCTCGCCACAGTAAACATAACGAATGACGACTGTAGAACGCAAAAGCCGAATCCCGGACATTTTGGGGCGATCTCGAAATCCCGGGCAGACTCATCATGGAGACTCACTAGTAGCCTAGACTTGCTGTTTAACTACTGCGCTCTGTTGCCGGTAGGCGTGGCCTCCTAGGGCAGCGAAGCAAGTGCATTCTGGGAGTTGTGGTCTTACATCCACATAAGACAAAAATACATTTTCTGGCTTTTCTCAGTCTAGAAAGCTCCAAATCCAAAAATAATTTCACATTTCTTCTACCTAAATGACCCATTTGAAATACGTTAAAATACTTTCCAGAGGTGAAGTATCCCTTTAAGGCTTTTGTTAGAGGCAAAATTATATCATTTACATCTTATGCAAATAGAGCTTGTAAGGCTCGACAAGTAGAACTAGAAAAAGCTATCGCAGACTTGGACATTTCACTTTCTACCAACGAATCACCTGACTTGCATAAAGAAAGGATGGTACTTCATACTGAGCTCGACCTCCTCTTGACAAAGAACGCTGAACAAAATCTCCTTCGTGCACGGGGATATATGTACGAACATGGGGATAAAGCCAGTCGCCTCTTGGCCCACCAACTGAAGGCCAAGATGGCCTCAAATCAAATTACACAGATAAAAGACGAAATGGGCTCCCATACATCTGACCCAGAAATGATCAATGGTATTTTTAGGAAGTTCTACTCCCAGTTAGTCAGAATGCTCCTATGATGAAGTTCAGTTGTCTAGGTTTTTAGAAAAATTGGCCATGCCCAAAATATCTGATCATAACCGTGAGATGTTAAACGCTCCTTTGCAGCTTTCAGAAATCAAAGAAGCAATACAGTTAATGAACAACGGTAAATCCCCGGGACCCGATGGGTACCCAGTTGAATTCTATAAGAAATTCTCGGACCAACTGCCCCCTTTATTATTAGAAACGTTCAATCACTCATGCCGCCTGGGCTCCCTGCCGCCCACCCTCACACAGGCTGCGATTTCTTTGATCCATAAAACAGGCAATGACCCCCTGAATTGTACATCGTACCGCCCGATCTCGCTCTTATCCGTAGACGTTAAAATACTTGCAAAGGCACTGGCCCGCAGAATGGAGTCGGTCATGCCCTCAGTTATATCAGAAGACCAGACGGGATTTATAAAGGGGAGGCACTCATTCGCTAATGTCAGAAGACTTCTCAGCATCATTCACACACCGCATTCTCCTTTAGAACCGGAGGTTGTTATATCTCTCGACGCTGAGAAGGCTTTTGATAGGGTGGAGTGGGCCTACCTGTTCTCCTCCCTTCAACAGTTTGGTTTTGGGGCAGGTTTCATCTCTTGGATTAGGTTACTCTACTCCTCCCCCTGCGCATCGGTTTGTACTAACACCCAGAGCTCGGTGTACTTCCCTCTCTTCCGCGGGACTCGACAGGGATGTCCGCTTTCCCCACTCTTATTTGCGGTTGCTATTGAGCCACTTTCGATTGCTTTGAAGGCAGAGGAGGGAATCAAGGGGATTCAGAGATGGGGCACAGACCACAAGGTGTCGTTATATGCCGACGATCTCCTTTTGTACATTCGCGATCCTCAGTCCAGCATCCCACCTGTTCTCTCAGTTCTGAAGTCCTTCACCGAGTTCTCCGGTTATAAATTAAACATCTCGAAAAGCAAGTGCTATGCTATTAACCAATTAGCTGTGGAGCTACCCCCGTCTTCAGTCCCCTTTAGAGTATCTAATTCAGGATTCAAATATTTAGGTATTGCAATCACAAGGTCCGTTCGAACATTACGAGAGCAGAACTTTACTGCCTTAACGACAACAGTCAAGTCCGATCTGCAGAGGTGGAACCGTCTACCGCTATCCCTGGCCGGAAGAGTACAGACTGTTAAGATGAATATACTTCCTAGATACCTATATATTTTCCAATGTCTGCCTATTTTCTTACCCAGGTCATTTTTCACTGCCATAGAAGGTATTATCTCCTCATTTATCTGGGCTGGCAAATACGCCAGAGCCAGTAGATCACTTTTGCAGAGGAGCAGATCCCTTGGGGGTCTTGGCCTGCCTAGTCTTATTGGTTATTACTGGGCTGCAAATGCTCATAAGATTATGCTATGGTTTACCTCAGCTCAGAGCAACTGGTGTCAAATCGAGGCCAAGTCATGCTCCTCTTCTTCGCTCCAGGCCCTGGTTGGCAGTAGCCTTCCTTTTTCCCCGTCACTTTATACATCTAATCCTATAGTAACTGGCACTCTGAAAATCTGGGCACAAATTAGACGTAACTCCGGCTGGCTCACCCTTCCTCAGACAACTCCTAATGGCAATAACCATTTATTCTTTCCTGCTAAAATTGACCCTAGATTCAAGGTTTTTGCTAGGAATGGCCTCCGATATCTCAGCGATATGTACGTTAACGACTGTTTTGCTAGCTTTGAGCAATTGCGCACAACGTTTAATTTCAGCGGCTCTGATGATTTCCTAAGATACTTCCAGTTACGGGATTTCGCTAGGACCCACTCCTCTCAATTCCCTCAAATCCCACCCCCTAGTGGCATAGATCTAATTATTAAGGCTGAGACTTTATTTCCAAAGGCCGTATTTCTTACTTCTATAACCTACTTTCCCCATCTTCTGATTCTGTTGTCAATAAAATTAGGACCAGCTGGGAGAACGAACTGCAGATTTCCTTGTCGGATGACTTTTGGGAAAAAGCCTTGCGAGCAGTCAATTCTTCCTCCAGCTGTGCTAGGTTTAGTCTTATTCAATTTAAAGTGGTACATAGGATTCACTTTAGCAGGGCCAGGCTTGCCAAGATTTATCCGGGTGGCCCGGATGAGGGATGTAATAGATGTTCTCAGACCCCTTGTGATTTGACCCATATGTTCTGGTCATGCCCCAAATTGTTAAACTTTTGGCAGTTATATTTTGATGCAATCTCAAAGATTTTGTCGCTGAGGCTGTCCTTCCCCCTATATAGCGATTTTTGGCAGGCCTCCGGACGGACTCAAATTGACAACAATTCAAACAAATGTTATTGCCTTTACCTCTCTAATTGCTCGTCGGAAAAATCTAACTCTATGGAAGTCACTTACCACCGCCGTTTAAAGCCTGGTTATGTGATGCATTGTTTTTTTTTTTAACTTGAAAAGATAAAGTTTACTCTCAGAGGCTCAACTAATAAATTTTATTCTCATTGGAAACCACTAATAAATTATGTAAAGCAACTTTCCGTTAGGGAAATGTCACTGTAGTGGCGTATTTGGTATCTGTCTGCATAGGTTCCTACCTCATCATACCTCACTGTCTGCCCACCACACCATAAGCTACTTTATATGGGAAATTGAACCAGAGCCCTCATGATTCCTGCTGATCCATGAATCCTAGCAACCTGGCACAGCGTCCTGAATGTCAGCAACTTCCCCCTTTTTTTTTTTTTTTTTTACTTACTCATTTGGTTTATTTGTTTATCTAACTAGCTAGGGAGGTGTGTGTGTGTGTGGGGGGGGGGGGGGGGGGGACCATAAAATGACTTTTGTTTTGAAGAATTGTTCATTCTGAAATTGTTCATTCATAAAATGGAGACTTATATTGTATCATGTTGCAAATATTGTTTGAACGCAGTATCCAATACAATATATGAAAAAAAAAAAAAAAAAAAAAAATGTGTTAATAAACCTTAATTTCCAACTAAGTAAAAAGTATTAATTTTTCTTATTTTCAAAAATGTTTTAAAATATATATTTTTTCAAGATAATTTTTTTTTTTTTTTGCAAATAACATTAATACTAATTCATAAATAGCATCATGCTTATTATGCGGATTGTGCTACGTGCTATTTTACAACCTAACTAATTAAATGGTCAAATTATTTTGACATTTTTCAAGGCAAAAAGTATTATCATTACAAATATTGTTAATTAATAATTCATCTATATTATGTTTTTGGAGAGGAACACCACATTTTACCATTTTACAACGTGAACTAACCTCGCCTTGCTATAAAAAGTTGAAAATGTCAGAAACAGGAAGTTGTACCACCCTCACATTTTTGATTTCATGTCCATTTTTAATTCATGTAATTTTTAGTACATAAAAAAAACAAAATTCTATATATGATTTTTTATATATCTGAATTAAAACTTTGCTTTTCTTTATTGTGGTCTACTTACTTTTCATTGCCCCAGTGCTACATATCCCACAACACAGTAAAAGGCTCACTTTAAGACAACTGTAGTCACAGTCATCCATGACAGCACATCACCAGACAGACTATATTAGTCCCAGGGTGTGGAGTTTTATTATTAGTCGTCATTGGGGCTGTAGGTGCAACTCAAGACCAGCAGAGGTGGGTCTGCAGCATTAATGATTAATGAAAAGACAAAGGTTCTTGGTACTATGACTGCAACTTATGAGAGTCCAGCACAGTGTATCTGTGAGTTACACTAAAGTGCTGGACGATTAATGAGTAACTGCACACACGCAAGCACTCGCACACGCACAATTGAGCAATTGAAGGGCAGGGAGTTCAAACATGATGCCACTATGCATTACTCCCTTAACCCCTTGAAAGCTAAACAAAACATTGGGGTAAATGTAATAGAAGAATAAAAAGTATTCTAAAAAGTATACATTTTTACATTGATAGGAGGTTCCTCACTGGCAAAATTTAAAGAGCCCACCCTTCAAGGCTTTATGATAATCTATGCTCTATATATGGAGTTCAGTGCAAATCTATGGGATTTTTTTGGCTATTTTATCATCCACATGTGGAAATCGTACAGCAAGTCTAATCATTTAGAAAGGTAATAACAAGATACATTACTTAAGCTCGAAAAATGCAAGTACAATTCCAAAGAAGACAGTTTGTTGGGTTTAGAATGAGGGTGTGTAAATTATGACCGCATTTGTCAGATTTGCCTGAAGTATACATTTTTTATGATAAAATAATGTGCACTGGTGAAGTGCATGCAGTAAAATGCAGGACATGAGAAGTAAATATGTCAGAATTTACATTTAAAAAACCTGTTGATATAAGCGAGTCATTAGAAATTGTGCTTTATCAAACTAGTTAAACATGAATACCATGAAAGTCAATTTGTCATTCTAAGCAAAATGTGTTACGCGTTGCTGATGTTCATTCATATTTAGTTGCGCAAAACCAGAGATGAGTGACAGTGCCACTTTCAGTTCCCTTTCGAACGGTCACTTCGTATTGCGTAGCTATACGCAGTGGGGGGAAACTCCCTTTCCTCGATTTACTGAAGCTTATATGTAAAACGCATTTGCAGCTGCACAGCCAGCCCCCTGAGCGTCTGACCCGCTCATAGGCTGTGCTGCAGCAACTGCACATCCAATGGCGCGGGCGACTCTGACGCACAACCAATAAGCTAGCCCAACGTCAGAGCCCGTCGAGGGGGCGTGCCCCGCCTATATAGACCCCCGAATTCGCCATTATAGCAGATTTTACTCCTTCAGCGACAGTACACATGTCCCTGAGCTTTTTACTGTAGCATTCGCCGTCGAACAAGCCTTTCAGCCTGAGCGTGCTTCTCTTCAGCAGACTTCGCCTGCACGTCGATTTCTCCTGACGCCGTCTCACCTGTGGCTCCGGCGACATTATATCCTTTGTTCTATATTGCTAACATTCTTTTCAGTATGCCTCGTCCATCCTGCGCCACGTGCGGAGGCCGTCTGCACGAGGCAGACCAGCACACGAGCTGCATTTCCTGCCTGGGGATCGACCACGCAGAGAATGCTCTCTCTGCCGGCGGATGTGAGGCCTGTGACTGCATGCCTATATCCGCGCTGCGCAATCGGCTAGCTCTCTCCCGGGACGGCGACGCCGCTTCATCCACGCTTTCCGTTCCAAGGAAGAAGAAGCGTCGCAGCCAACGGCAACCGGAGGGTATGGAGATTGGTGAACGCACGCCGGCCGCGTCCCCGCGTGCTTCACTTTCTCCGACTCAAACGCCATCATCGGTCCTGTTCGCGGGAGACCAGCGCCCCCCCCCCCCCCCCACCCCCCTCACGTGGCGGGCCTCGTCTCCTTCGGCGGATCTCTCGAGTGCGACGACAGCTTATCCATCGCCGCTTCTGAGGACGAGTGGCCGGGCTCTCTCGACCCCGTCACCGCTTCTCAATCGGTGGCCAGCGGATTAGCGACCAGGACGAACTCCGACGCCGAGATGCTTCGGATCCTGACGAAGGCCGTCGCGGACCTCGACCTCGGGCCCCGCGTCACAAACCGGCGCCATTTTTCCCCGAGGTCCACGAGGAGCTAACCAAGGCCTGGCGCGCTCCATACTCAGCACGTGTGGGATCCGCAGTTTCCGCGACGCTCTCCTCCGTGGATGGCGCAGCGGAAAAGGGTTATGAGTCTTTGCCGCCCCTCGAAGAGGCCGTGGCAGCTCATCTTTGCCCGAGCTCTGCAAAGCCGCTCATCCCAACAAACCCTGCCGTAACACCTCAGCCCTCGCTGGACGCGCGTACGCCGCCTCCGGCCAGGCTGCATCGGCCCTGCACACGATGGCCGTGTTGCAGGTCTACCAGGCCAAACTCCTCCGGTCCATGGACGAGGCTGGCCTGGACCCGGAGACGTTTCGGGACCTGAGGAGTGCTACGGACTTAGCGCTGCGGGCTACTAAGTCTACAGCACAAGCCATCGGCAGAAACATGGCTAGTTTGGTCGTGCTCGAGCGCCACCTGTGGCTTAACCTCACCGAGATCAAGGAGGCCGACAAAACGAGGTTTCTCGACGCTCCGGTGTCCAGCTCCGGTCTCTTCGGCCCGGCGGTGAAGGGATTCTCGGAGAGGTACACGGAGGCACAGAAAGCGTCCCAGGCCATGCGACACTTCTTGCCGAAGCGTTCGGGCTCCGCGTCCAGCAAGCCCAAACCTCCGCCTTCGCCTCATCCAGCCAAGCCGGCGAAACAGGCCTCTCAGCCCCGCCCTGCAGCTGATAGCCAGCGCCAGTCAAGGCCCGCTAAGCGCTACCCGCTCCCCAGGCGCCAAGGCCCTCGACCCAGCGCCGCGGCCGACCAGGCGCCTCCGAAGTCGTCCTAGCACGGAGGGGAAAGAGAGAGGGCTCGTGTCTCGCGCTAGCCGGACCACCCTCGAAGAAACCAGCAAAACTTCCCACAGCTCCCTGTTCAGTTCAGGCGGCTGGGGATTTTATTATTGTAAACAGGCCCACAGCATGTGAGCGCGTCTCTGCAAACAAACGCCGTTTTCACGGCGACCCAAATAAAGCACAAAAAGAGCATGTTTCACAATCACAACACACGGGTTCACGGTCCCCCTCCACTAGGCGGCCCCCACCCTGTTGTAACACTGACTTCCCCCCAGGCAAAAGCCTATATAGTCAGTCAAACACTCAGTATGTGCACAAATCACATTATAAGGGTATCAGGTCCCCCTATGTTAGGCGGTCCCCCCCATTCAGTGTGTCACGCCCTAGCCACACGAGTGATGGCCTGGCAAGCCATCCCTGGTGTGTCGAGTTGGGTCATAAACACTATAAAGCGAGGCTACTCGCTCCAATTCGCTCGCAGACCCCCGAAATTCCAGGCGGTTATCGAGACATCGGTGAGAAGCGGCGTGAATCATGTGCTTCGCACCGAAGTTCAAGAATTATTAGCAAAAGGAGCGATAGAGTCAGTCCCTCCCGCGCTAATGTATTCGGGGTTTTACAGCCGCTATTTCCTAATACCAAAGAAAGACGGCGGGCTCAGACCCATTCTAGATCTGAGGCGTTTGAACAGGGCTCTCATGAGACGGCCTTTCAAAATGTTAACACTCAAACAAATTCTCGCGCAGGTTCGCCCGGGGGACTGGTTTGTTTCAATGGATCTGAAAGATGCATACTTTCATATTCAGATCGACCCTCGTCACAGGCCATTTTTGAGATTCGCCTTCGAGGGGAGGGCATATCAATACACCGTTCTGCCGTTCGGTCTGGCTCTGGCACCCCGTACATTCACGAAATGTATGGATGCGGCGCTCTCCCCGCTGAAAAGCCAGGGAGTGCGTGTGCTGAATTATCTCGACGACTGGCTGGTGCTAGCGCAGTCGAGAGACGAACTAATAGTGCACAGGGATTTGATTCTCAGTCATTTAAAATGCTTGGGTCTCACAATCAATGTTGCCAAAAGCGAACTGAATCCCAGCCAGACTGTGGTCTTTCTGGGCACGGTTTTGGACTCGGTGACAATGAAAGCGCGGCTCACTCAGGAGCGCGCGCTCTCGGTACAGACACTGGTAGCCGCATTCAGGGCGCGCGAGCGCGCGCCTCTGAAGAGGTTTCAGAGACTGCTTGGTCTAATGGCAGCTGCATCATCAGTACTCCACTTGGGATTACTGCACATGCGCCCGCTGCAGCACTGGCTGAAACGCCGTGTGCCAACCCATGCATGGCAGTCAGGCAGCCTGCGCATTATGGTGAATCAAGGGTGTTTGAGAACACTGGTTCCCTGGCGGGCTCAGGACTGGTACTGCAAGGGGGTGACCATGGGGATAGTTTCCAGGAGGAAAGTGGTTTTTACAGACGCATCCAACATGGGTTGGGGAGCGCTGCACGAGGGCAAGCCTGCCTCCGGCCTCTGGTCGAGCACGGAGCAGAGCTTACATATCAACTGTCTGGAAATGAAAGCGGTTGGTTTGGCCCTAAAAGCTTTTCTGTCAAACCTCAGGGGTCACCACGTCTTGATCCGTACAGACAACATGTCTGTGGTGGCCTACATAAATCGCCAGGGTGGCATCAGGTCAGGCAACCTGTATGTGATGGCGAGGGACCTCCTCATGTGGGCACAAGCCAATCTGAGCTCTCTGAGAGCAGCGCATGTCCCGGGCGTCCAGAATGTGGGCGCGGATATGCTCTCAAGGGGCAACACTCCCCTAGGCGAGTGGTCCCTGAACCCTCAGACGGTCAGACTAATATGGGAGAGGTTCGGCGAGGCCGAAGTAGACCTTTTCGCCTCGAGAGCCAACACCCACTGCAGGGTGTTCTTCTCGAAAAACAGGGATGCGCTGGCTCATCTCTGGCCCAGCCGCCCCCTTTACGCGTTTCCCCCCGTCTCGATGATCCCACAGGTTATCGAGCGGGTCAGGGAGAGCGGATGCCCAGTCCTTCTGGTGGCTCCTCTCTGGAAATCCAGACCATGGTTTCCGGAACTGGTTCAGTTGTCGGACACGACCCCCTAGCCTGTTCCGATTAGGAAGGATCTCCTCACACAGGCCAACGGAACGATGTGGCATCCCCGACCCGACTTATGGGCCCTCCATGTGTGGCCCCTAAACGGGTATCCGGGGACCTGCCTGACAGGGTCTTAAGCACTATCTCTGAGGCAAGGGCCCCGTCTACTCGGCGCCTTTATGCTTTAAAGTGGTCGGGTTTTTCCAGCTGGTGCTCGAAAAATCGTATTGACCCAGAGTCATGTGAGGTTTCAGTGGTGCTCGCCTTACTGCAGGAGCTACTGGACGCGGGCCGCACCCCGTCCACGCTCAAAGTGTATGTGGCAGCCATCGCAGCGCACCACGCTCTGGTGGCTGGCCAATCACTGGGAAGGAATGACCTGGTGGTAAAGTTTCTGAAGGGTGCTAGGAGGATTAACCCCTCCAGGCCCCCTTCGGTGCCGCCTTGGGACCTCTCCACGGTCCTTAGGGCCCTGAGGGGTCCACCTTTTGAGCCGCTCCAGTCGGTGGATCTAAAACCACTTTCGCTAAAGACTGCTCTCCTGTTGGCATTGGCATCTATCAAGCGAGTGGGAGATTTGCAGGCCCTCTCAGTGAGTCCTGCATGTTTGGAGTTTGGATTGGATGACTCCAGAGTCATTCTCAAATCCAGGCTTGGTTATGTGCCCAAGGTGCTCTAAACGCCGTTTAGAGCACAAGTTATTACGCTATTAGCCCTTCCCCCTTCTGCTGAGGATGGGGAGGTTAATCTTCTCTGCCCTGTCAGGGCGTTGAGAATCTATTTGGAGCGTTCTGCGTCTTTTAGACAATCAGAACAGCTGTTTGTCTGCTTTGGGGGCCGATCTAAGGGTGATCCAGTCACTAAGCAAAGACTGTCTAGATGGATAGTGGATGCCATCTCTTTGGCCTACACCGCAGTGGGTCAGGTTTGCCCCATAGGTGTCTAGGCCCATTCGACCAGAGGTATGGCCTCGTCGTGGGCTTGGTCTTCTGGTTTTCCCATTCAAGATATTTGTGATGCGGCCGGCTGGTCCTCGCCTTCCACATTTATGAAATTCTATAATATGGAGGTACCTTCCCTGCAGGCGAAGGTGCTTTCGGTATGATTGAGACCTGACAGTGGCTGGTCTTGTCTACAAAAATTACTGTGCATAATCACATACATATTATATAAACCCGCTTCGGCCGGTAATAAAGTATACTAATAATCCCGACGGTGTCTGGTTTTGTTAGTATATTCTGTTAGTGGTGACTGACTTATTATGTATATTAGGCAGACCCGACTGTGTCTGGTCTGTTATATATACATGTATATGCATATGTTTTTTGGGTTCCTGAGTGGCAGGACAACCAGTTACTCAGGGTGCGGCGTTTTGCATGGTGTCCCCACTGCGTATAGCTACGCAATACGAAGTGACCGTTCGAAAGGGAACTACTCGGTTACTATCGTAACCTCAGTTCCCTGAGATAGGGAACGAGTATTGCGTAGCCGGCCGCACTATAGTAACTGGTGAAGTTGTCGCTTCAGTCGTATAACCTGCTATAATGGCGAATTCGGGGGTCTATATAGGCGGGGCACGCCCCCTCGACGGGCTCTGACGTTGGGCTAGCTTATTGGTTGTGCGTCAGAGTCGCCCGCGCCATTGGATGTGCAGTTGCTGCAGCACAGCCTATGAGCGGGTCAGACGCTCAGGGGGCTGGCTGTGCAGCTGCAAATGCGTTTTACATATAAGCTTCAGTAAATCAAGGAAAGGGAGTTTCCCCCCACTGCGTATAGCTACGCAATACTCGTTCCCTATCTCAGGGAACTGAGGTTACGATAGTAACCGAGTAGTTTTTCAATGTAACACGGTTGATCAAAGTATGCCCAAATTTAGGCCCTCTTTTGAATAACCCCTTTAACTAAACTAGGGCACAACGAGGGAAGAACTGAATGAATTATACACACATTCAGAGGGGAATGAAAGTTTGATTAGGACCTTCTGTCAGAGCAACCTGTTGTTTGGGATGGAGATCAGTAGAGACGCATCCCATCGGGTTCTTTCCAGTGCGATCTTTCTAAGAGTCATAATTAGCGCCAAAGTGCCAAGGGGCTTCAAATGGGTCCTAATGAGCCCCCGTAGTCCTGTACGGTTGGGGATAAACGAAGCCACATGAAGGCAAGCCTGCAACCTTAGCCGAATAAAAGTGTAATGCCTGATAACGCTGCGATACGCAGGGAAGGAGAACAGAGGCCGTTTTTTTTTTTTTTTTAATAAAATGTCAATGGAGGAGAGGCTTCATTACTCTGAATACAAAACGCTTTTGTGAGGAAATAGCTTATCATTTAATGACAGCCTGTCTGCAAATCTGAAACATGTTTGCTCTTAAACATTAGTTTTGGATGGATCTATTTTTCAAGTTTACAGCAAAAAAAAGTCATAGACAATTGCGCAACAGTTATGTTTTCTATGGTAAGTAACCGCAAACAGTGACTGACTGTCGCACAACTCCGAACGAAATTCAATGACGTCAAGGCTGTAATGTGATTGGTTATCAAGGCACACGTGATCCAAGTTAGCCGCTACACTTTCTCCAATGGTAGAGCCACGGACCCTCGTATCTCCCAACAATAAGACTATCTCTGGAATAAACCTGCCACAACACTTACACAGTGGGTGCCCAGTTTTGAAATAACATCTTTAGTTTGTTTCCAATACATTTTTGCACATTGCTGTGTGGTTTGTTTCTAGGTGGTTACTACTTTCCAAACCTATTCAAAAGTTAGTTTTGGGCTGGAGGGCCGAAATCATTCATATGATAAATGGCCGAAATAAATCATAATTTTTTTGCATACAACATGGTAAACTACAACAGGTAAACATGGACGCACTTTTAGTAAATTTGTTTGGCAATATGCAAAATTTGTTCATAGCTCATTGCTGAAGAACTTTACTACAACTGGTTTATCACTCGTGAAAATGAACCCTAAAAAAATGTTCTATTAACCAAATTTAATTACATAAACTTTTTGGTTAACACCAAAATGAAAACTTCTGGCGTTTTTGCTTATTTTATTTCAGTCCGTTGTCAAGGCAATATGCCTATTTCCCATTTAACCCTCATGTTGTGTTCGGGTCATTTTGACCCGGAGAGGATGTTATTTTTCCCGAAAATGCTAGTTACCGTTATAGCATTGGACTAAAACTTACTCACTTTACTGGCTCACATCAAAGACTGAATCCAATATTTGGAGATAATATAGCAAAGCGATTTATACGTTTTTTTTTTTGTTTTTTTTACCAGGAACACCACAAGTGGGACTTTGTTCCGTTTTGTACTAAATAAAAGCATTTCAAAACAAACTTCCTCGTTAAACATTAATAAAGCACACCAGTGTGATAAACAGTGCACATTGTTTCCCATATTTTGTTAAATATTGACAAATTTATCCACAAATAATATTTTTTTTCACTCAAAAACTGAGGTGCATAAACTCAGTTAAAGGAGGTCTACAATCAGTAAGATCCAAAAAGAAATACAAAACATGTCCTAATTGAAAGAAAACAAGTTTGCAAAAAGATTGAATCCAATATTTGGTGATTATAAAGCATATTTTTTTCAGCAGGTTTTTGCTTAGATTTATAAAGATTAAAAAGCACGGCCAAAGGCATTCAAGCATAAGAATATTATAGTTACTTTATGACCTTTGATTTGTGAACACAACCTTTGATATCGCAAGTCTGATTGCTTATGAAAGCAACATCATGATTTATCATTCAAAAACTACAGGAAAGTGTAAAAGCAAGACCTAGACGTTGGCAATAGGATCTGCAGTATACATACAATCTGTCACCACGAGCGGTAAATATGAACAGGTCACTTTGAAACCCTATAGGCCTAGTTAAGCTCTGGATAAACTTACTGACATTATCAGGTCTGCATTTTATGGACATCAAACATATCTAATACCACGGATTTGGAATGAATATTATTTGCCTAATCATTGAGGACCTTTATGTCCTGACATTTACAGTGATTTTAAATCTTATATTGTTAAACATTATGTTAGAGCACAAGTAAATGGTCCCAATAGAATCTCAAGTATCAATTTTCCCTGAGCCACAACCCTACAAAAGAAGAAGGCCTAAGTGATTTCCAGTCAGGATCAGACAGTAAAAGGAATCTCACATGGGAAATGGAATCGAAGGAATCGAATACTGAGGAACCATAACAGATCCAGGCTGAGTGAGCTCCTGACATCATCCCCCAAAATAACCATCACTAGCCAGATCATTACATCTGTCTAGCCTAAATCTGCTGCCCTTCACTGCAGACACTTCAAGATATTGTTTGTATGTTGCAGATAAATGCAATGGAAACATTTGGGATGAGACATCATGGGCACAGTGAAAATGAAATAAAATAACAACACAAATATGAATGCTTTCAAATATCTGAAACCCAATACGAATTAAATGATTTTCGGGGCCTGAAAATGCAAACTTTTGAAAACGTGTTTCAAGGTGCAAGATTTTTGGAAACGATATTGTCTCCGTGTAAACTACAAAAACGTACAATGACGTGATGCGCATGTGTATAACACTACATGTTCACTCTATAGACGCATAGTTTTTCTTTACAAAATGACATCGCTACTTTTTTTTTTTGTTATTATTATTAAGATGATTTTGTCTTTGGTTTTTCTTTGTTGTAATATTGTCTTGAAACTCAAATAAAGTATAAATAAAACTAAATGACATCGCCAACTACTGGTCTGGCATGAATAATACAGCGTTCTTAGTCGTTTTCAAAGATTCCTGTGAACGGGGATCGGTTTGAAAACGTTGTCGTCTGTACGCGAAAAACACAAAGGAAAAACTTTTCTGTTTTTAGTACATCATTGTTGTGTAACGATACCCTGAGTTTTTATAAGTTTACGTTTTTATTTAATATTTAGATTAGATTTTATTTCAGTTTTATTTCAATTAATTGAATATATTAATAATAGTTTTATCTTTCCTGTAGCTCAAACAGAAGAGCGTTGGCGCTTACAAAGCCAAGGTCATGGGTTCGATTCCCAGGGAAAGCTTGAACTGATAAGAATGTAAATGTGTACCTTGAAATGCAGAGTTGCTTTGGGTAAAAGCGTCTGCCAAATGCATAAATGTAAATAAATGTAGTAAATAAGAACATCACTGGTTTGAGATGGTCATAACTGGATTAACCTGGCTGGTCTTCGGCTAGGCCACCTGAACGCAGTGGCGGCCTTTGCTATGTTTCACCCTTTTCACTTGGAACGGGCCTCTCAACCGAAGAGGCCTCCACTTGCACTCGCCCCCCCACCCCATCATCAAGGAAATGTATAGGGAGCAAATATGCCCCCAGAATTCAAGATATATGGTCAAAATGTCCTTGTATGAGCTCTTGTTTCTAATATTTATAACAGGCCATAGAGTGCTGTTTTCCCGAATATCAGCACGATTGCAAATGTGACAGCCTATTGATTTCATACAACAGTTCAATAAACAAGAAGTTAATGTTAGGCGACTTTCATTTTAGTCTGTTTTTGCACCATTTCGCCAACGAAAATAGTACCGAACGAATCCACAAAGCCATTGGGCATCCTCTAGCAAAACAGTAATGTATCATATACTAAATGAATTTCGGAACGCGTTTTTAATGAATCGTTTGACTGAATGTTGGGGGGCCTCAAACTGTTTCTTTGATAATGAGTGAACGCTGACCTGACAAGCCCAAAACCACTTTAAAACCAGCCAACAGACCTGTCTGGGACACCTACTGAGACCAAAAACCATCTCAGACTGGCTTACACCTGTTTTTCAGCAGATTTTGGTTCAAATTTATAGACTTTGGCACGGCCGAAACGAAGGCATACAAGTATAATCAGGCTTATATTTCCCTCACATTGAAAAGAGCCTGTAAATAAGTATTAGTTCATAAAATGGAGTCGCATTATATGATAGCACCTTCTCACATTATCTCAAATAACAGTTAACAGTCTAGAAGGCTTCAGAAAAACACATTTGGTTACTTTCATTTTGTAACTAAAGAGAAATTCTACGAATCACACTGAGCAGTTACCTATAAAATATTATAGAGGTGCAATATAACTTCTGTAGAGCTACTTAAGTACTAAAGCGACCTAAACTTGCTTGTTCTGCTATAAAACATACTATTAAACTTCCGCACTGCTCTTCATAGTCCAGAAATTAAGAATCCTACTATGCTGAGGCATCTTGATATTCATGATCGAGCCATTGTCATTGGTGGGCTACTAAGCGACGTCAGCATAAACTAATTAGTATTCAGCAAACAGTCCTTCGCCATTGGAACGCTACGGCGCAAACTACTTAATATGCATGAGCTAGTCTTCTTCATAGTAGAATTTGCAATTGTTCGTCGGGTGCTATGGGGCGTCACCCGAGTTTACAGAGAGGCTCGTAACTGTCACATGGATGCCACCAAAACTTAACAAATCAGATAATTAGACAACATGTTTACATTCAGTGTTAGATTTCAAATCGTTTCCAATAAATGCAAGTTGTCGGGAAAGAGAACCCATGGTCAGTTTGATCGATTACTAGAGTCTGATTCAATGTAAACTGACCAGATTCAGTTTTTTTTAGATGATTGAACAGGTTTCCTTGTGAAGGGTGAATAAAATATAAACTAACTAAATAAACACTACACGAGTTTTCTATTTCAATTCTAAACAAACAATTTTGAATAAAACGCAGAATACAGAAAATACAAAACAGTACTGGAATCTATAGATCTATCGATGAATGATTGTTCACATCACACATATATGTAAACATTCTCCATGCGATTATAAAAACGCACTAATAATTACCATAAATATAGGGCAATTGTGGCCGATAATAGCAATATGTTTAAGGTAAACAATATTTGCCACTTTGAGTCACGTTACAATACATTGCATGCAAACGATTTATGGTTTAATAGCAAAAAATGTACACTTCACCTCTGATTCCCCGGATACAGTCACTCTTCAGGAGACTTTGTTTATTTCGAGATTTTCCTGGATTGTATTAGATGTAGCAGACAGTCCACTGTGAACAATGTGCTCCGCTGTGTGTGTGTGTGTGTGTGAGAGCAGTACAGCCTACGCCCAGCCCCACACGACACACAGGACCGCCCCGGCAGTAGATTCACCAATCTTACTATGGCAAAGGCTGAGCTTATGAATATTAAGTAGATCCTGATGACGTTAATCGGTGGCTCGTTCGGTGCCTGAGAGGCTGATCAACCAAGAGCACAGCCAATCACAAGGCTTTGTCTCCATAACACAACAACCAATGGGATTAGTAGGCCTACTATCCACACCCGCCACAATACAGCTGCTCGTACTGTATCATTTTTTTATTGCATAACAAAAAAAAAAAAAAAAAAAAAGATGGTTACCAAGCTGCTGTCCTTGCATTCTCTCCTCGTGTGTAGCTATATGATGTAATTTAGTTCTGATTTAGAAACTATAAAGTTATTTCTGGAGTGTGATTATGTAAACTATTTATGGACAAGTGTATTGAAGTAAAATAATGGCAAATGTTTTTGAAATAAAAAAGCCTGTTGAATTGCACTAATTGAAAAAAAAAGCATTGTATTAACCAAGTGACACTTAATGTTTTTATTTAGGCTAAAGTAATTCAACTATTCATTGTTGAAGTTTATAACTAAACCAGGTTACAATTGTAGAGTTTTTTTTTTTTTTTTTTTTTTTTGTGATATAAGAGTCTTTTGAGTCCATATGCCCTACTTCTAGAAAGAAAGAGATCAAATTAAATTGAAAGCGAAATAAAAAATGTTGACTTATTTGCAGGGTAACTTTTTAAGCATGTGCTATCTTTAAACATTTTTTTATATTATTAATTCCTATTATTCCTGTCTGGTAAATTTTATGTTTCTTTTTAAATATTTAAGCTATGTTTTTATTTATTATTTATTAGGCTGGCCCCAGTCACAAAGATGTATTTGATAATGGACTACAAACCCTACGTGCCCCGTATCCAGGAAGTAGTTCCCGTTGCTATCCAAACTTGCTGTCGAGTGAGGCTGAAGACGAATGCTCACACACACCACACCGAATAATCACGTTGTTAAGGCTCAATAGGTAAGAAAATAATTAATATGTATGAAGATAGAACGCACATAGTATGACATAGTTTACTTAATTCATTAAGTTTGCCGTTTTCTCTAAAACTGTTAACATTTATTTCAGGCCAGGAAAGCAAAGGTTGCAGGTGTCGAGTGAGGCATCGCAGAAGAAGAGAGCCGACACTGCGAATGAGTTTATATCAAACCTCCTGCTGACCCCGATCTCTCTGACCTGATGATGGATCAACTGTGTCTCTCACCAGAAAAGTTGGTAGGCTTTCAATGTTGAGGCTAAACATTAAACTTTTCCTATGAATTGGGCGATAAATGTAAAAACGTTATATTATACTGTATATTTAACGCAAAACCACCTGATGTTTATAGGTTCAATGTCTTTTTCCCCTCTCAGAAAATCCTGACTGGATCAGAAAATCTACAAGAAGTGAAGTCACTAGAGATGTGTGTTGACACCAGACAGGACACTTTAGACAACTTTGGTGAGATTTTTATTTGTTAAAATATACTTTTTATTTATTCATTTAGAAAATGTAGCCTATTTATATATTTTTTGATAATATATCTATTTTTACATTATGCTGGTATTAAGAATTTGTGGGAGCCACATGTTACTTGTCATAAAAATCATGTCACATTGTAAAAAAAAAAATAGTAATGGTCCAAATGTGATTGTTGTTTTGATTGAAAAGGCTGGATGGGCAATAAAGACATTAATTACTTTTTATGAAATCTGATGAACGTTTGTGTTTTTGTCCACTTGTCACAGGAATATACTTGCCTAAACTTACACGGCTGAAAATGAACAACAGTTTGATCTCATCTGTGCGGTAAGACCTCCATTTCCCTACATAAGTTACTTTGTTACATCCAGAAAGGAATAATTCACCCAAAAATGTAAAATATGTCATAAGTTACTTTCCCTCCTTCTAAACCCTGAATGACTTTCCTCCGTGGAACACAACAGAAGATATTTAGCAGAATATTAATTCTGCTCATTGCTATTAAAGGGATAGTTCGCCCAAAAATGAAAATGTTGTCATCACTTACTCACCCTCAAGTTTTTCCAAATCTATATGAGTTTCTTTCTTCTACTGAGCAAAAAAGAAGATATTTTGAAGAATGTTGGTTACCAGAACATTCTCTTTAAAATATCTTCTTTTCTATATTCTATCTATCTTCTTTTCAACAGAAGAAAGAAACTCATACAGTTTTGGAACAGCACAAGGGTAAGTCATTTTCATTTTGGGGTGAATTATCCCTTTTACATGTACTTTTCACATGGGAAGACAATGGAAATTTGGGGACTTCAAAATGATATGTGCTGACATGGACAGGTTGTGTTACATGTCCTCACCCTCAAAAACCATCTACAAACAGAATAATAAACGAATATTTTAAAGAATGCACAACAGACTACATTCAATTTCATAGAAGATAAACACGCAATTAATTCTTAAAGTATAATACTATAGAGAGACGGAGTGAAGGATCTCTTATTATTCTCAGTATTTCCTCAGGGATCTGGGAACCAGGCTGTCCCACCTGCAGGTGTTATGGCTGTCCCGATGCGGTCTGACCGACCTGGAGGGAGTTCCTGCTCTCGCCAGCTTAAAGGTATCAAACATCACTTAGAAGGAAAGGGTTACAGAGACTGAATTGATGAAACTTTTTGGAAGGCACAGTAAAAGGTATTTGTTTTTCTTAATGTGGACGTATTTTAATAGGAGAACGTTTTTTTTATAGACAAAAATAAGCCATCGTATTATGAAGTATTAAATAATATAAAATGTTAATTTTTTAAAACCTTTGAATACAAGTAAAAGAGTCACCTGATAAATGAATCTTGCTCTGTGTTATGTTTTCCTCAGGAGCTGTATGTGGCGTATAACAGTATCTCAGACCTGACTCCAGTCAGTATGCTGGAACACCTGGAGCTGTTGGACCTGGAGGGGAATGATGTCGATGATCTGGCTCAGTTGATGTATTTAGGCTGTTGTGGGAAGCTCAGAACGCTTTCACTGGAAGGAAACCCTGTGTGCACCTGTCCCAGTCCAGGCATGCCAGAGGTACATGAGGTCATACAGCAGATTATGGGCGGCGTGTCTAATAGAGCATGAGAGAGATGAGGCTCAGCTTCTCTCTGTGGTGGACCAGACTAATGGCCCCGACAGATCAGGATGTCTCCATATAGTCATTAAATCAGAATTAATTACTTTCTACCGCTTCATGTAATGCTGCCCCTCCCCATCCATATAGAAATGACACAATAATATGTTTGATATTAGAGACCCGAAATGGACGAGGGAAATGAATGATGTAAATATTGGTTCTGGGGCATTGCTACTTTTTGGCCGAGCAGAACAAAATAAGTCAGTAAAAATATTTGGTAACACTTTACAATAAGGTTCCATTTGTTAAACAATAGTTGCCATAAACTAATAATGAAAAATGCTTTTACAGTATTTATTAATCTTAGTTAAAGTTATTTTCAACATTTACTTATAGATTAAAATCAAATGTTGTATCTGTTAAGTTAACATTATTTAATGGACCTGAGCTAGCATGAATAACAATGAACAATTGCATTTGTATTAATTAAAGCTGCTGTCCGTAACTTTTTTAAGTTAAAAATAATCCAAAATAATTATATAAAAAAAAAACATATTCTGCCAGTGGTCAAAACTATCTGCTTGCCATAGCTAGATTCAAAACGGTTAGCTTGTAATAATGATTTTAATTCCAGTGGTACTGGTGGGTTTCCGCGGGAAATTCGAGCATGTCTTTGCGTCATTACGTCACACCCGTACACATAAAGTCAAGTCAAGTCAAGTCACCTTTATTTATATAGCGCTTTTTACAATACAGATTGTATCAAAGCGCTTCACAGTGATAACATGAAAACAATAACAAAAACAATATAACAATATAACAAAGTTTGTTTCTAAAAGAAATTGCGTCAACGTCCACCTTAAGTAAGGCAGATCAATAATATTATTGAATATTAAAGGGATAGTTCGGCCAAAAATGATATTTAAACCATGCATTACTCACCCTCAAGCCGTTCGAGATGCATATGTCAATCTTGTTTCAGACGAACACATTTTCAGTTATTTTAGAAAATGTCTTAGACCCTTCAGTGGATATAATGTGAAGCAATGGGGTCCACCTCCTTCAAGTCCCAAAATGTGCATATATCCTTCACAGAAGTAATCCATCCGGCTCCGGGGGGATAAACGAAGGCCTTATGAGGGTAATCCGTGCGGTTTTGTCGTAAAAATATAGATATTTAAAACTTTGTAAATAAAAATATCTGACTTCCGGCAACGATCGATGCGCGTCCACGGGTGATGGAAGTCGGCGTACGAGGTAGGACGTAGCGTCGTGACGTAGAACGAACGCGCCCGCGCAGCCAGAGAGCAGAGCAAAACATAACCCGTGAACGTGCGTCGATCGTTGCCGGAAGTCAGATATTTTCATTTATAAAGTTTTAAATATGTATATTTTTACGACAAAACCGCACGGATTACCCTCATAAGGCCTTCGTTTATCCCCCTGGAGCCGGATGGATTACTTCTGTGAAGGATATATGCACATTTTGGGACTTGAAGGAGGTGGACCCCATTGCTTCACATTATATCCACTGAAGGGTCTAAGACATTTTCTAAAATAACTGAAAATGTGTTCGTCTGAAACAAGATTGACATATGCATCTCGAACGGCTTGAGGGTGAGTAATGCATGGTTTAAATATCATTTTTGGCCGAACTATCCCTTTAAATGTTAAATGTCCCCAACTAAGCAAGCCAAAAGCCAAGGCAACAGTGGCAAGGAACCAAAACTCCATCAGGTGCAGAAAAAGAAGGAGTTTCGGCTAGCCGGCTATACTGCGCGTGACGAGATGTTTAGATGTATAGGCTTTTCTCGCAGCACTTTACATAATTAAACTTATGGCATCCAGAAAGATCCAAACAACAATCATCAGTGTCAACTGGAGATTCAGCAGTTATAAAACCCAAAAGACTTCGTACTTCGGATTTAAGGTGGCTAGAGAAAGAGAAAGAAACCGTCTCATGCGAACACAAGGATTTAAACATCGGCGGGGCTTTTGAAAAGTGCGTGAACTCCGTGTTTTGAAGGGGTTCAAAACGGAAGAAGAGACGGCTTTTTTCTGCTGAACAAGTAAGACATTTCAATAGTTCAATCGTGTACAGTACGTTTTCTTAATTCACACAGTTATGGAGTTTCCTTTGTTGTGCCTTTCTCGTTTTGCTATTATGGAGAATATGAATTCTGAACTACACAGGTAACCATAAAACACATTAAATTTAACATTAGTCACGCAATGCTGATGTTGTTAACATGAACAATTTGAGAACAAAGTAGGCTATAATTTGCACGGTTGCTGTAAATCGCGTTGATTAAATCTAACGAAGCTTATCATGTCGAATGCTTTTTCCCCCTTAGTTGGTCAGAACAAAAATGGATTTTACTTACTTGTTCAGAAGACATTTTCTTATGAAAATTCTTATGTTGGTCAAACTTTCAAAAAGTGAATCTGTAATTCTGTATGACAGTATCCACACAGCGCGGTGACTGACAGCAGCTCTCGCCTCAAAGCACTGTGTTCATCCGCGCTGTTTCATGCCGACTTACAACCCACGTAAAGATGATAATTCCGCGAATCACTGCAGTTACAGATTTCGAACAGAGAAATGTATGAAAATGAAATGTATGTAGACAAATATAGTTTTTTTTGTTGTAATATTTACATACTTTTATACATTTTTGAATTAGCTTTTCATTTTATATTTTCACTTTTCATTATAATTTTAGTTTTTTTTATTCTTCTGTTTAGCTTTAATATTTTAAAAGAAAAACTATTTTAGTTTTAGTAATTTTAGTACTTCAGTTTAAACATATAGCTGCCAAAGTAAAAAAAAAATCTAATATTTATATTTTATTTTTATCTTTATTTTATATATATATATATATACTATATATATATATATATATATACGTATAAACATATAATTCATTTTACACATATCAACACTTTTATTTAGACTGATTTCCCCTTACTTCTTTCAGTTTTTGGTTATGGTTGCAATTTTCTTACTGTTTTCAGTCAGTTTCAGGAATACAAAACTGGGGCAAGTGTTCAGTGAGTGAACAAACTGCTTTGAATATTCATGAAGTGGTAAATGAAGTTCATTGAACGGTGCCCTCATTTGCTTTCTCTCTGTCTTTCACTCACTTCCTTTACTGCGGATGAAAACAGCCCTTTGCATTTCCTTTCACAGAAACAAGTGATTGATAACGATATAGATGTGCCCTACTGTTTAAAAGTTTGGGGTCTTTTGGGTAAAGACATTAATACTTTTATTCAGCAAGGACATATTAAATTGATCAAAAGTGACAGTACACGTCTTGTACTGTCACTTTTGATCAATTTAATATGTCCTTGCTGAATTAGTGTTAAAAAAAGATTTCTATTTAAAATAAATGCTGTTCTTTTGACTGCTCTATCTATCAATAAATCCTGAAAAAAACTGGTCAACCGATATTGTTTTGAGCAGATATCTTAGAGCAGGGTGGCCGATATATATATATATATATATATATATATATATATATATATATATATACATACACTTTACGTACATTTATTTGAATTAATATTTAATAAAGTAGAAATAAATCATTTGAAAATGTTTGAAAAAGTAAATCTCCTAATTAAACAGACTTACTTTAGACGGTAACTTCTTGATTCTGTAATCGTATTACAGTATTTTTCACATATATAGACATTTTTGGAACAAATATAAATAAAAAGGAAGTTAACACTGTAACCAACAGGGCACTCCGTAATCTGGCAAGTTTGTGCGCAGTGAGAATCTTATATTTCACACAGTGAAAATTACATGAATATGACATTCAGACACAGCAATATAGCGTGGCATAGTTTGAAATCAAGAGTTTAAAGTTTGTCGATTGTGCGACTCCAGTGAAGCTAAACTTTCCTGTACGCATTCAATTCACATGGACCGACCGTCACGCACAGTAACACGTTCATGAAGGCTACAAATGCACACTTCAAAATATCTGACAGTGGGATTTGACAAAGTCTGCAAGGTTTGTGAAATTAAATGTTTATTAGATATTCAAAGATTTGTTTAAATTGTATAAATGCGTATTTGCTAAATGCTGACGGTAAATCTTAAAGTATAATATTGTTTGCCTTTCTGTTACTATTACTAATAATATAAAAGCAAACACTATAATACTTTTTCATATAGAGTTTACTTTCTTTGTTTATCAGTTCGATCCAGTAACATATTAGTCAAAACTGTTTAACAGAGACCACAACTAATGAAGACGGAGAATGAAAGTGCTGTTTGCTCAGGTGCTGCTGTTCTCAGAGCCAGCGTTCTCAGTGCTGTCAAAATAAAACTCAGTTCCCAATTCATCGGCCAAACGGAAAAACTGATCGGCTGATGCCAATATTTAAAAAATAACAAATATCGGCGGTTGACCACTAAAAAGTATTATGTTTTCCACAAAAATATTGGATAGGATCTATCACGCTTTTTTAAACTAAATTTTCAACTTTATTTATTGTTAAATGTAGCTATTTTAGCATGAAAAATGTCAGCAAAGTTACAAAGTATAAAGCCACTCCAAAGGAGTTATTTTCTATATATAACTCCCTAAAACATCTCGATTTAGTTTTCTTCTCAGAACGTACCGCAAGGCATATGCAAAATAAACGGGTGAGGCCTGGTTGAGTTGCATTAGTAGTGTGTTAAAACTTGCAGTTATGGTAAGGGGAGTGACATTTCCCAAACACGCTCGAAGCAGTTGACCAATCATAACACACATGTCCAGCCAACCAATCAGAGCACATTGCACTTTTTAGAAGTAGGGGCTTCATAGAGACAGGAACTAACAGGTGTGCAACTAAATAGAAACCATGGTAACAAACTATGAACTAGAACTCAGGCAAACCAGTGAGAGGGAAAATCATGACAAAGAAACTAAACAGAACATGACAACAAAACTATTAAACCAAACAAGATATGATAAAGAAACTAAACATGACATGACTGTGACATAACACCCCTCCCCAGGAAAGCGAGTCCTCATGCTGCACAAGTCCAACAGATGAGGGAGGGAGGGGTTCTGGAGGTGGACGAGGATCTAGAGATAGACTTGACCGTAGGGGCTGGTAGTAGCGAATACCAAGGCAGAGATGATGGAGGGAGGTGCCAGGGAGGAGGCGACGGAGGGAGAAGATGACCCAGGGCAGAGCCAGAACAAAAGCCCACGGTGGAACTAATGGAGGGAGGAGCCAAGATGGAGCTTGGAGCCCGACCGACTGAGTTGAAGTTGTGATAGGAGGAGACCCAGGCAGAACCGAGGACCCAGGGTGACACAGAAGATCTGGAGTGCCGAGGTGGAGATGTGGGCTTGGCAGAGACTCGAGGTGGGGCTGAAATATCCTCACAAAGCGGAGCTGACAGCTGAGAAGCCCAACGTGGATCCGGGCAGCAGGAAGGAACCACTGGAGGAGCAGTAGGGCTGAAGGTAAGGCCAAGGAACTGGATGGAGAAGGAGAGGGAGGTTAAGCGTGTCCATCCGCAACAAAGGAGTCTGTGAGCTGGGCAGAACCAATGGCAACAAAGGCGACTTGGAGCTGGTCTGACTTGGCGACTTGGAGTCCAACCGACTGAGTTGTTGGCGTGATAGGAAGAGGCCCAGGCAAACCCGAGGAGATGAAGACCCAGGGTGACACAGAAGGTCTAGAGTGCCAAGGCGGAGCCGAGGTGGAGACGCGAGTTTGGCGGTTTTGCCATTGTCCTCAGTCGGTGTGACAGAGGCTCGAGGTGGAGCTGAAGGTTCCTCACACCAAAGTGGAGCTGACAGCTGAGAAGCCCAACCTGGATCCGAGCAGCTGGAAGCAACCACTGGATGAGCTGAGGGGCTGAAGGGAGACAGCGAAGGTGAGGCCAAGGAACTGGATGGCTTAGGAAGAGGAGGAGGGAGAGTGAGGTTGAGCGGGACCATCACCTGCAACGAAGGAGACTTTGAGCTGGGCAGAGCCAATGCCAACAAAGGAGACTTTGAGCTTGGCAGAACCAATGGTGACGAAGGAGACTTGTAGCTGGTCTGACTTGGCGACTTGGAGCCCGACTGACTGAGTTGAAGTCGTGATAGGAAGAGACCCAGGCAGAACCGAGGAGATGAAGACCCAGGGTGACACAGAAGGTCTGGAGTACCAAGGCTGAGCTAAGGTGGAGACGGGGGCTTGGCAGTTTCACCCTTGTCCTCAGTCGGTGTGACAGCGGCAAGGGGTGGAGCTGAAGGATGGAGGGGATGGAGAGAGGTTAAGCGGGACCATCCATGACAAAAGACACTTAGAGCTGGGCAGAGCCAATTGCGACAACGGCGACTTAGAGCTGGGCAGAGCCAATAGCAACAAAGCCGACTTTCGAGCTGGTCTGATGCAATGACCATGAAGACGACTTGGGAATGGGCTGAACCAGCAGAGACGAAGGTGCTCGGGACTGGACAGGACCAGTGGAGACTGTAGACCATGAAACATTACATCAACCAACTCATCAAATAATACCTCAGAGGGGACTCAGCTCAATGATACTATTGAGTTAACATCTTTCCGTTTCAGAGGCAGATAGAGCGGCGTATCATCTGTGTAGCAGTGAAATAAGATGCCATAATTCTTAAAAAATAGACCCTAGAGGAAGTATATATAAGGAAAATAGGATAGGCCCAAGAATGGAGCCTTGGGGGACACAAAATCCCCAAGGCGAACAGAAAAGCTTTTTTCAGACAAGTAAGACCTAAATCCCTCTAACACTGTACCCTTAATGCCAACAAAATGCTCCAAACGAGAGATCAAAATGTTGTGGTCTACAGTGTCAAATGCAGTCGTAAGATCTAGGAGCATGAGAACAGCGTAATCACCTGAGTCAGTGGCAAGTAGCAGGTCATTAAAAACTTTCAATAGGGCCGTTTCTGTGCTGTGAAAGGATTTAAAGACAGACTGGAAAACTTCTTGAAAACCATGTTTACTTAAAAAGGGCTGCAGTTGTATAAATACAATTTTCTCTAATATTTTGGAAAGAAACGAAAGTTTAGAGATTGGTCTGAAAATATCTAACAGAAGTATCCAAATTTTATAAACTTCAAAGACTAACACAGAACTGAGGAAACTGAGGGCTTAAATACACAGAGGATGGCAATCAAAGAAAATGGAACAGGTGTGCAACTAATCCGAAACCATGGTAGCAAACTACGAACTACAACTCGGGGGGCTTTTACACTGGGCTCGTTTGCTACGATCCGAGTCCGAGTCCGAGCACGATTGTTCCTGGCGCCCCCCGCAGCATTTATCTGGTTTCACACTCAACTTGATTCTATCGAACCCTGGTGCGTTTGCGTGCATATTATGTCATCGCAAACGTGCACGGCGCATGATAGAAAACAGAACGCGGGTCAATATTCAATATATCCTGAACAAGTGCGCACCCGAGTCCGTGTTGCTTTCACATTCACGCGAACCGCGGCACGGTTCGGGAGCAACCGAACTCAGACCACCTCCTCCAGGTAGTCTCGGATTCGGTACCCCAGTGCGCACCCGGGTCCCATGACAGCGTTCACATTAGCGATTTTTCATGCGAACCGTGCCCCGTTCCGAACTAAACTGCCAGTGTGAAAGCCCCCTCAGTCAAAACAGTGACAGAAAACCATGACAAAGAAACTAAACAGAAACTATTAAACTAAACAAGACATGATAAAGAAACTGAACATGAAATGACTGTGATAAGAGGTGCTGCAACAATGTAACGTGAAAAATATATATATTTTTGGAACATTCAAGCATGAAAACCCATTCTAGTAGACCCCAAAAACCAAATCAAGACTTTGTAAAAGGGCATAATATGGCTTATTAAGCACCACAACTGTTTTTAACATTTATAATAATAAGAAATAAGTTGCCACCATAATGTAGCTGCTAGGATGTTGCTATGCAGTTCCTAGGGTTTTCTGGGTGGGTTGCTACAGTGTTTCGGCTAGAACAACACAAAATATTATTATTATTTTATTTTATTTCAGACACGTAAATAATGGTCCATATTACAGACAAAAAGAGACACACATAAAAGCAATACATTTATCTCCTGTATAGGCTCATAAGCCAGTGAGACCAGATACTAGAAGAATATCGCACAGAGCTTAGTCCACTTGTAATACACTTGTATTCCAGATAGATTCATCACATTTGGTTTGTGTGTTTGATGAACAGGTATTAGACTACAGCTACAGGTCTGCGGTCCGTGAGATGATCCCTCAGCTGAGCTTCCTCGATGACGTTCCTGCTGAAGAGGACAAACCTCAATGCTGTAGAACTTCACAGCAGGATTGGACTCTTCTCAAAGAATCGATGAAAGACAGTTCAGTTAATGACGGCCTGGAGAATACAAATACAGATAGAGGTAAAGACAAGCAGTTGCTGCCAAGACTGTCTGACGACTGTTTCAGCAGCACTTGATATGCTTAAGAATGTTTCGCTCCATTAGAAGAGAGATGTGTCAGTGTGTGCGGCGTTAGACCTGCTTCAGCCCAGCCCCTCGATCTGAGAATCTCCTCCAGGCCAGGCAGTGCCAGACCTCTTACTTCCTGCAGCGGGTCGAGACCAGGGTCGCCTGGCTTTGACATCGCCATCTTGAACCACGAGGCCAGTGATCTAACTAAAGGTAAAACTCCTGCATTATTTTGACACACAGAGCTGTAAGGGCTCCCTGCGGTTTTCCTCCAAAATAAAAACTTGATGGTTAAACATTGAAAATGAAGAAATTAAGAGTCAGAAATATTAGTATTGTGATATAAAATAAGTAAATAAATAAATAATTATTATATTAATTTATTTATTCATTATATTTTTTCATAAATACTCACTTTTTTACAGTGAAATATTAAAACAGTAATTTTTCTTATTTTGTTTAATAGAAATAATATTAATTGTATCAAATTTGGGAAAAAGGGAAATAGGAATGATTAATTTTAACATGTTACAATTAATTATAAATATTTTGATTAGTTAATAGTATTAACTTGATGTAGCACAGTGGTTCCCAAACCGGGGTACGTGTACCCCTGCGGGTACGTGAGCTGACAGAGGGCGAACAAAATGTGCCATTAATTTAATTCTACCCCACCTTAAAATAACATTAAAACCGAACATGTATTTCTAACTGGCAAAATGCAGTAAATACATGACATCCAATCAAATTATCTCAACTTTTGCAGTCAAAACTAAATGCATCCACACAAGTTGCGTGCATATGATTGGTTGTGTGCAGACTTTGCTTCCTTAGCAAATCAGGCTACATTACTGCCGTTCTCAAAAATGTACCTTTGTAAAAGTTGGCACTTAGCACTTACTAACATAAAAAAAGAACAAATATAGACACAGAGAGTGGAATGAGATTGATTTAAAACTCTCTTCGATACAAACACACCCTGTGTAAGTTCTCGTTTTTCATGTTGATAATATAATTTGGGAGCAAGAATGCAATTGTTCCCAAATATCCACACAATTGCAAATGTGACATTGATTATTATACAACAGGTCAACAAACAAAAGGCTAATATTAAGTAATGTACATTTTAAACACAATATTGTCAGTATTTGCACTATTTTGCAACGAAATAATAGTTCCAACGAAAGCAACAGCAGTACTGCAACACACAGCAGTTTCGTGAACGTTTCTGCGGCTTTGAACAAGTAGTGAGAGTCAATGATTCATTCATAAAAACACCTACTTGCTTCGTTACTGAATGAATGACTCGAAGGGCCCTATCATATCAATCAATCAATCAATCAATCAATCACATTTATTTATATAGCACATTTAAAAACAACACACGTTGGCCAAAGTGCTTTACATACAGCCCAGCACATATAATCTAAGCTTATAAAACAAAGTATAAAACAATTACAAAAATGTAATTACAATCAAATGCAAGAGAGAAGAGATGAGTCTTTAAATGTGATTTCAATGCATCAAGGGTGGCACAAAATCTAACATGGAGGGGTAAACAGTTCCATAAACAAGGAGCTGCAACAGAAAAGGCCCTGTCTCCTTTTGATGCTATCATACACCCAGTGCAATGCGGCGCCAGGTGTTTTTTGTTAATTTCAGCCAGACGCAGTTATCATTTTTACGTCCTGCGCCATGTTGTTTAAATAGCAAATGCATTTGCGCCCATCTGTGCGCTCATGGGCTGCTGCGTTTTGGACCAGCTGTAGTTTGTTTATTAAGCGTGCAGGGCAACCACCCATAATAGCATTACAATAATCTAGCCTTAATGTCATGAACGCATGAACTAAAATTGTTCTGCATTTTTAATTGAGAGCATATGATGTAATTTAGATCTATTTTTAAGATGAAAAAATTCAGTTTTACAGATGCTAGACACGTGACTTTCAAATGAAAGATTGGTATCAAAGAGCAAACCCAGGTTCCTAACCGATGACGAGGACTTGACAGAGCAGCCAAGTGTTAGACAGTGGTTAACTTATTACGTGAGGAAGTTTTTTGTCCAATTACTAGAATCTCTGTTTTTTCAGAATTAAGTAGTAGGAAATTGCTTGTCAGTTTTTATATCAGCTATGCATTCCGTTAATTTTGTGAATTGGTAAGTTTCGTCTGGGTGTGAAGAAATATAGAGCTGAGTATCATCAGCATAACAGTGAAAACTAATGCCATGCTTCCTAATGATTTCTCCTAAGGGTAGCATGTAAAGAGTGAACAGCAACGGTCCTAGTACTGAGCCTTGTGGTACACCACAAGGAACACAGTTGTGAAGATACTGCCTTTTCTAGTATCTTTGACAGAAAAGGTAGATTCGAAATCGGCCTGTAATTGACTAATTCTGTAGGATCAAGTTGCGTTTTTTTAACAAGCGGTTTAATCATAGCCAGCTTAAAAGTTTTTTGTTTGTATCCTAATGATAAAGATGAATTAATGATATTAAGAAGATGATCTCTTTCAGTAGCTTAGTCGGTATAGGGTCTAACATACATGTTGTCGATTTAGATGATTTAACGAGTTTAGAAATTTCTTCCTTTCCTATAGCAATGAATGAATCGAATTTTTCGTCAGGGAGACTACAATGCACTGCCTGATGCGATACTGTAGTAGATGGTTGCATAGTTATAATTTTATCCCTGATATTATCAATCTTGTAAGTAAAGTAGTTCATAAAGTCATTACTTGCTGTGCTGTTTGCAAACGTCTGGGCTTGAAGCTTTATTTTTCGTTAGTTTAGCCACTGAGATGTCATCGCTCTGCTGCAGAATTTCAACGGCATCAACATTAGATCTAATATTATCACATGGAATCAAAGTATGATTACGACAATGAGTAGGTCCTGACACGTGTTGTCTAACTCAAATAGAGTCAAGAATATCTTTAAAGGCCAATACCAATGCATCTTTTTCATTATCTACATGTATATTAAAATCACCAACAAGTAGGACTTTATCTGTTGCGAGTACTAACTCTGATAGAAAGTCAGCTAATTCTTTGATAAAGTCTGTATGGTGCCCTGGTGGCCTGTATACAGCAGCCAGCACAAATCTCAAACGTGATTTATCATCTACACTAGGCTATATATTGTTACATTAAGCACCAACTGAGGTGTTAAGAAGAATTATATTTGAAACTAGACTTCTTAGTAATTCTGAAAATATTACTATAAATTACAGCAACACGTCCCCCTTTGCCTTTCAGACGAGGTTCATGTTTATAACCGTAATCTTGGGGGTGGACTTTAAATTAATGTAATTGTTTGGGCCAGGTTTCTATCAAACACAACACGTCTAGGTTATAGTCTGTAATCATATCATTAACAGTAAGTGCTTTTGAAGTAAGGGATCGAATATTCAGCAACCCGAGCTTTATCATTTGTTCATTTGTATTATATCTGTTTTTTATTTGTTGAACATCAATTACATTTTTACCCTTAGATGGGTTTGGAAGTTTTTTGTATTTCCTAATTCGGGGAACAGACACAGTCTCTATATGATGATATCTAGGTGAAAGAGTCTCTATGTGATGGGATTTTTTTCTGACCTCAGTGACGTGAGACAGCTGGCAGACGGTTGGTTTAGCCAGTCTGTCTGCTTCCTGACCTGAGCCCCAGATTGTCATGTTTGAGCTCTAAGACTATGTGCCATATCACTAGAGAAGAAGAGCAGCACCATCCCAGGAGGGATGAATACCATCTTTTTTCAACAGGTCAGGTCTGCCCCAAAAACTTTTCCAATTGTCTATGAATTCTATATTATTTTGCGGACACCACTTAGACAGCCCGCCATTGAGTGAGGATCAGTCTACTAACTATCGCATCACTCCTGTGAACAGGAAGTGGGACAGAGCAAATTGAAATGCCTGACATCGTACTTGCGAGTTCACACACCTCTTTAACGTTAATTTTTGTGATCTCCGACTGGCGAAGTCGAACATCATTAGTGCCGACGTGAATAATAATCTTAGAGAATTTACGATTAGCATTAGCCAGCACTTTTAAATTTGCTCTGATGTCAGGCGCTCTGGCTCCCGGCAAATATGTGACTATGGTGGTTGGTGTCTCTATTTTCACGTTCCGTGTAATAGAATCGCCAATAACTAGGGCACATTCAACAGGATTCTCAGTGGGTGTTTCACTGAGAGGGGAGAACCTGTTTGATGTTGTAATCGGAACGGAAGAGCGGTGTTTTGTCCCGCGACTACTGCGTCTCACCGTCACCCAGTTGCCCTGCTGCGCGGGCTCTACTTCAGCCGGAACCGAACAATGTACAGTGTTCACTAAGCTAGTCGACATACACTCACGCATATATGGGTAAAATGGAAAGTGAAAGTGAATGAATGAAACTGAAACAGCTATGGAAACGAAAATGTCAGTTAACCGCCTGAACAGAACAATCAGTCTCTTCATTTTAGAGCACCTTGCTAACAAGGGGTCTACAGCTTTTATTAAAACTCTGTTTAGTTAGTTGAATGTACGATACTTGCACAATGCAGTCTCACAAGAAAGTATTGATGGTTCGGTAGTTTGATGGTGGTGAAGTTATGGAAGTAAAATAATGCCAAATGTGTTTGAAACAAAAAAGCTTGTTGAATTGGACTAATTGAAAAAAAAATGCATTGCATTAACCGTGCTTGGATTTTAATGCATTTTATTTTTAGGGCTTGCATTTTTATCGGCTAAAATTCAACCTGGTTGTAGCTATATTTCAGCTGTGAATATTTCAATTCAAAACATTTCAAACGTATTTTCATTATTAAAAATTATATATAATTCAATAATCCATTTTAACGTTTCAGATTTCCCTTCCTAAATATTTATTTAAATGTTTGTTTAAAAATACAACCTATAATATTCGATAGGCAATTTTCGCTTGTATAAATTCGCGTATAAATTACACCCTCTTAAATAAAGAGGGTGAAATTTCATGCGGTAAAAGTTTCTTTGTTTGGAAGAATCTCATTTGCATGAGATTCCCTTTATACTCTGATTAATATAACAAAGCATAAAGTGTACATTATGATGAGGGGATATAAACCAATGGGTAGAGAGTTAAACAAGGATTATTTTGATATGAAGCATGATACCAAGAGGGTTACATTATCCAGTAGTTCTATCATAATGCATGCATACAACAGTATACAATACAAAAAAGACCATATATAAAACATTAATAATACACATAATGTCCTGGGGATTTGCATGTTCATTCATAGAAAGATTTGTCTATGAATTAATGGATAGAAGTGCGTTTTGTGTTTCTTCAATGGCCTGCGATGCTGCATGTGACTTCGTGATTTGCACGTGTGCATGAGCATCTGCTTGGACCTTTGGTCTTGAGGGGGAGTCTTACAACTCCCAAGTGGATTATTTATTAAATATAACAAATAATTGTGTGTCTGGTCTGTCCAGCCGCTACATAATACATGAATAATATTACAATAGTAATATTTATTATATGTGTATAATATCACATATTTACTGGTTTCTGGTACATGTTAGAAAGTGATGCGTGAAAGGTGACGTTTCCACAGGTTCTGGCAGCGTTCTCTGTGGGAATCCACTACAGGTTGTTCGAGTACGAAGACAGAAAACAAAGGTGAATCTGTTCATACTGATCCATAAACTGTACATGAAGCTTGAACGGCAATATAATTAGGTATTAAAGACACCGTGAAAACAAATTTTTTTTTCCATCTGCTCAGCTCAGCTCACCACGGCTCAGCAGTTACGTTCCTGAACACACATATGGCTATGAAGAGTCGAGCAGTGAGGACCGTAGTGATGTTTTTGCTGAGCTCAGAAGCTGGAGGATTGAGCACAACAAGTACTGAAACTCCTCTAACACACACACAGACACACACACACTTTGCTTCCTGTTACAATGTGGTACAATGTACACACTGCGTTGACTTCCGACAGACATCTGTTGGCTATTGAGGACCGGCAGCCGCAGGTAATGAGAATCCACCACAGTGATGATGACTATGATGATGAAGGTGGCCACAGTCATAGTTTCAGCAGTGATGACATCACTAAAGACAGAACTGTCTGCAGAGACACAAGCTCTCCTGATTCGTCCTTTCAATCTCCCTCACCAGGTAAGTAACGTTATTCCTCTCATATATAAATGATCCTCGTGTGTTTCTTCACGTTTAATTTTTTAAATCGTGTGCCTCTTTCTTACAGAATGTCCTGAGATGTTGAGACTAACCTCTTCATCAGGCTGTTCCATGTCTCCCTCACCGCCACTCTCTGCAGCAGCTCCCCCTGCTGGCCGGAGGATAACACAGATCCGCACCAGGAGACTCAGACCTCATTATGCTGACAGTAAAGCCAGACCCTCAGAGGAGACTCCTGGGCCTGAGCTCAGAAACCTGTGTCCCCAGAGTATTATGACTGTATCATCTCCTCAAATACTCCACAAACCTCATAGGCCCTCTGCTAGTCCTGCGGTCTCCCCTCTCAGAGCGCAACGGTATATTCCCGTCAATCATATTTGTGTGGACTATTACTTTAACAAAGGCATTTCTGACTACAATATATTCTCCCAATTTAGGTCAGAGGATACTAGGAATCATCAATACTCGGACATCCAGCACAAACCAGTAACACTCTCTAACACATTTACAAAACTGACACCCAGACGTCCACAAACAGCCAACGCTGCCCTGCAGAGGTTTCCAGAACCAAACCTCCTGCCTGCTCGAAGAAACACACACTTGGAATGATGGATTGTGGGTCAGATTAGGTCATCTTTTCACTGCAGGTTTACAGGGTTTCAGAACCACTGTAAAATTGTCACATACATTGCTGAATCATTAGGGGGCGCCATTTCCATTATGATAAATGCTTGTTTTTCTCTGCTTTATTTTAGATGTATTCCATGTTAGATTGACAGGAGGAAGTCTTGGTCCATATTCGTCCACTGATATTATGTGAACACTAATATTGAGAAATAATACTGTAAGTGTGATGTTTATGTCAGAGGACTTTCATGCTTCTCATGAAAACTATGTTTTCCTGTCGTGGATCTCCAGCAGCGCAGCATCCACATCTGTCAGATTCCTAACATGTCTGGTCTTGCAGGTACAGTGTGTGCAGAACAGACGCAGGTGCAAGACTGTTACTCCATATGTCTCTCAAATATTTCCCACTGATGATAAGTCAGTTCTGAGAAGCAACATATAATTAGCCTGTCCATAATTTCCACATGGTCTAAGTTTTTTACGCATTTTGGACAGTATTTAGGTTTTCTATTATTTTTTAAACATGTTTTTTCAGTGTACATCCAGATGTATAACTTAATGAAAAAATAACTAAATAAAATAAACATAAAATTGCTAAAATACAGTAAGACATTTGTTGGAGGGTTAGAGCTAAACATCAAAAGCTGATTGTTAATGAAATTGGTCATTTAGTCTCTGCTCATCTCATTTTGAGTCCAGCATAGACAAAATGCATATATATATATATATATATATGGATCTATGACAAAACGTGGCAGTTTTTCATTTCAGTGATTGTACACCTACAATAAACAACAAATATTACAATACATTTTGTTGCATTTTCAACTATTTCGACTAAATAAACAATTGTAGGGTGGGGGGAAAACAATTAGTGGCTTTTAAAAAATATATATATATATGCTTTATTTAAACATTCAGTTTACAGTGTGGAGAACAACATAATTAGAACACAACAATAAGTATTACGAATAACAGAAGCATAAAGAATAGTAAAAGAAAACACTTCACCAACACCATAGCACAAGCAACCGAACTAGACAGTAAAATAAACCAGAATGGAAAAAAAATGAAGGCCATTTTTAAAATAAATAAAACAATTAAACATTAAGTAGCCTACTTAGTGCGAATTGTACATGTTCTGAGTGCTTTTGGGTTAAGAGAAGATTGACTTTTTATGAATATACATTTATGTTGACATTTATGAATATAAAATCTACATAGGAAAATAATTCGATTTATTATAAAGCAGGCATTTGAATCTGCTTTAAAAAAAATCCCAAAATAACAGTTTTGGGATTCACTGAGAAATTTTGCAAGATATTGCTTGAGATAAACATCTTTCCAAAGTTGCAGAGTAGCCTATACAGTAAATGCACGACCTGCAAATACTGCAAATGAAGAGGAGTTTTAGTGTCCTTCTGGCAGGAAATATATATATATATATATATATATATATATATATATATATATATATATATATATATATATATTATGAATTAATTTAAAATATATTTAGTTTACTTTGTGAGGAAACCCTTTGTTATGGACCATATGTTTCCAATTTGAATGATCAAAAAGTCCATTCCAGTGTGAGATTGCTGGAGGGGCAGATCAATGTTCTCGAGGAATAGAACTCTTACTTTATAATTTCTTCCTTTTTTTTCCCCAGTGAAACCATAGGAGTGAAACATATCTCATCACCAATATGTGTGTTGACAGGTTCAGGAGAAGGTAAAGAACCTAAAGAGAGAGTTTTATTTTTGAAAAGCATGAGTATATGCCAGAAGCAATAGCATCCATAACTGTGGCAAACTCTTAGGGAGTTACAGGTATATTATATTCTGAAAGAAACTCTGCATACCTAAAAAGCAGTCCTTCGTTATTAAAGAGCTGTTAAACATATAGAGCAGCTTTATTGCTATGCACCGATATCGACGCGACGCACGCACAAACATTTTTGATTGGTCGACTGGCGTCGACGTCACGATTCCATCAAGCGAGCGTTGCGTTCACTCACAGCACAGACTGGTGGGACTGGAGAGTTGTTGTGAGTTTGTGTGGCGTCGTGTCGCTTTATAAGTGTACACACACACATAGTGTCCTTCAGCAGTATTGGACGAAAAAGTGCGGGAAAATGCATTGCGTCATTGGTAAGTATATATCATGTATACGCACATTCTTAATTTGGTATAATCTATGAATGACGTTTGTACGTTGGAAGCAAGATGTCTTTACAAAACAAACCTCCTCCAGTTAAACTCTCCAGACGCTTCTGGTTGTCATACGTCACATGTTCATATTGTTAAAATGATGAATTCCACATGCTAGGAAACTGAACATCCTCTACATCCACTTCATACATCCACTAAATTCAACTTGACACCTGCTGAGTAAAAATACTGTAAAAAGAAAGAAAAAAAGAGGCTCGGTCAGTTCTGAGAAAAGATTCAGTATTTGTTTGTATCTATGATATCTAATGCAGTGAGATTTGTTTAGGAAATTGAATTACACGTTCGTGGCTTTCTCTGGACTAGTGTAAACCATGCTCTGCTCATCATCCACTTAATGTGTTAACATTGAAATATACAGCAGACTAAGTGTAAATGCTTGTAACCAGTGCTGAGGTAAGCAGGAGAGGAATATTACTGTAACTGAATTGAATTCACATGTGCTTTATGTGCAGAAAACCCATCACTGTCATGGAGCTTATTTGTGGTAATGATAGCAGTAGCTGGGATGTGATGCTTTGAGTCATGTCAGTTGTGCAGTCATTACTTATATCTGTGACAGGTGAGTCATGAGGCAATTATATCTTTGATATGATGTACACACACACACACACACACACACACACACACACACACACACACACACAAGATGAAGTCTCTCCAGTCGTCATTTTGAAGGCACATAACCAGACTGATACTACTAATCTTATCTCTGTAATTACCCCTTTTATTAGATGCATATGGTTGCAGAATAAATTTATGATGGGTGACCAATTCAATAAAATATGGTATTTTGACAATGCTAATTATAATTGAAAACTTTTCGTTTTGCATGACGCTTCATCCACACCAGTAGATGTCAGTAGAGAGTTCAAGATAACGGTGATATAATATTAGCCTACTCAAGGTAATGGTTCCAAATGATCTATTTTGAGTTTTCAATTTAGAAAGTAAAATTTGGTGTACAAAAAAATGTAAAGTTTTGGCAGTCTGATCAAATTATAAGCCAAAGCCAGAGATGTAAAAAAAATCATGGTTATTATAATTATAATTCGCCGTGAGTTTGATTGACAGGTCTGACCGATTATAATGCTGAATCTGCGTTTCTGACAAACAAACCAGACAGGAGAGTTAGTAGATTAATGTTTGTGGACTTGAACTTGAAAAATAGTCTGTATCATCTTTTCGCGGTTGAAACAATGTTCATTCATGTTTATTATGTGCTATAACTTGTAGGAAGTGATGATCGGTTCACGTGCCGCTTGAACTGAGGCGTTACAGCAATCTGTCACGACACAAAACAGTATTGTTTAAATTTCTTAAAAAATTTGAAAGCTGAGACTTGTTTCATATTAAAAGTAACCTGCTCTGTTTTGTTGGCGTATTGTGCCCTTTTTGCTCCGCGTTGTAGCCTTTTTCTCACTGCGTGAGAGCGATGTGGCTTGTCAGACCTAGCAACAGTAACTAAGGGGGCAGGTCTTTGTGAAGGGTCTATTACTTGTGGGTTTTGTTGTTAGGCTAAAAATGGCCACTTAGTTTGAGCGCACTGCATTGTGGGATATAGCTTTCTGTTGATGTGTGTTGTATATTACAGATGTAGTAGGTTATCGTGTAGTCTGTGTATCCAGGAAACTCACTCACTGTGTACAGTATTCATATATACTGCAGAAATACTGCATTATTAAGTATTTCGAACATATTTGTTTCATAATTTCTTCACGTTAGACCAAACATTTATTCTGGCGGGTTGTAATGAAGACCTTTGAGTTTCTGTGTGTTGTAATAAAATGTAATATTATTATTATTTGAAGAAGTACACTCTACTGTGCAATAGTAATGTATTTCTTTTCTTTTTTTCAAGTTAAACCGAACTTTTATTTTGACGCGTAGTCGTGAAAACCTTTGAATTTCTGTGTGTATATGATGTGCAATAGTTTTATGAAGTGAAATGCTGGTGAGTAACTCTCAGATCAGCTCTCAGATGAAGTTCACGTGTTCATGTCCTCATTGTAGTGAGGAGGCAGACGCCGAAAACACGAGCGGCACGCGTCCTTCAGTGTGTGGCTGCGTCCAAAACCGCATACTCTCTTGAGTAGGTACTGGTGTATATACCGGTAGTATGAATGTGTGTAGTTTAGATGTAATCTGGACGCACTACATTCGCCATGTTGTCATTATCATGTGACTTACCGGCTTCAGTTGCGTTGCTTCACTGCCATTCATTAATCCTCTCCTGTGGCCTCATGGGATGGTAAAGTGTCCTTCGGATGCACTTCAGAATCTCACCGGAAGTAGTAGGTCATCCGGGTACTTTTTGCCTACTCTTTTATGAGTACTGTGAATCTGGACATGCTTCTTTTGTCACATACTGTTTTTCACCATATCGTAGTGAACCTGTCCCAAATGCCACACTTCATGTGCACTTGTGGTCTTGTGGACTTAAAATGGCTGCTGCGTGTGTGTGTCCCCGTTAAAGGCCCCCTGAAATCAAAATGTACGTTTTTTTTAGCTTTTAGTGTGAATATGTTTGCCTTAAGGTTATGAAGCTGGTTTGTTCCAAAACATTGACAAAATTAGCATAATTCGCACCGCGGACTTCAGCTTCTCATCACATCTTCTGTCCAATCAAATGCTCTCTAGAATCGAAAGCTCCGCCCCCTATGCTATAAACACCACCTGGCCAAAGCAACCGTTGACACGTCACGTAATATGGGTTTGAGACGTGTGTTCGGTTGCCCAAACGCTCAAGTTTTATTCCGTTTTCCAACTGTATGTTGGTTAAGAATGAAATGGCTAGAATTTATTCACACTTTTACTATTGAATCCAGCGTATCATCAGCGCTCGGATTCGCTTCCATGGTGCCGTCAAGTGCGACTCGCAGTCTGTGAGGGAAACTAAACGCTATTGGCTGTTTGAAAAGGGGGAGGAGCCATTCAATATGTCCCACCTTAACTTCCTGTTTCAGTGGAAATTACGTCAATGATTATTCAATCATTACCAGAGGGGCGTTTTATTTACAATCATTTCCAGAGGGGCGTCACCAACGGACGTCGCGGATAGACCTAAACCCAATCAGAGCGATGAAGGAGATGACGTATGCAGAGCGGCGGAGAAACATCTCCGAGTGTTGTTCTTTGCTCGGTTTTTAACAAAAAGGAAACGTTCAAATCGCTTAAAACAGACGCGATAGCTGATTCGAACGAGTGATGTTCGACGGCGGCATCCATCTTTGTAATGTAGGCTACAAAATCTGCTTCAAAATCCCAGCGCTGTCGTCATCGTGTAAAGCCCGCCCCAACGTTTCTGATTGGTGCCGCGATTTCGACGGATTGGAAATGGGCTTGAATGAGCTCTTTGCCAGACTAACTTTCAGAGCAAATCTAAATTTGCCGGAAGTTGTCTGGGTTTTCCCAGGCTAGCCCAGCACTACTACGTTGCTAAACTATTGGCAATGGAAAATTTTTTGAATTACACGTTCGTGGCTTTCTCTGGACTAGTGTAAACCATGCTCTGCTCATCATCCACTTAATGTGTTAACATTGAAATATACAGCAGACTAAGTGTAAATGCTTGTAAATTTTGCTAATGTGACGACAATTTTATTGAATGTGCATTATGTAATTTGTAGTATTTTTGCAGTCATAATATAGGCTATCTGTTGCAATAGCATTCCTCGCACGCCCTCCTCCCCAAACGTGATTTACCGTGTTCTTTCTGGATGGAGTGGGCCAGTTTTTGGCGGACATGGGAATCAAATAGAGTCTGTCTCTCCTCCTGCAAAACCTCTTCAGTTCACAGTGACTCATCTGTCCAGCTGCTAGATGGATCGAGAACAAAAAGAGCTTATGTACCATCTGGAGATAGCGCATACTTCTTCACATCTCACACACGTAGGCTTAGCTATTCCTCATGAGTTATGCCTCCACTTTACGTTCCCATGAGAGAAATATGTTGGGAATTACCACTTAAAGTTCCTGAAACACAAATCTTTAATTACTGCATTTATTTTTTCATTATGTTACATATTCTAATTATCGAATTCGAAACAGGGCAGTTCAGAACAAATGAATGAGCACTGCAAAATAATTTGAAGTGATATCCTGATATATATATTTTTTGGGGTATAAAATAAAAAGTGTGAAGATGATGCTTTCCTGATAATGATATCATTATCTTAATTATGAAATTAAGAAAAAAAGCCTCATTAAAAGGATGAAATTATTGTGGGGAAAACTATTTAGGGACCATTCACACGCACACATAAATTTGCATTCCACTGCACTGCTTTTATATTGTTTCTAAATGTTTTAACATTGTGTTTGATTCTTTTGCTGTGTCGTGCTCATGACACGGATTTCTAAAAACGTGGCATTTAAGTTAAAAGAAGTTCAAAAAAATACATTAACACACATTTTTTCATTCCACTGCCCTGTTTTTAAACATAAAAATGTTTTGTGTGTGAATGGCCTTTAAGTAGTTTGGATTAATAATATTTTGGATTAATGACCTTTTTATGATGAGTTAAGCTCAGTTGTAAACTGTCATGTGGTACAACTCCTTAAAAAACTAATTATATTTATGAATTAATAATTCATATTTGTGGAAATACCTTTTACTTTGAAAAATATTTTGAAAAACGAATGGCTTTGTGTGATGAAGAGGCCAAAATATAAGTTGTTGACATACGGTTTAAAAAAAGTTTTTTTATGGCCATTGTGTACTTTCATATCATGAAACTGAGCAGTGTGAACATTTTTTATAATATCTCCTTTTGTTTTCAATGTAAGAAATAAGGTAATACGGGTTTGGGACGATGTGAGTTAAAGATGTGATGTGAGTAATCACTGAATATTTATTTTTTGGTGAACTATGAACAGGTTGGATAGTAATTGAGCTTTGGCCTCTTTATGTAAATCTTGGTATAAGTCAGTATTACCAGTCTGAATCTGTGTGTCTTGAAATCTTCAAGGTTGCACATTTTGTGTCTGCGTTATTTGCATTCCTGTGTCACAGTAAGATCAATTAAAGAAAAAATGTATCCCTTTTTGCAAACTGACAATTTACCCCAGAGATGAACTATTGTTCACTGGAGTTTTATGGACCGTAATATTGCTCTATGATTACATCAGAGACACTGCAATGTTTGTAGGGCACTTATGAACATGATGAACCTCATGATATCACACCATGAACTCATTCGAAACACAATTTAACATAAATTGTTTTATAGTTTGAGGGAGCGTTGTTATACCTTCATGATTCTGAAGTGCGTTTTTAACCTCTTGTTTGGTTTAACAGTTATTGCATTCAGTGGAAAAAAAATGTGTTTTGACAGATTCTCTGTGATTGTTAAAGGTCACTGGTTTTGCTTGGCTGAAGGAATGGCCCCTAAACAAGCATGAAGTTGGTGCCTCACCATGGTGGGATCGCTCGCCGTTTGATTTCTTTTGTGACTCTTCCAAGCGTCCATTCCTCCCCCGAATGCCCCGACAACTCCTGCCCACCCCACTCATGTTTTGTGTGCTGCTCAAACACTGGTCATGTGACTTCTGTCCCAACACAATCGCAGTGCCTCGCCATTGGCCGGTGGCTTTGAAAGAGCATCAGTCTCCATGGCGACGGAATGGCGGCGCCACTTCAGATTGTCTCCGGGCCCCTCCTAACGTTTCACACGGACTCTCACGTGCCACATCAGGTGGCCTCAACTGTCTCGCAGTCTCAGACGAGTCTTGCACTTCTAAAGATAGCATTATAGGTGAGTACCCCGCTTTTATGGGCATCTAGGGCTTCATTTTTCAATGTCTTGAAGTTTCATGCAAACTTGTGGAGTTTGAACATATGTTAGATTTAGTTTAATAAGCTTGATGTTCCATGATTTAAGAGATGTTTTATCACACAAAAGTGCTGGCTTTTCTAATTACCCACATCTTTTGTTCTTGGTCATGATAATTAGTAGTTTTTTTGTGTTACCATGGCAATGTAATTTAGTCAAAGTCTTCAGGGAGAGGAGGTGAATTCAGGAAACTTGCCAAGAAATGCTTCTTGATGGTGTTTCTCTGTAAAGGTTTTGTGTTGTATATCCTTGAATGAGATATTACGGTAGTTTAGTATTTTTATGTTTTTTTTTATTGGAGGTCCTGTTGTTGCCTCCAAATGTATGAATGTCATTGCATTAGATAAAACATATGAAACCAGTGCCATCTGAAAACAAATGCGGCAAGAACAGTCTCACAACAATGTTCTACTATTTTGATTTACCCAATTCCATGTGATCTCCTTTGTACGGTTTGGTATGATCTGCTCTTTTCGGCGTGGAGTTAGGAGATTCATACTTAGTTTTTTTTCCCTTACAAATCATACATTTTATGTTCATACAGTACATGGTCCCGAGGTCATTTGTAAAGGATATGATTTTAAAAATGTATGGGGAGGCACTTTTGAATCCGATGGTGTTTGTGTGATCCTGGCTAGATGTGTCCGTCGTATTGAACAGTATATCTGTTGTATATTTTAAAACCAACAAACTTCTCATTGTGTAGAGTTTTGTTTTAAATTGCTCACATTATATTTCTTTAAAATAAATGCCAATTGATTTTATTTTATTTTTTGGGCACATAGTTTATGTGCAATGTATAATCATTCTTTTGTATATTGATGACTGAGGATGTAAGTACTTGTTGAATGACATGGCATCATTTCTCGTTTCAATCCTGAAATTCCTGTTGACCTGTTTTCCTCAGGAATGATTCCTTGTCTGGAATCCACCCAATATACTGTCATTTACACAAACCGGCCTTTATTATGATCTCTCTACCACCTAGAGCGTTCCAGAAGCCGAACAAAGCTTCATTCTGCTTCATACTGAAGATGTGCTGGCTACAATTCAGTAACATCTGTTGGAAATGTTTTGAAATTTGTATGACATTTGGATTTTTGGATCTACAAATGAATGAACAATACTAATTTTAAGAAATGGAACAACAACATCTTTATATGTGTCTGTAGCTCTTAGATGGCGATGAAGGATGGAAGTGAAATGTTTTGAAAGCGTCATTGTTCTCTGTGTTTGGATATCTGTCAGACAGAGCCGGGGGGCTTTGAAAGATGAGTCCTTTTGTTTCTTGTGCCCCATGACCCCTCAGGCTCATGACAGGTGATTTTGTTCATACCCCTCTTCCTGAGCTTTTGAAAGCCTTTCTGACAGAAAAGAAAAACAACCGGCCCACCCAAAACCGCACCTCCAAATTGTGTACCTCTCGCTGGAGACGTGAACTTGAAGTACTTGAAGCTGTTTTACATCTCTTACAGAACTCCAGATGTTAGTTGTCTTTAACAAGACAAGCATTACTGTTGTCATTGCTCATACTTGTGGTCAGGGATTTGCTGGTCTTAGCTGGTTTAGTTAGTCTCCCAGCATGGCCAAGCTGGTGTTATCTGGTGTTTATCTGGTTGGCCAGCTGGTCTCCCAACCTTACAAATACCCGAAACTCCTCTAAAACCAGCAAACAGAGTATCTTGGCCCAAGCTTGGACACCAGCGGACTATTTCCTGCTTATGTTTTTATTTATTTTTATTTTTATATTGTTACATTATAAATGTCTTTTAATGTCACGTTTGATCAGTTTAATAAAATATTACTTAATAAAATTATTAATTTCTTTCTAAAAACAACAACAACAAACTAAAAATGTACTGACCCATATGAATGGTAGTGTATATGAACACTAAGTATAGCAAAATGAGATATATGGATGTTAGTCAGATGAGATCTAACTGAAACACAGTAAAAATGTTTTCTCATTTTTACAGAAAAAATGGCAGCTGTGGTTTCCAGAACAATTAAGTAAAAATGTAAACACATTTACAGAAGAGCCTGTCAAATTTACAGTTTAAAGTCCCCCTGTAGTCAATAATTGTATGCCTTAAAACTCATCTTTGATCACCAAAATGACATATTTAATGTCTTCATGCCTTAAAATACCTTGAATGTAACTCTACACCCTTCCCTCGTTTAGTATACGCGGTTCTATCAATATGCAAATGAGCCCCGCCTCCACTCACTCACTCCAGCTCAGAGATCCACTGGTTGACGATCACACGTTGACCTGATTGGTTACAAGGTAGTTTGTGACGTCAGAAACACCAGCGATTTCAAACCGCAAAATCTTTGGTTCACTGCAGTTTTAAGCAGAAAATACTCAGCAATGGTGTTGCATATGGTTTGTCTTAAAGCATATTAAAAACTCCACATATAAACAACATTTAAAGGTTGATTTTTTTATTTATTTTTTTACCACAGGGGGACTTTGAAACAACTGTAATTTACAAAAAAAAAAGACATTTTAAACTAGTAAGTCCAGTAGCCCTTAGTTTTCTGCTGAATTAGCAAGGCCATGTATTAACATATACTAACATCATCACCATAATAACTGCTGGTAAAGAGAAATCCACATGATGAATCAAAGTTCATCACAAGTAGCTTTTCCACAAGCTGATGGAAATACTATGTAGAAAGGGCATACAGTGTAATGCACACAAACACAAAACAAATAACGCAATAAACAATAATTTAACAAAAGATGTAACATAAAATCCTAATGCACATAACCGATAACAAAAAACTAAGTAGAAACATATTTGTTCAAGTTAAAAACCAACAAATGTGAAGTGTCAAAATGGGATAATTCTGGTTGATAATGTAAATATCCCCTTTATGGCAGATTAACAGTAAATGGCCAATAGTAAAATTCTTTACAATTGTCTATACATTTACAAAAAGAAACTAAATTAACTAATTTTAAAGTCTACAAGTAAATTCATGCATCACAGCATTGTAATGTGCAGAATGAAAATGAATATTCATCTTGTGATTTGCCAAATATAGCAGAGTACTTTTTAAATATTATATTTAAGTAGAAGCAAAGGGAATTTAAATGTAAAAAAAAAAAAAGCATTCACAATTATCAGCCGATACCAATAACTGGAAAAAAAATCTCCCATTTTGACCGATATTGTACAGATATATTGTGCATCCCTAAAACTATCAAAGACCGGTTCGAAGTCCATTTAGATTCTGGTTTACCTTTCAGATGCAGCTTTGGTCACATGTACAATATCTGCCAAGATATGGTAAATCAGGAGAAAAAGTTCTTAAGGCAGAAAAACCATCATGAGCATCAGGGGGGACATAATCACACTTATGCTTTTCCTGAGAAAATGACTTAACATTCTTTCAATCTCACTGCGAATCTGACAAAATAATCAGCAAATCATCAGGATTTTAGATGTGGAAACAGTTTGGTTTAAGGAAATAAAATGGTGGCATGAAAGTTCAGATTGAACTTGTATTATCTGGGTATTATAGACTTTTGTGGTTCTGGGTGTTTTAGTGCAAGCTTTACTTCTATTGAAAGATGAATATTTCTTCAAACTCTTAGATGTTGTTGAATATAATTTGCTTTGAGTGTGCGTTTAAAATAGACCTGAAACTCAAGCCGTTTTGTATTGTCTTCAGCCTAAGGAGAAAGGAGAACACTTTTATTGTTGACAATGTGATTTTGGGCTTTTCTTTACTGAGTTATTGGGGTTTAACTGCAAAATGAGAAGTGTAAGTTGCACTGCACACAAATCCCAGCAAATGACAAAGAACTCTGTCATCATGTGGTGACCGTAATGACAGAGTTGGGCTATATTTAACCGCGCTGCCATAAACAACAGTCAAGCAGTGCTACCTTGGTTTGTTTCTGCTTTCACTTCATCTTGTGGAGAAGCTTTATGCATGTGTGTATAAAGCACTGTTACTAAACAAGATTGCACTTTTAAAGCATCATGTTGCCTCCTGACTGAAAGGTTGTTCCAAACCATTTTGGATTTTGCTTTTCTGTATATTTTTCTTTGCTTCAAAAGAAAATTGATTCCAGTACTGATGTTAAAGCTAAAGATGAGATGCTATAATATGCACAAAGGTACACTCTGTGAGTGTGCGTATTAAAACACATATGGCAAGTTATTATAAATGTATTCTTTGTATTCCCCTTGATTTAGAAAAACTTTCATTGCCATCTTAGGCACATTTAAATTAAACAACTCTATAAATGTCAAGTAAAAAGTTTAATAACAAAGTTCATTTTAAATTTTATTTTTATTTTTTTACTTTTTCAAAGTATTTTTGTGCATGTGATGGACTTGATGATGGTGAGATCAGATCTCTGTGTGGAGCGCCGGCTGTTGTCAGACTGTCTGTTTATACACAAATCTCACTATAATTACAACTAATGGCAAAAGGAATGTTTGAAAATGTAAACCGATATTTCCTACTGACACACTACACCAAAAGATATAAATAACTGGCTTAAAACTATTTTGACATGGCCTTTGCACAGTATTGTGTGTGTATATATGTATATGTGTGTATATATATATATGTATATGTGTGTATATATATATATATATATATATATATGGGTGAATTTAGGTTGAGTGGGACGCATTTTCCAAGTTTCAATTTTCCAAGACGCATTTTTTTTCCATCTCAATGGCAAAAAGTTTCCCAATCACCCTGAATTCACCATATATACAGTATATATATAGAGATGTTTTTCTTCGTTCCTTCTTCTTTCTTCATTATGTGAAGAAAAAGACAGAAGACTGTACACCACAAGACCGCTCATGTCATTTAAACCCACAACCTAGTGTTCACACAATGTTGGCATGCCTGGTCCAATTATGGGCTGCTTTTTTCCTTTTCTTTTTTTG